AATAAAAACCTTGCCCCACATTAGGATTTTCTCCTGTGTCGTGGGTGCGGTTACAAACATACAATTTCACATACACATGACACCCAGACCCGGAACAACAATTTGTCATCACACAAAGAGTTGTTCCGTGCGGGAATCGAACCCGCGACACGTTGCACGGCAGCCAGTTGCCCAGCCACCGCACCAACCGTGCAGTCTTAAAGTGGATTGGCGATTTCAAACTTATAATTTTATTAGTAGGTAATTATAACTCTCCTTGCTTCACCGTTTGTCTGTAGGTAGTGTCTTTATGAACTTAGAAAGTAGGTATTTATAACTCGGAAGAAATCATAATGGTACTTGCCAGGATTCGAACCCGATCGACCTTCAATTAGATTAATAACCAAAAGTAGTCTCTGTCCTATTCCGGAGTGCATCCTATGCTTGTGTCAAATTTCATCCAGATCTGTCAATCCGTTTTGGCGTGATAGAGTAACAAACATCCAGAAATGCTAACAAAACTAATATTATAAACACACATTATACTATACACTACCTATATAGGCGCCAAAAAAAAACTTTTGGTTTACCAAAAGGTTATTATTGCTAAGGTTTCTTTCATAATATGATGCACTTAATTCTTTTTTTACACTTAAGGGATGATAAACTGATCGAGAACGGAAGATGAGAAACGTACAACATTTTAAAAAGCCACCAATCATTTATATGTATACGACAAAAGAGAAGCAAAAAAATCGACCTCTCAGAAGAACCCTTTTCGAATTACGGAAACTCAGTGATAAATATTAAAATTCTTATAGAGATATGATACTTTTTGTTGCTTCGAACGCCATCTTTGATTTTTAGGGTTCCATTGCACAATGGGACGGAGTTTGGTGCGAATAGGTGCAACACGAAATTAGGTAAACTATGTCTGTCCGTCACTACGAATTGTGGTAATTTAAATTAGGAATAATTAGGAAACTAAAAACAGAATAAAAAACCCTTATAAGCAATGATATTATAAGTAAAATGGTATAGATAGGTTACATAAACAACATTCTATTTTCAAAACCATGACACTTATGCACACATGAATAAATCGTATGATACACGTCGAAGTGAGATGGCATGATTCAATTATCACGAGTGAAAAAGAGACAAATATGGATAAAGTGTGGCTAGTTAGCCACCTTTTAATGTATCACTTTCTGAGCGCTTGTAACCTATCTACACCTTTTTACTTATAATACCATTGCTTATATGTCATTTCCTATACAACAAATATGTCTTGCCTTCAACAGTTTTCGGTCTGCATTCAGTCATATTTACCCATTTAAATTTTCCGTTCGTTACGGTCTTACAATAAACTGGTATGAAACTACCACAGCGTTGTGTTCGCGGTGAGAGTGAATCTCTAAATCTTGGAAAACCTAATCCATTCGTAACTCCTCTGATGATGTGGATGTCCATATGTGACGCCAAATGCTTACGTACCAACAGCACGTGTGCCGTCCTATCACTATAATATATAAGAAAAAAACAATGATACGGAACTCAAGTCCGTGAGTTCAACGTGAACTTGACCGGTTTGTTTTTTTAATATGGTTCTTTAATTCGTGGCCTAATGGTGTTGAACACGCGTTAATGGCTGAACCCGCTGCTTCGACTACCGTTTTATCGACTATTAATTTTAGTATCACTTTGACTATAAAGGTTTTTAACTTTTAAATATACCATTTACTTATTCAATATGTGTCTTCAAATGTTAGTGTGATCAAAACGTTTTAATTGGGTGTTGAATTGTTGGTTGTAGGGATATTTTTTGTCCTACATTGGCTAGTAAATATAGAGGTTTTTTATTTGGTAGATAAGTATAATTATCAATAATATCTATCGATTATTTGAACATCACAAGTATCCTGTCAATTATTCCGGCAAATATTCTATTGTGTGTTCTGACGAATATTATAGTAAAGGACAGTTAAATATGTTTGAATTTCGAAAGAATCTAATACTTATTTGGTTTTTGCTCATAATCAAGGCCTCAATCATGGCCTGTTTGGCTCTTGGTCTGGTACGGCTCCTTGTTCAGTTCAACGACGAATTAAAACCTTATATTCTGGATAACGGGTCTTGTTCCTTCATAAAGATGCTGCTTTGGTCTATCAGCACTTTTATTCTTAGATCAAACTTTTAACTTCATAAGTACTTCAAGCTGGTAGCGTGGTTGGCACAGCGTCTCGGCCGCAACATGTCGCGAGTTCGATTCCCTTATGGGACAAATCTTTTTGTGATACAGAAATTGATGTTTCGGGTAATGTAATGTGTATGTAAATTTAATTGTTTGTAAACAAGATACAGGAGAATATTCCAGAATAGGGCAAAATTTTATTTAAGAAAATATAATATTTTTGCATCACTGTCCGAATTCTAACAAAAAATAAAGAAGAGTTTTTTGAAAAAAATAAAATGAATAATAATGTATTTCGAATATTGGAATCTGTGATGTGTTTAGACTTAAGAAATAAAGATGTTTCGGTTTACGACTTGTTTCCTATTAAGATACTGTTTTTATGATCTTTTGGGCCACCTGTGTTGTTCCAAATGCCGATTATAGGTAGACTTAGTATTAAGTAGTTTTGTTAAAGTATTTTTATATAGTTTTTGCTGAGGTCATCTTACGAGATGACCTCAGACTGACTTCGTTTTGCCATGAACGGTGCGACTCTACTGGCGTGATGCCACGGCCTTATAGGAAACTGGCGTGAAACAATCACAGCGTTGTGTTTCGACATGTTAGCGACGTTATTAGAGGTTAATTCCCCGTCATCCTCAAATTCTAAATCTTAAAAGGCTAGCAATGCACCTGTATGTGTTGTATGTAGGTATACTGGGTGTCGAATGAAAGTCATTATGAACTATTTCCCATACACAGAACATAAATCAAGACTCCAAGCTAAGCCATTATTAGATCCCCACAGATGGGGTTCCACCATTGATAGGGCTGATGGTCAGGTGTGGTTGCGGCAATAGAGTATCGCTGCCCCGGCCTGGCTGGAGAAGGAATTAGTATGATTTTACTCAGTAAGAGTCTAATAGTCCCTTTCGCCCCACCCAGGGTAGGAGAAGACCAGGGTACAGGGTAGGGTACGCGCTATGTGGCACCGCAGCCTCGGCCCAGAGCAGGAGAAGGAACGGGGGGGTATTTAGTCAGTAAGAGTCTGCCACTCTCTCTCGCCGTTCCCTTGGCGGATGAAGTCATTTTATATTGTTCCCCAAAAATAAAGACTTCTAGAAGAAGACTGAAGAGTGAATCGGCCTAGTTGAGTTACACGCATATTAACATCATCATCATCATCATCATCAGCCTATAAGTGCCCACTGCTGAGCAAAGGCCTCTTCTCACACGGAGAAGGTTTGAGCATTAATCACCACGCTTGCTCAATGCGGGTTGGTGATTTCAAACTTATAATTAGAAATTATAAGTCCAGGTTTCCTCACGATGTTTACCTTCACCGTATGTCAGTGGTGTCTAAATAATCATAGAAAGTACATATAACTCGGAAAAAGTCACATTGGTACTTGCCAGGTTTTGAACCCGCACCCTCATGCATGAGAAGCGGGCGCCTTAACCTCCGGGCCACCACGACATATTGCAATTCATTTGTATATTATAGACAAGTTTCATCCGTTCAAAAAACGAATTGAAGACAGCATGCGCTCGGCAGTCGTTAAAAAATTACAATCGAAACAACAAAAGATGAACATTGTAATAAAGAATCATACGAAAGAGTTATGCATCGTCACTTCACATCGGAATTGAAGAAAAATAATAAAACCAAAGAAAAAAAAATGAACTTTAAAATCTCTAGAACAAGTTCTCGAAGATTTCATATTTTCAAACGAGATTGTTTTGAATACGAACATCGGCGTCCGTTTGCGCCTCGTCATCTCGGGAACGATCACAGATTCAAAATTATGGAGTTCATTATTTGTTGTGCGTTAAAACTGGGTATTTTGATTGAGGTGTGTGTGTCTGTACATACCTGGGTTTTTGTGTGAGTGGAAAATCATCAAATGTCTTCCTAGGGTAGAGCGAAAGGGAGTGTCAGACTCTTACTGACAAAAAATCCCACCATTCCTTCTCCGGCCCAGGCTACACAACGTAATTAAACTCCGCAACCCCCAGCTTGGTTTAAGTCTCAATGGTAGTGTGTTTAGCAAACAGTACAAAGACAAGATATAAATGGTGCGGTAGCTGGGTAAATACCGCGCCATAAGTCGTGGATTCGATTCCCGAACGGAACTACTCTTTTTGTGGTCCACAAATTTTACAGACCCGGATCTGGGTGTGATGTGTATGTGAAATTGTATGTTTGTAAATGCACCCACGACACAGAAGAAAATAACGGTGTGGTGCATTATTTCTTTTTTTAAATAACATTTATAGGGTTTTCAAGGAATAAGTAAGTACTAAGTTTATCATTTTTATCATCAGCCGGAAGACGTCCACTGCTGAACAAAGGCCTCCTCCTTAGTCCTCCACGTCAGACGACAACTCGCCTTAAAAATCTATTGCAGATCGCAGTCTATTTGTTTGCAGTTTAATTTAGCTAGGTATTCAATCAACGACCTGAATAACTAGCTGTTTGATTGACTGACGGAATTTATTTTTTTCAGAACAATTTTGGTAACCGTTTGTAATGGTGATTCGATTTCTGTGTCGCAGTTCTAACATAAGCTAACCTACCACTCGGTATCAGAGATATTTTCATAAAAATCCTTTCTCCCTTTAACTAACAGCTTAAATGAGAAATAGAGGCATTCAATCAAACAGCTTGTCGATTGAATGACTAATTAAGCTGGTTGCCTGCGACATAAATTACACATTGACTCCTCAATTTACTTGTATGAGATACTTAATATCCAGATATTTGGAATTTAATTTGATACGCATATAAGCAGTCGAATTGATGATCATTGATTTTATGGTTGTCGCAATCCTGTATATGGCCCCAAAAAACAATCGTTCGAACGTTTAAAAAAACGCAAGGATATATGCGGAAAAACGTATTAGAGAAATAAAATACCTCTTTTATTTTTAAGTATACATATTTATTCATAAATTACTCGGTCACATGATATAAATTAAATTATGTACAATTAAATAATACAGTTAAATTTATATAAAAATAATTATACAGATTTCGGTGAGCGAGGGTCGCAAGTCGGGTCGTGGTGGCGGCGACCCGGCTAGAGACACTAGCCAACAATCTATGCCAACATTTATTAAACTCAAGCTTTTTAAAATAAGCTGCATATCTGTTAGGAGAGGACGATAAATAAACAAAAAAATAACAACGGATAATAGTTGACAAATAAATAAATAACATTTAAAATTAAACAGTGACTAGAGAGCGTACGAGGATTCGAGTTTCCAGGTCTTCTCATAGGCATTCGACAGGGTGTAACACTTAACGTAAATTGTTTATTAATAAATAATAATTTAATATAATGTAAAAAAACTGCTTTACACACTAACGACTCCGAATTGTATAAAAAATCGTTACTCATACTCAATATCGTATCATCCAGTTATTTTTGTGTGGGTGTTCCGCAGGGTGCCGTTTTGGGTCCCATGCGGTTTCCCACAGTCAGTCCATAGTTTAGTGGTCGACAACGTTAAGGTAGAACGCTGCAAGGGCGTCACCTTTAGAGCCGACGGCGCGGGCTTGGTACTGTCCTGCGTCGTCAGGGCTGCACTTGACGATCTCGAGCCGGTACCTAGAGGTGCCTTCCATCATGAACTTATATCTGGCGGAGGTCTCGTCGATTGGTTTGCCGTCCTTCAACCATTGAAGCTGGAGTGGTGGCTGTAGAAGAAATATTGTATTAGTTAATGTTTAAAGTACATAAAGTCAAATCTGAAGTTAGCTAGAAAAATAACAACAAATCACAATTTCCCTTAAGATCAAATTGTAGTCAAGTCTTAATATTGGAAACTATTTACGCCTCAACTACTTCTGAAAAACAGGATATAAAGCAAAGAAATAGTCGAAACGATAATATGTACATATTAACGAATACCCCATTTGAGAATAAAATCCTAGTATCTTGCAGTTACTAACAAACTCATACATAACTTTGGGTAAAGAATATTCTATGACCAACCTTGTCCAACTCAGTGGTGAAGACAGCGGGCTCGGCGTTGCTGACGGTGGCGGAGCTGGGGAAGGCGGTGTAGTGGGGGGAGGGGGCGGTCTCGCCCGGCACCCGGACTACCAGGCTGCATGACGAGAACGACTCGCCTGCATCGTTGAATGCCTCGCATGTGTAAACACCTGGAGAAGATAAAAAGAGTTTAAGAAGATGCCTAAAACACTGAACAGATATTTATGAGCTTGTAGAGCAATTGATGTATTAAGAAATACTTGGGTTGAGACATTCCCATAAATTGTTTATAAATAAGTATTTGGTTATAAATTGTTACTATTCATTTTTATGGTGATCAAATGGAAATATTTACATAACAACGCCATCTAGGATACAAATCAAATATAACACGGCTTTGTGAACAACGCCCTCTACCCAACACATTACGTACTATTTAAACAGGCTGAATTTGAACGTAGAATCGAAGCGGTCACTCAAAATTACAACGACAATCGCGTCGAGGTCTGTTAGTTCTCTAACTTGATAACAGATGACTCTATTAAAAATTATTAAAGTGATGTGTTTTCTAGGTAAAATGTTTTTTTAGTATTTTTCATTGGGAATATTGGTGAACTAACCGGCATCCTCAGGGAATATCTCGGCGATGTGCAGCTTGTGAATGTTAGCCTCGCTGGAGTACTGGAAGTCCTTTGAAGGCTTGATCTCCTTGTTGTTGTGCAGCCAGATCACGTCGAAGCGTTCCGCGTTCGTGATCCTGTTTGGTAAAATGAAGTATCATTAGTAAGTAATTCGCATAATTTGGTATTACTCTTTATGAAACAAGTAAGAAATTTAGTGCAAAAAATGCTATGACGTCATAATTTGGAGTTTTACAACATTCATAGAAAAGTAACGTATTGACTGATATGTACCTGCAGGACAGCGTGACGGCGTCCCCGTCGGTGACAGTCTGTGAGACGGCGTGGTCCACTATTCTGGGAGGCTTGTCGCCCAGCTTCACGGCCGCCGCCGCCGTACTCTCCATTGCTGGAACAAATTATTATATAAAATAATATAATAGTGATAATCTACACTAATATTATAAAGAGGTAAAATTTGTAAGTTTGTATATAGGTGGGGGGTAATCTTTGGAACCACTGGTCGGATTGCCAAAATTCTTTCACTGATAGATAGCTACAATATTCCTGAATGCTTTTGGCTATAAAGCATTACGCTCTGATCAAACGGAGCTGAGCAGCGGGTGAAACCGCGCGAAAGTAGCTAGTACAATATACAATTAAATATAAATCTCCGCTAGTGAACATTGGTTTACACTAACAGATACGACTAAATATAAAACAAAATACAAATTAAAGAAAATTGTAGGTTAAAAACTACATCCTACTCATCCTATTACGGTTTTATCAAGGGGGAAAGGTTTAATAAAATCAACCAATAAGTTTAAGAAAGTGTTCTTTGTAATTAATATATTTTTAGGTCCAAATAATGATAACTAAATAGATCAAAATTGTATTTGAGATAAACAAAAAAAACTTTATTTTTAATTTAATTTTTTCGGTAGTCAACATTATTTTTATAATACATACGTTTGACAGTGACTTTGCACTTGGTTTCAGTCTCGCCCTGGCTGTTGATGGCCTTCAGTGAGTAGATGCCCTCATCTTCAGGGAACACCTCGTTGATGGCCAGCGACGCTACTCCATTCTTGTACTTGAGGTCTACCACCTGGGAAAGGCACAAAGTAAAGTTAATAAAAATATAATAGGAGTAATTTCCTTCCCTTCCATTCAATAGTTTACACTAAACAGATACGTATTGCTAATGATAGAACAAAATAAGTATATCTGATAGTAATAGTAAACGTCACCGGGACATAACTCATGTTGGACCCCATAAAACAGCATACGCAAAAAGCTTTCAGGTAATGGCTCCAAAAATTTATAATACGATGCCCAAGGCTATTAGAAATGAGAATGACATACACAAATTCAAAAGCATGCTATGAAGATTTTATGGCTAAAAAAGCATACTATTCCATTGGTGAATTCTTAACAGAGGGAATAACCAAATAGTAATTAAGTATCTATTAGAAATTCCGTTATGTAAGGTGTCCGATTCGTTTATGATATACTCTATTTGACTGTATTTATAATTTATTTTTTGTAACATTTTATAAAATAATAATACTGTATTCCTTATTAATATAATTAAATTTGTACGCCTATAAGGTTAAACATAGCGATCCTAACATTGTAATTACATCTTATCTGTACCTATGTTCCACAAATAAATAATTTGAATAGTAATAGATATGGCTTCAGCGAAATGATACCACAGCTTCGCTAGAAACCGACGTGAAGTAATCGAAATAATTCTTTTATATTATTAAATTATTCCGTATAAGTAATTACTGAAGACCTTCTGCAGCCCAAACGCCGGCAACCTATGTAAAACTCTGTTATTGCTAGTATCCATGGGTGGTTCCGATCGCTTCCTATCGTATGATAACTTTATTTTATTACCTCTCTATCAAAAAATAAACATTACATTTCTCAATCAACAGTTTCTTGTCCGTTCTTCTCCTTTCGAATCTACAATTTGGAACGAGCACCTAGCTTCACTGAAGAATAGGCTGACAGACTACTAATCTATTTTGTCGTTTCAAAAGTACCTATTTATGGTTTATTTGGAATTAATGTCGATAACTTTAGTTCTGTGTCGGATCACCTCGTTTCGAATACAATCCTTCAGAGAGACTCCAAGCATAGCCGTTTCCATAGCTCTAGGTTTGAAGAAGCTGTGGAAAAACACACCAAGAAAATATTTGTTGAATTCGTACCTCGGATGAATGTAATGGTTTCCCGTCCTTGTACCACTGGACGCGTGGATCAGGGTCCCCGCGTACGGCAGCCGACAGCAGTAGGGGCGCGCCGTCCTTGGCGCATAGCGCGTCTGGCAGGGACCGCGCGAACGATGGGGCACACATCGACGAGTCTGACGCGGGCACTACGGAACCAGACACATTTCTTAGCTTCTTTTTTCATTGAAAACATTGCCCCACACTAGAATTTTCTCTTATGTCGTTTGAATTTACAAAAATACAATCCTACTACAAGATTACTCTTGCACGAAAAGACTCAGCAGGCGATTAGAACTCTTCGTTCGACATTCTTTGGCTGGCGGGTTCAAGATCAGATCAGACAAATTTGTGAAAAAACTCTACGAATCTTACTGGACAATACCAGGGAAAAAAGACAAACTTTTGAATTTTGACTAAATATCTATACTACTTACATATGAGCTCCTTAGTAGCACTCCTGGACCTGGATGACGTATCCGAGTCCAGTCGTGAGAGTCCGCCATATTTCTTCTTGCTAGCATCTACTGATGACTGTGGTGAATACTTTGGTCTGAGCGCGGTCTTAGCGGGCGGGTCGATTGTCACCTAGAATGAAAAAAAGATTATTAGACTTTTTCATTAAGGGAATAATGTAAGAGAATGTAATTATTAACATTTAAAAAACCATGTATGCATGATACATGCTTCGTGTGTCGACATTTATGGTTGTCGGTCATTTGCGCTAAACTTGGCGGTTACTTGCGCAACTTTTGCGCCAATAACAAGATTATAGGTAAGAATTAGCGCGTTGAAGCCGAGGTCTGAGTATGTTTTGACACGCAGAATTCTATATTATTTTGCCATTTTCATTTATTTACTGTCAACAGATCCAGGGGCTGTGATAAATCGTCATATAGCGTCTTTTCGTTTAGGAAGATTATTCGTAGTTAATTTGTAACCTAATGCATTCAGAAATTAAATGCAGTTAGAAAATGTAATCGTAAACATTTAAAAACCATGTATGCGTGATTCATGCTTCGTGGCACGATTTGTTTGTCAGTTGCGCTAAATTTGACAGTTGTCTGAGCAACTTTTGCGCAAACTGTGGAACTAGATTTTATAGGAAATAATTAGACATAATTATGCTTACATAATCCTTTCTGTTTAAATTGAGGTATAAGTATGTTTTAACTTTAATAACATTTGCTTGCGCAAGTTTTGCGCAAACTAATTATAAGAAATAGTTACTATCGGAAATAGTTTTGCGCACGAGCTACATTTTGTTTAATTTTTGGTATAAGAATGTTTTAGCTTTCAGGTTTTTGGCATTCTGTATTATTTTTATTAACTTCCACAAATCATAGACCTATAGATAACCATCATATATAGCTTCTCCATTTAGGAAAAAAGAGTATCGCAATTTAATTTGTAACCTAAATCATACTACCAATGTAAAATAATAACTTTGTGTCTGATTAGATTTTTGTGCAACGAACAAGATAGTATTAAGATTGAACACATATTGATGAGATCCGACATTCAAATGTTTTAAATATTAAAATACAAAAAATTAAGATAAAATGCGACATATAATAATGTTCTTGCAAAGATTGACACCCGGTTTCCGAAAGGCCGATAAATGTTAAAATCAATTTAATCTCTTGTCAAGTCATCTGATTGGTTGACTGAATTATCAACAACCAATCAGATGAATTGACAAGAGATTCATCAGGAGATTAGTTAATTTTAGCGTTGACAAGCCTTTCAGAAACCGGGTGTTAGAATATAATTATGTAATAAAACGATATGGATACGTTAGCAAGAATTTGCCATGGGACATGGAGACGAAAGAGATTTTTTTGTAGTGTAAAGACATTTTTGATTTGTGATACATTTACTTTGATAAACTATTGTTTTTCTAATGATTTTCTTTTGTTTCTTTTTGTTTACCTGTTCTTCTTCATCGTTTACATTATGGGGACGGCGACGCTAAAATATTAATGTTAGAAAATTAATATTAGGGATTCTTCGAAGAGTAGTCTGTAATTGAATTTGCTTCTTACAGATGTAGTTATAAAGTTTATTTTGTATTATTTATTGTATAGTTTAATTCAATCGGTAAAATGCTCGATCAAGCCCTACATGATAGAGTAATATTTTCATTAACTACTTATATGCATCACAAATAAAAATAACAAAAATTGGATCTCAATTAGATCCGCTTTCCAGCGAACCTTAGGTTTAAAATACCCTCGCTTACCACTTTTGGATGGTAACAGGAGTCCCTGTTACCAAAACGCTGTCGCTTTCCATCGAACCATAGGTTTAAAATACTCTCGCCTACCACTTTTGGATGGTAACAGGGGTCCCTGTTACCAAAACGCTGTCACTTTCCAGCGAAACATAGGTTTAAAATACCTTGGCTTATCACTTTTGGATGGTAACAGTCCCTGTTACCAAAAATGGTAATAACGATTAATGGTAAAAGCTATTACCTTGGTCTTGGTGATGATCGGTGGCGGCGCTGGTTTGAGTGGCTTCTCAATGTAACGCCTGTCTCCGGAGTGGAGGAAGTTGTGGATCATCTGTGCTTGCTCCGGTGACGTAACCTCGCCTGATTATAAAATAAATATAGTATTTATATTATACAATATTTATAAAAAAATACTCAGTCTCAGAGCCTTTGATGGTAAGCTCACACAGTTTAAAGGGACTATGGGAGCTGGCTTTGGCTCCTCGGATGCCTTTCAAAGGTCCAGGACCCTGTGGTCTCGTGAATGAGAGCGTAATAGTTCAGAGCAGCCCACACCCATAGCTTTATATCTTTTCCCCTTATCCGCAATATTCCTACACTATCCGGGGACAGTCCTTAGGGTGCAATTTCACAGTGCATACAGGGATAGCCGTCAGTTTGTGTCCCGTTTCATATATATTAAAGTTGTTTAAAGCATCTGCGTTGGCTTCGGTTTCCTCATACGCCTACCAAAGGTCCAGGACCTGTGTTCTTGTAGGTGGGAGCGACCATGCAAGATAATGCAGAAGATATTCTTCCTTAAAAAGCCACATATTGTGAGGAGGTTTCTGTCTCTGGAGCCCTAACCACCGGTAGCTAGTTTTTTGTGAGGGGAAAATCATCAAATGACTTCTCCCGCCGAGGGTCGGACGGTAGGGGGTGTCAGACTCTTACTGACTAAAAAGCCACGGTGACTCATTGCGCTCATCCCGCAACCCCGGCTGAACATCAGCCTTATAGGGAATAATAATAATAGTTGACTCACCCTCGACGATAACGACACAAGAGGTCTCATCAGTGCCGTGTACGTTGGTGGCGATGCACGTGTATTTCCCGCTGTCCTCCGGTCTGCAGTCGATGATCTCCAGCGTCACCACGCCATCGGAGTGGGTCATCGCGTAATCATATTTAGATAGTTCTCTCTTGTCCTTGTACCTGAAGGGGGAGAAGGGGATTGTAATTCAGTTTTGGTAATTGATTTTTATAAGGTAAACTTGGACTGATGCAGAAATGGGAACTTAAAAATAGAATAACGACTACTTAATATTTGTATAGAAAAACTTCATTAAAAATGTGTAGCTTGCTTTTGAATTCGATTTACTAAATTATGATTAAATCAATGAAAACTTGATGACACAAGATTATAAATCGAAAATAATCGGACATAATGACAAGTGGCGCCATCTGCACAATCCGATTTTTTCAAATTTTAATATAATTAAAGTTAGAAACGAAGCTATAGAAGTTTTAAACAAACTGTTTGAGGTTCACCTATGTAGAAACTGTGTTTAGAATAAAATAAATAAGTCTGAAGATCTGAAGTTCCACATACCAGTTGACAGTGGAAACTATATTTTTTTGTTTTTTATTTCGGAATAGGCAGACATTTGGCCGACGCCTGGTGGTAAACGAGAATGCGATCTACGATGGAGCATGCCTACCCATAAGCAAGCTATTCTAAACTATTATAATAGGTGTGAAGGTGCACATACCACTTGACAGTGGGCGTGGGCTTGCCACTGAGACAGCAGAGCAGCTTGCAGGTGTCGCGCGCCTGCATGACGCGCGGCCGCAGCTGGAACGTGAAGGCGGGCGCCGTCTCGGACGACTCCTGCCAGAACGTGTACGGCAGGGCCTCGCGCCGACGCGGGGCCTCCGGCAGGTGCTGGCGCTGGACCTTCGGGACCGCTGCGGGACAAATGGACGGTTACCAATAATACAAAGTACACCTAAATCAGAGGGCTTTTTGAGACTGTTCATAGTAAAACTTTTTACGCTGTAGGCTTAGGGGAAATTCCGTTAGAATTTTTTTCTATGTTATAGATAAAATAATTCTTGAAGTGTAATCATACATTCATATTTGGAAATACCTATATGCAATCAAAGATTTATTATAGAATAATCTATTTGACATTATCACATTATATTACTATTTCATACAGAATTAAATAAAAATAAGCTTTTATAAAAAAAAACATAAATAATTAGTTCCGAACCGGTAGAATACATTCGCATCTTTATCGATAAAATAAAACGGTAAATTTGTGTCCGACCTACTTTAAAGACTAAAAATACTAAAATAACTAAAGGCAAAATATACTAAAATACAATAAAATCACCCGAAACCTATCTGCATTTTAAAAGCACAATATAACGAATTATATTAAAGAAAACAATCACTTATTTTAAGACAGTAAATTAAAAACACTTACACGCCAAAAAGGGCTTATTTGAATCACTGAAATTCCACTGTAATGCCACTAAAACTGCTAACTTATAGAGCTTATTATCTATTAATCAGTGCAGTAGGATGGGTAAGCTGTGAGTGGCTAATTTCGTAACGATCTCTCAGTCTAAAGGTGGGATAATTATAGCTATTGGTTAGGTTTTGGCATGGAACACTGGTCTATTGTGTGACAAATTAAATCGTTTGATGGTAGATGGTTTAATTGGTCTGAATTGTAACTGATATAATATTCAGGTGTAGTGGTTCCTAACCTATTTTGGTTAGGTATGTTCTCGTGGCTATTTTTGTTTGTACAACAATGTATCAGAGTTTAAAGTTAATATTGTCTCTGTTTGTTTTATTTTATTGTAGCTTAGGGTATCTTTCAAGGGTATGAATAAAAACTATAATAATTAGAACTGAACAGAAACTGTGGGAGAGCCAAGTTTCGGCGTGAATGGGTCGGCTCGACCGGAGTGATACCACGGCCTCACAGAATACCGGCGTGAAACAACCCACAGCATTGTGTTTCGCCGTGTGAGTGAGGTTACCGGAGACCCAATCCCTCCCCTTCCCCTATCCCTTCCCGATCCTTATATCTGCAACCCCTAGGCCGGCAACGCACTCGTAACTCCTTTTGGGCAACACCAAAGGAGTTACGAGTGCGTTACCATGGGTGTCCGTGGGCGGCGCCGATTGCTTACCATCAGGTAATCCGTCAGCTCGTTTGCCGCCTTATACCATAAAAAAAACTTGAAGTCTTGACGCCTATTCTGAGATGTAAGAAAAGCTAACCAAATAGTAGTTTTAAAATCAATTAATAGATTTGTAAATTATACTGCTACTAAATGACAACAGCAGTTAGGAAGCGTACATTTCATCATACAGGTCATAAATAGCTAGAAATGTTTTTTTTTCTGAGATATACCGGTCAACGACCAGATTGATCACCTGGTGGTAAGCAATCAGCACCGCCCATTGACACCCGCAGCAGAGCAGAGAAGTTGCATTTAAGGGGTTAGGAATTTGGGGCAATTGAGAATGAGAGAGCATAATTTTTTTTGGAGAGTATTTATGAAGACTGCACCAATAATGTGCATAAACACTGGAATTGGGTAGTTAAAGGTTAGGGTAATAAGTTAATTTAACGTTTCAATACAATGAAATATTGAAAAATAACTATACTTTTATTCATCGATCCGTCGACTAAAGATTTAGATATTTTTTAGCTAATTATTAAGAAATAAGTACGCTATTTGAAAAAAATACAAAAATACTGTGACTTCATAACTTATATTTTATACCAATTTCTTAGAAAAGTAACGTTCTTGACGTTTGGTTAAAAGTATTGAATTTGACTAGTTAGAAACTACCGTATTGTCTACACGAGAGTTATCTAGGTTAGGTTATTTTTATACTTACGTTGTACATTCAGGAAGACGACCTCCTCCCTGAATCCGTAGTGGTTTTCAGCCCTGATGATGTACTCTCCACGGTCTTCCAGCTTGGCTCGGTTGATTATGAAGTAGTAGTCGTCGCCAGCATACCTGCACCCAAAATTGAACATTATTACCTTATTCAGAAGGGATGTTATTGAGTAAATGAATGGGACGTTATTAGATGTCTTAATTACATGTTGTACATTTAAGAGGTAACTTATAGGCCACGTTAGCGATAGGATTTGGACTCAACAGTCGAGGTCATAACAGACAATAAATGGCAAAACAGAACAAAACTGTGATTTTACTCTACTTCTCATTAATATAAGACACCTTTTTTAAGGGAGGGTATAAAATTACTTCTCGCACCCTGGGTGGGGCAATAGGGAGTGCTAGTCTTTAACCACCCCATTATTTCTCCTCCTTCGGGCTTTGGCCGCGATATTATCATGCATGGAACCCAAAGACATCTTATGATTTTGATGTTAACTATTTCTACTATAAAACATGTGTGTTGAATTAGAAAATTATGTACTTAGCAATAGGGTAGTTTTCTTTGTCAAAAATAAATTATTTCGACGTTTCAATACAATAAAATATTGAAAAAATAACTATACTTTTATTTATCGACCTATCGATATTTTTAGCTAATTAAAAAAAAGTAAGCTATTTGACGCTGAAATACTATGACGCCATAATCTGGAGTTTCATAAAAAGTATCAATGAAACAAACAATGAAACAATGAATTTATTTTTGCAAATAGGCCATAAAACGGCACTTCACACGTACACGTCAATTTATATGTGAAAAACTAGACGACCGTTTTTATCGTTTTTGACATTTGGATAAAAATATTGAATTTGACTAGTTGGGAGTCTAACATAAATTTTGATATATTACCTCTTCATGAACTTGACAGACTGTCTGAGCTCGTGGTTGTTCCTGGACCAGGTGACGGTGGGGGTGGCGCAGGCGATGATGCGGCAGTACAGCTTCACAGACTGGCCCTCGTAGCAGAACGCGGACTGAGGCTTGATCACGAAGCGTGGCGCTGCTTGTCTGCGGTCTAAGGGGATGAAAAAATAATGAAATGGCGTAAAAGAAGGAAATTTGTTGTTGCAACTAGTTTGATTTTAATTATTTTTTTTACTATCCTGAGAAATAATAAAGAGCTTCATTATAATCAATGTAAGTCTCATTTGTAATTGAATTTGACATAAGATAGAAAGGTCAGTATCGAAGACAGACTTTTGCGAGACAGTACTAAACTTAACCTTGGATTGAGTAAATTGTTTAGACATGTTTTTTTTGTTTCTTTTTTAAGAACAATTTGCCCCACACAAGGGTTTTCTCCTGTCTCGTGGATGACTTTACAAAGATACACAACTTAACGGCTATATGAGATTAACTTGGAACCACAAACAGATTGTTTATATAGCTATATTTTTAGGCATTCTTCGAATGATTGAACGACCTATTAATTCATTAAACTCCAAGCGAACGTCGGCTTTCACACACCTATTATTCTTCTATTGGGTCTCGAATTACCACGATTGAAAGGAGTTCTTTTATATATTAAATATATTATTAAATATAATATATTATTATTTAAATATATATTTTTTTATCTTGCCTGGTTGTGAACGACGGCGATCGTGGAATCGTGGATGGAACATGTCAGCCCATAAGCAACCTATTCATTCGGGCCTTGAACATATAAAAAATATATAATTCTTACCGAACTGTCCGTCGTATATCTTCCACTTCTCGATGAGCAGTTTGCGGAGTGAGCTGTACTCGCTCAGCCTGCCGATCGGCAGTCTGAATGATGACCAGTTCTATGGAAGACATAAAAGTATTTTAGACATCTATTTACTGTCGTAAAACAAGAGTTATTTACTAAAGTGACGGTCTTTTATATTCAGATTTAGGTTTCATTAAAACACATTTTTTATTAAATTTAAAAACCAAACTTTTTAAATGTGTTGATTTATTTGAAGGTTTTTAATAGTAGTACATCTTTTCCGATAATTTTCAACTTTTATTTTGTTGTGTAATAAGTACAGTGTGTTAGGTTAAACGAGGGACGCATTGAAGGAGCCGATTATGGAGTTCAGTTACCACAACTTTATTCATGGGACCAATATCGAAATTTCAAAAATAATTTTATATCCCCATACAAATAGCAACAGCTGATTGATCATTTTGCATGGAGAAGTAATTCTTTTTTGAGATTTTCGTATCCGTTCGTATTTAAAAAGTTATTTCATTTGATCACCAGAATCGGCTCCTTAAATATGTCCCACGTGTAATTAAACACTGTGTAAGATTGTATATGGTATTTTTTAGCTCATTTCTAGTCATTTGCGTTGAATGACGTTTAAATTTATTAATGTATTAATTCACACAAAATAATTATTCTTCTTTCTTTCTTTTACAATATCAATGGGATATTATAATGCTGAGTTTTATATCTAATATATGTGTTCTATTACCTCGTACTGCGCCCTGAGCCTGTCCCGCAGCGCCTCGTACCGGCGCGCGGATATATGCGCAGTGCGTGCCGCCGCGGCGTCGCCCGCCAACCATTTGTGCATCAGGCACTCGTGCGCTGTCATACGCTTCCTGTATGAAGGATATTGTGGTTAAAGCATGTTCTATACACAGATAGTGCTGGATGATGAGGTGAGACACAGAAAATCGACGTTGCAAAACCATAATGATTATGTAAAAATACTACATTGTCTTGTAAAGTTTGCGCCTAGAATAACATAATTAGAAAATCCCAAAGTTCAACTGTTTTGCAGTATCTCAGCTAGATCTTAGTGGTTAAGTAATGTTCAATTAGTACATAGTACTGATAAAGCGAAACACATAAAAGGTCAACGGTAAAAAGCATAAATATGATGGCGTTATAAATTCTACATTGCCCTGTAAAGTTTGCGCGTAGATTAACATGGTAAGACAATCCCGATGCATAACTGTTGGGCAGTAACCCAGCTAGTTATTATGGCGTTGCCTGTTTAGAAGATTTTCCTCTTTCTGATCTTAGGCAACTTTAATCCATGTTCCCTACACTAAAAAGAGGATTTTGCTATAATTATGGAAACGAAAATAATCTTATAACTATAAACATTATGTATGGCAACAGAAGAAGATCCAGTTTTCTATCTTTCATATATCAATTTAAATTTCTCTATGCTCATACTGAAAAATGTACAAAAATCTAAAAAATATAAATTATAATTTGTTCAATTCGGAAATAGAATCTAATGTCTCTTGCATGGTACTAAAAATTGTAACTCGACGCCTAAAAAATACGCCGAAGCAATGAAAATAATCTTTTTATACGAAAAAAATTACATGAATTTAAGTACTTATCACAAAATAAATATATACTACAACATTATATAAGGGTATTTATTTATTTATTTATTTATTTATTTATTTATTTATTTATTTATTTATTTATTTATTTTTAAAACGTTGCCCCACATTAGGATTTTCTCCTGTGTCGTGGGTGCGGTTACAAACATACAATTTCACATACACATGACACCCAGACCCGGAACAACAATTTGTGGATCACACAAAGAGTTGTACCGTGCGGGAATCGAACCCGCGACACGTTGCACGGCAGCCAGTTACCCAGCCACCGCACCAACCGTGCAGTCAAAAAAAAAAAGTTGAGAAACACAATACTAACTCCTTGTTCTTGACTAGCAGTCTCCTGATGAAGTCCTTTGCATCATCAGACACGTGCTGGAAGGCTTCCTCGTCGAACTCCCAGTCGCATGCCTTCACATTCTTCAGGGTTTCAATGTCGTTGTTGCCAGCGAATGGCGATAGACCGGAGAGCCTGGTGATGAAAATTATGGTAAGTTTTTTTGGACGAATCTACAAATATTTACGGTTGACCTAAAATAGCGATTACAAAGGAATATTGTTTTGTTTTTAAATATTGTTTCATCTGTGAATTGATCCTGTCACACTATTCACAGCTCAGTCACTACTCGAGTTTGGTTTAAGTAGGTAGTTTGCATTTAAAAGCTGTTTATTTAATTTTTTGTAAGTAAATAAATAATTTTCTTTATTCATAACATTTTTTATCCATAAAGGTTGGTAGCTTTTTATGTTGACTGTAAATGACTTTTCTAAAATTAGCGCACGAAAACTTTATATCCATAAAGTTAATATTTGTGATTTCCGAATAAGACACAAAATAATCCTGAACTGTTCGTTCATCCAGAAGAAATTCAGCAACAAAATTGACTTCTTTCTTTCCTTTCGCGGGATCACAGGATCAGACCTTTGGAAGGCGTGAAGCGTACAAGGGGCCTAAGCCAACTCACAGAGGCCCGTTGAACAGTTTTAATCTAAATGTAATGGGACATCAGACGACAATTATCCATGTATGTACTATAAAGGTGCATCCAAGGAAAATCTCTTGATTGATGATGAAGATGATGCTGAACTTTTATCAAAAAAGTTTTTTTTTTTTATTATTTTAGATACTCACAGTACATAAGACAGCACTCCGACGGCCCACATGTCTGTGTAGAAACCAACCGGCTCACGTTCCACGATCTCAGGCGCCGCGAACTCGGCAGTACCGGTCGATATCTTAACCACTTCATTAGGATCTAACTTGGTGGCGAGACCGAAGTCAATGATCTGTTGAGGAGAGTAAGATTATTAGCTATTAAACTCTTTATTTTCATACTCATAAATGTCGGAGAGCCATGCTTCGGCACGAATGGGTCGGCTCGACCGGAGTGATACCACGGCCTCACAGAATACCGGCGTGAAACACCCCACAACGTTGTATCGCCTTGTGAGTGAGGTTACCAGAGGCCCAAGCCCTCCCCTTCCCCTATCCCTTCCCAATCCTTATATCCGCAACCCCCATCCCCAAAAGGCCGGCAATGCACTCGTAACTCCTTTGGTGTTGCGGGTGTCCATGGGCGGCGCCGATTGCTTACCAGCAGGTAATCCGTCTGCTCGTTTGCCGACTTATACGATAGAAAAAACTCAAAATACGTTTAAAAAAATACAGTGTAATGGCTTCATTAAGTTAAGACTCATTTTAATTTACACTCAAAAACTTTATTTTAAAGTTTAAAATACGATCAAAATTGACAAACACGATTTAAGAAAAATAAGTTAACTTTCTCATCTCATGTTCAACAAAATGGATTGAATTTCTCAGCATCTTTTTAACTTACTTAATCATGAACAAGGAATTTGTATCCGTGATCGATAGCGGATTCATGAATTTCATGTTATTATTTATTATTCTTCTGAAAACCTAGAGGTATACATATGTAATCTACAGGTTCTTAATTATTATTCAAATCAGTTTAAGACTTATTTCGTTAAGGGTTGATTTTTCTATAGTCAGATAAATGTTATCTGAGGATTAAAATTGTTGCTGTCACTGTTTTATACAAACATTCTGACGCGACAGCATCGTTCATTATACCCCAGACAACTTTTATTTAACCATTTAAAAATCAGTAACAAGGAAACTATTTTTATTATATTATTACTAATTAGCAAAATCAAAAAGCAAAGTCTATTTGCTTATTAGTTTTAGAGCTGATTCTGCTTTTTGACTTTGCTAATCTTCTTATATATAAAAATGAATTGCTGTTCGTTAGTCTCGCTAGAACTTGAAAAAGGCTGAACCAACGTGGCTTAATGTGGTCTTGAAATATTCTTGGATATACAGGGCAGGTTTAAAAGGTCGGAAAATTCGGCTACATGAAAAAAAAAAAATATTTGAGGCTGTACGAAGTTTGCCGGGTCAGCTAGTTAGCCGGCTCGCATATTTTAAGTACCGAATGTTATAATATGTTGGTAAGCGAATAACTCAACAACGCTCAGCCAATTTATCTAAATCTTTAATAGTTCTTTTTTTAACAATAATGTTAAAAAAAGGTGCTTATGAAAGAAAATTTGTGGAAATAGCGTCCATTTCGAAGTAAGCACAAACCGCTAGTTATGATAAAATTAAGAATTATAAATAAAATAAAATAAAACCCACCTTGACATCAGTACCAGTTCTAGTCTGGCACATAACGTTCTCCGGTTTAAGGTCCAGATGGATAATGTTCTGTTCGTGCATGTGTCTGACTCCCTCACAGATCTGGCGCATGTAGTGAGCTGCCTCAGCTTCGGACATGTTGTATCCTGGCTCTGTGATGCGCTCGAACAACTCGCCTCCGGATAAGCTGGGTAGAGAGTTTATTTTTTAGTTTTATAAGGCCTTAGACGTTTTGTGAGCTACTTTTGGACAGATTTTAAGTAACATTTTCTTTATTATATAAAAATTTCGTGTCACGTGTTTGTCCGCGATGAACTCCTAAACTACTAAACCATTTTGATCCAACTGGAAAGCTTACATCTCAATTTATAGCCACAATATTATGTTATTGCAAATGATTTATCCATACGTAATATGACATGAACCTTAGTCACAGCAACGCGTGACTGGGTCTGCTAGAAGTAGATATTTTGTAATTAAGCTTTCTGGTCAAGATTTAGAATCTTTAGACATACTTCATATAAGTCAAGCAAATAGCAAAATCATAGCATAAAAAACTATATGTCTTTAAGATCAAAATTTTAAATTTTGAAAATAACGGAATCAAATTAGAAATTGTTATTACTTTGTGTTTAGGTATATCTTCCTTTGAAATAGGAATGGCAATAAAGACAAAAAATTGAAGTCTAAATCCAAAAAAGTCTTTATATACCAAACACTGGCTACTCTTGCGCGGTTTCACCCGCTGCTCAGCTCGATTTAATCATAGCACGATGGTTTATAGCCTATAGCACTCTGAAACATTGTTGCTATATATCAGTGAAATATACCAACAAATTTATAATATTATAATATTTGTATAGATATATAGATAATACTTAGGCATAACAAGAATAATGTCAACGAAATACAAAAGAAAAATACTTACAACTCGAAGATGAGAACCATCTCATCGTCATCCTCGAAGGCATCGTGTAAGTTGATCAGCTTACGATGGTGAAGTTGGTTCATGATGTCGATCTCCTTCTTGATGAGTTCCTTCTCCATAGCGCCAGCGACCGGTATGAACTTAGCCGCGAAATAGTTGCCTGTGGCCCTCTCGCGGCAACGGTGGACAACACCGAACGCGCCTGTACCTACAACAGTACATGACACCTCATGCCTCTGCTAGCGTAAGCTTTTTTAGACTTTATTGCGTTGTCACGATGGATTATTTTTGTTTATGTAAAATTGGACTTTTTTATGAAAGATTGCTTATATAATATTCAAAAGTGTTATAAATTAATTTAAAAAAATCTAGTCTCAATAAATTATTGTTTTTTTACTTGTAAATACTTTTTTCCATCGTAACAATGCAAAATAAATAGTCTATTTGTCATATCAAAGACTATTTTAATATTAATAACTAATATTGAAGTCATACTAAGTTATAACACAGTACGACTTCTTTGTGTATTACTTTTAAATTTCGTGTGTATGTTTAATATTTTCTAAGTATCGCAAAAAAATATTTTTTTAGAAAATATCAAACATCTGCAAGTTTTAAAGTGTAAATTCTATATTTCTAGGACTCCGTGCAAATATTATACGCCAATTTCGCTACTTGGTGTAATTTCGCATAATATAAATTAATTTGTTTCGTGTAAATGAAATAAATATACTTAAATATAATATCTTAATAAGCGAAAACCGTGCTTTCGATCTACTATAGATAATAAACTATAAAATATACATAAATAAATAATTTAAAATAATTATAATAAAATATTCATTAAATAATAAATTAGAAAATCTAGGGTTACTGGAAATACGACCTAAAAATTAAAATAATGATCTCAGATATTTTTTAGTATTTTTTTTTCATTTTCCAATTACCCTACTATAGTTTTCATGCGTTTTTTCTAATAAAAAATAATAATTTATTTTTCTGATAAAATAAGTATGCATGTGAGACAGAGAGATGCAGAGAAAGAGATGCACTACATCGATCTATTCACACACAGACCTCCGGCGCGCGACCTTCGCGACGGGGCTCTCACGAAGTCACCTGTGAATTATCACCATTTTTAATCACCGTTTTGCAATGGGGATTAATTTTGAAACATACTTTATAACCAAAGACTCGATATTGCTTAATTCAAAGAAAATTATGGTAGAATAGATGCTCTTCGACAATGGTGTATAAAATAAATTTTGCGTCGGTGATTAACTTATACAAAATTCGACACTTTAGATTGGCGATTATAAATACGGCTACTATAACTAAAATTATTTCTAAATTTTGAATTTTGTCTAAGACACGGTTAGTATTTCTAAGGTTAATATTATAAAATATCTAAAAAATCAAGTGATTTCCCAAGCAACTTCGTGAGTGCGTTTAGTTATTTTTATTTGCTTTTACTATCATGCTTTAATTTGACGATTTTTTAGTATTTCCTCTTGATTCTATCGAATTAATAATGTCCAATTTAATTAAATAATTGATTTAAAAAAATAGGTTTTTATTTAGTCACTGTGTCAGTGAATTGAACGGAAAATAGAAAATTAGTGTTTTTGTGTAAATGTGTGAGTTTGTCCGTGTATGTAGTTGGAAAAATTAACATGTACAAAACCCAGAACACAGTTTTCATATCCACAATTTGTTTGAATTCTTATGCTATGAATGTGTTCTTATTCAGTATTGTTTCCCATACATATATCTATACTGTTTTAATACTAGAACCTGAGATTCTATATAGATCTAACTACTACAAATTCATGCAATATCTTGATAACTGACGAACGTTTCTTCAACAAAAAAGTTTGGTATGTTTTTAACTAGTTTCCGAACATAAATAGATTACTTGTTACCGACGGCATCGCCACTGGTGGCTGAAAAATGAATTATTAATTCTAAAAAAAAATTAGGAACAGACAGGCTATTGCTTTAGCTCGTAGCGATGGATCTCCTTCTGTCTAATCTCCATATTTACTACTCTGAACACTAAAACTAGCCAACATCATGCTTCTACTGACTACAATCATTATTGTAGTTGACTTACCAATCTCTTCTAATATATCATACTTGTCATAGACCGAGCAAGTATTGATGTCGACCGGCTGTGGCACGTATTTGCTGTATATATCGAATACGTAGCTATCATAGTCCTTGATTGGTCCGTGGTCTGCGTTCGTGCGGATGCGCTTGCCTGTTTCGTCAACTGTAACAATAGGATGTATTAATGATACTAATTTGCACATTCGATTTTTAACCTTAAATAAAATAAGGAGTAAATGTGAAAATTGAATAAGGTTATTGCGCAATGGCGATTAATTTTGCGCAAATTGTGATATACTTATTAATTATAGACATCACAACAGTAATTAAAAGCTTAGATCTATAAATTAACTAGCTTCAAAGCCTGTTTCACCTTCATCATTTAACTTCCCGATAAACGTACAATAGCGCCAACGTATCTTGACGAGTCTGAAGTTAGCCGATTAGCTGAGCAGTACACAATTTTGTTCCTAAAAGATCCATTGCGCAGACAAACGGCTAACTTCAGTCTCGCCAAGATATGTCGGCCGTATAGTATGTGGCAAATAGTTCGAATAAATTACATTCGACATTCCATTATATCTGGTTGTCCAGACTCTGTGAAGAAAGCTCAAATTTTTAAAATATTTCTAATTCCGATACATCGTAGACTGGTTTACATTCCACTATAGAAATTTACTTATATTCTATTTACTACATACATAAAGAGGGGAAAGTCAAATTAGTTTTTTAAATAGTCTTACCAGGATATTCCTTCTTCTGGAACTCCTTCTTGATGATGGCTTTAGTCTGTACCAGAGTGGTCGGCTCGCTAGGCTCCGACCTGCCGTAGATGTTCTCAGCGTACACTCTGAACTCGTACTGTTTGCCTGGTACTAGGCCTGTGATCGCCATTGTTGTAAACCTGCGAGGGGATTAAGGTTGATCGTATTAAGTTCTATTAGACTAATATGAACTGTGTTGTGAGTTTAAATAATTATAATCTGTGTCAATTTCGGTAGGTAGGTAGCTCTACAATGAAAAATATAAAGGAAGAACAAATATTAAAGAAAACAAATATATAGTATATTAAGGTCTGGAAGATTACACAGAAGAGACTCGCAGCGCAAAATGTTTGCGCAATTGTTGTTGAATAATTGCGCAAAATTTTTGACGTACGATTTTGAACAACAATTGTATTTTATTTTTTTATAGTATATGTGTTAATAATACATTTATGTCAATATGAAACAGTAGAAAAAAGGAAGATCGAATTCGTCTTTTGAAAAACACTTACCTGGTGTTTCCAACCCTGATCCAGCTGGACATGGGGTGTTCCCTCTTCTCGACCAGGTAGTTGGTGATATCGGAGCCGCCGTCCCAGACTGGAGCCTTCCAGCTGAGAGCCAGCGAGTCCACGCCGATGTTGTCCACCGCTGGGAATCGTGGTGGGTCGGGACGGTCTGAAAATAAATTTTACATATATTTCAATACTTTTTTATGCCTCCTTCTAACTTGTGTGTATGTAATAATTTTTTTATTGAGTTTATGTAAAATTTCGAAAAGTGCTGAAATAAAATTTAGTTGAGAAACATATACATGACGGCGCTGGCGACTGATTATGGATTATTTTTTAATTACAAAGTAGTCTTTACAGTGGATTGTTAATTATAACTCAATTCGTTTATTGGTAACATTAAAATTGTTATTTAATTATGAGTGGGTAACCCCGAATAGAGTAGTAGTGTCACTACGAGTAATGGCAGTGGTCATCTTGTTGACAGCTGCCAACCAAAGTGTAGCTGCCAACCAAAGCGCTAATCTATTGGCTCGAAATCTCATTTCATCTTATTGATTGTAAATAAATTACTGATGAAACAAAATAATACAAGGGTGCCTTTATTTTTGGATTACGGTCGTAACCACGCTCGCGATGGAAAGTGACAGTCAGGACCACCACGAGGATCTTTCTGACGCTCTCATACATATATGAAAACGCGCATTTAAATATTTAAAAAAAACTAGGATGCCCAACACTAGGATTTTCTCCTGTGTCGTGGGTGCGTTAACGAACATAAAATTTTAATACACATCAAACCCAGACCCGGAACAATAATATGTGGATTTTATAAAGAGTTGACAGTGCGGGAATTGAACCTGCGACACGTTACGCGGCAGCCAGTTGCCCAGTCACTGCGTCAACCATGCAGTTATAAAAATAATATAGGTAGTTTATAATACTAACCGCTGATTTCAACGTTGATGGTAGCGGAATCCTGTCCAAGCTCGTTCTCAGCGGTGATCCTGTATGGTCCCGAGTCGAGCTTGCTGGCATCACGGATCGTTAGGATCGCGTGACGTTCTGAAATACAAATAAAATATATGAGATATTAAAATATTAAAATCGTTGCTATAACAAGGGGTAGCTCTATTAAAATTACGATTTATTCGTATTAAGATTTGACTACGATACAATTATGTTTCTTTCATTAAAATATTTTGTCACTTACATAAAACATCAACATTATTTATAGCTTTACTTTAGTTCATAATTTCCTCAATGAAAAAAATTCAACACACAAACTTCATAAAAATACAGACCTTCATTCATCAATTTTACAATATACATACATATTATGCGATTTTTTTGATAACTCAAGACAAATAAGAATATAATTTACAATTAGGTAGGTAGTTCTTGATATTTCGGCAAAAGTATTCAATTTGAAAGTAGAGAAAAAAGAGAAGTTTTAAAGAGAGACTTTTTTGAACGAAAGTTCTAGTTGAAAACTACCATATTTGTAGGATAAAGAAAAAAACCTACCTTTCCTCTCAACGTGGTAGTGGAGACCAGACTCGATGGTCTCTCCCTCCCTGACCCAAGTGATCTTAGGCACTGGGTGGCCGGTGAAAGGAATCTTAATGACAACGTTCTCGCCCTTATCGAAGTACGCGGTCACACGGAAGCGAGGCGGCACGTTCAGTTTAGGTGCAGCTAGAAAAAAAATATGGTTGAGGATTTTAGTTTAAGAAGATGCTTTGTCAAAATAAACTTAAGTTAGATTTTCTACTAGATTATGGGTGTCTTTATAAAAACTGATGTCATCCATATTTAGTAGATTTATTTAAGGATCAAAAATATCAATGTTTAGAAACATTGAACAGTATTGTTCTTTATGAGAATCGAACCATAGATAAATTTTGCAGTAAATAGTATAAATTCAAGTTGTATTTTTATCGCTGCTTGCTAAATAACATTTGCGCATCGTATCAGCGCAAAGTTTGCGCAAAAAGCGCAAACATGACAATATTTAGCGCAAGTATTGCGCATTGAAAGTGGGTAGAAACTCACTCATAATCAGCAGTTCAGCCCTGGTAGACTTGACACCAGCGCGGTTGACGGCTCGGCAGACATATTCGTCGGCATCTTCACCGAAGACATCCATGACAGTCAGGAAGTGGTTGTCTCCCTCGCTCCAGATGCGGTGACGAGGTCCGTTTGTTATCTCGCGAGCACCTGTATTGAAAAATGTTTAGGAAAATGGTTTTTCTCGACATAGGGTTTTGAGTCATCAAGAATATACCGTAGTATAGTAAGGTTTGCCCTTGTCACAAGAAGATTTATAATGTTAAAAGTAATCTATTTCTGTGTTTCGTCTTTAACTCTTTTCCTCTTCAACTAAGGGTTTACCAGTAAAAGCGTAGAAAATAGTAAGAACCCTTCTCTTCACATCAAAGTATTTTTAAATTCGTAAATTTGAAGTCATTTCACATCTTTCACAAGATTATATCAGTACACTTTCTAGATTCGTCCAGATTATTATAAGTACAGATTATCTTTTACACAAGACAATATAGAATTATCATTTTGTTTTGTACAGATACTAACCCTTGTACCATGTGATGGTAGGTTTCGGTAGTCCAGTGATGGTGCACTGGAACTTGGCGTTGTGGTACTGGATGCAGTTGGCATTCTTCAATGGTTTCACGATCTCTGGCGGTGTGGCGGCTAAGGGAAAATAATGTTATAAGTCACATTGCAAAATAGGATATTCAGAACTTTCTTACAAGGAACTAAAGTTGAAAGTCGATTGCTAAGACGACATCGGGATCGTTTTATGACTTGGAAAATGGACTATTTGAGAACCGACACTTAGGTACAATTAAATCTTAACTTTATCGTGTTAAGATAATGTCGAAAACTGTTAATTTTCTCCTCTCATCAAACAATTGAACGCAGATAAAGAACAATAGGTATAGTTGGTAGTGGGAAGAATTTTCTTGTTATTTATTTATTTAGTTCTAATTAACTGGTTTATAATAATAATAACATATTAACAGTGAATGGGTTGTTTTAAAGTAAGTATATTTTTGGCCTCACCTTTAGGATCGACGACCTTGACCTGTTGGCTAGCGCTGCTGGGCGGCGAGACTCCGGCCTCGTTCTGTGCCGTGACCTGGAACTCGTACTGGCGACCCTCGATCAGGTTGGAGCAGTTCCATTGGTTCGGCAGGCACAGCGTCGGGTTTACGCGCTGCCAGGTCGATGTACCGACCTCGCGTTTGTCGATCCAGTAACCTGCGATTGAGGAGGTAAAATTTATTATTTTGTATTTATTTGTTATAGAATTTTAGGGTTCTTAGCAAGAAACCATCCTGACCAAACCTGATATGAAATATTTTTTTTGCTAATTAATTAATTTGAAAAAATGAAAAATAAAAAAAATATTTGTTTTTATAATAAACAAGTGTTTGCTATATATTCCATTTATATTTCACATATTCTTAAATTTGAATTAAAATCTATTAAATACAAATTTTATCTACCTCCAAAAACTCTTCAAGTTTTTTATTACAAGTAAATATTTAGTTTACAATAAGAGTTAATTGTACATCATGATAAAAACATACCTTGAATCCTAGATCCACCGTCACTCTCTGGTTTGTCCCATTCCAGGTGGACGAAGTCTCCTCCGACCTCCAGGATCTTGGGGATTCCAGGAGCTGATGGTGGGTCGTATGGTGCCTTGGCCTAGTGATTGAAGAACAAAATTATTAATAAAAATGAGTACAAGATGCGTAAATAATAATTAGGATATTATATAACTTAAGTACTTAATTAATTTCACAAACAAAATTGATCTAATTGCTTTGGTCCACTAAACCAGTTTTTTAATCAGTAAAAGCATGACTAGTCATTTTTATATTCAGAAAAATTATAAACAAAGTGTTGAAATTCAAAATAAGTATTTGGCGGTCTATCGGCCAAATGATACTATTGGATAATCTAAAACCTAACTGGCGCAAAGTATATAACTTTTCATCAAAACAATATGTAAAGAAACACAAAAAGTATTCAATGTTATAAATAAAAATTAAGTATGATATACGAAATTAAGCACATAGCCCAAGATAGGTCCAAATGGAAAAATACTGTGGAAGCCCTACCTAGGGGACATAGGAACTTAAGTCAAGTAAGTCATGATATATAAAAAACTCACCTTAATCGGGCTAGCTCCCTCAAGAGCTGGTCCCATGCCGTTATCATTAGCGGCATGAATCCTAAAGTTATACTCCTGGCCCTCAGTCAATCCTTGCACGGTGAACTTGGTGTCCCTCACAGAGGACGCGATAGTTATCCACGCTGTTCCCGAGATGTCGTTACGTTCGATAATGTAGTGAGTGACTGGAAGACCTCCGTCGTAAGAGGGAGGTTTCCAGGCGAGAGTGCACGAGTGACGGGAGATGTCTGTAGTCTCCAACGGGCCTTGAGGAGGTCCTGGTAATCCGGTGACGGTGACGCTGAACGTGTCTGACGTTTCGCCTGATTTGTTCGTGATTGAGATCTTGTAAATGCCTGTTGAGGAAAGGTTTGTCAGTTACATTATTTCTCGTCACAAATTAATAAAATGAAATCTTCTTTTGTGGTGAATCTTTTATAACACGACAAAATATATTTTTGATATTTAGCATCAAAATGTGCAAAGCTTTTAAGGAAAATCTAGAATATTCTTTTTTTCTGGTCTTAGGTATAAAATTCACTTAAGAAACTCAATACTGTAGCTAGCACCAGTTTTAAGCATCAAGCTGGCAGCATTAATCCGGTGTTTCAGGTGCGACTGTAGTTAGGAGACATTAAAATCACACCGTCTTGTAACAAATTAAATAAAATTTGAACAAATTTTCACCATATTGTTTTCACTGTTTTCAGCTTTTTCTAATAAAGGTTCATTTTTTCAATGGTTAGATAAAACTTACCTGGGGAATAATTATGATGCTGTCGCGTCACAATGTTTGTATAAGACAGTGACGGCAACAATTTTATTCCTCAGATAACATTTATCTGACTATTGAACAGTCAGCCCGAAATAAAATATAAATCCTCACCCATATCATCCTTAGTGATATCCTTGATGAAGATAAGAATGTAATCATCGAAAACGGTGTATTTGAAGTGTGGAGAGTCGGAGAGTTTGTGTCCATCCTTGGTGAGGACAACGTCGGCGGGCTGGTCTCCGGTGTACAGGATCTTGATCTTTGTGTTGTCGTGCTCCGGCAGGTGAAGGTCGCCTGGCATGCGGACGATGCGCGGTGGGTCTGGGGGACAAAAAGAAAATTAATAAGCGGACATTTTCTGCGCTTCAAATGAGGACTTACAACACTATTGAAAATGTTAATTTTATGTCGCAACGGGACTCTTATTGACATAAGCATTAAGCGCATCACAAGTACAATGATTCTCGGTTAATTTACGCAAGTAAGTCGTTTATATTCAACTAGCTATTCTCGTGCGATTTTATCCGGTGCTCGGCTCCATTTAATCGTAGCGTTATGTTTTATAGCCTATAGCACTCAAGAACATTGTAATTATCTATCAGTGAAAGAATTTTGGCAATCCGACCAGTGGTTCCAAAGATTACCCCCTACATACAACTTACAAACGTACAAACTTACAAATTTTACCTCTTTATAATATAAGTATAGATATATATAGTGCGACTTACGGTAGTTACTATTATTATTACGGAAACAAAGCCTACGAATTGCCTGGTGATAAATATTGCATTTTTACTACTCAAACTTTACAATACTATTTGAGAATAAATTTTGATATTAAATAATTTGACAGGTAATGTTAAAAGGCACAGTCCTGACAATTTACTTAGAAGCAAATGTCTGTAGGTTTTTTTTTCGGGGTTATGGGTGCAAGACCTATAATAATCCGTAGCCCTGGCCTCGAGGAAGATAAGAAAGGGGTGATTTTTACTCAGTAAGAGTCTGACACTCCTTCGACATCCATGGCCAAAAAAGTTATTTGGAACAATGCATTTATTTTTACAAATAGACCATGAAACAAAACGTACACGTCATAATGATATAAAATTAACTAGATAAAGCATTTCCTATTAGACTACACTGAGGTAAAATACCGAAACAAGCTCAGAAACCGACGATTTTTCAACTCAAAAAGGCTAAGATTATCAAAGAACTTACTTCCGATCTTAAGATGTCCAGTGCAGTAGATGAAGCCGATGTTATTGACGGCCTCGCACGTGTAGTCGCCCTCGTCCGCGTCCGTCGCCGCCGTGATGTTCAGCCGGAGGGTACCCTCGCGGGACTCAGCGATAAACCTGATAAACCAGGGTTTTGATTAACATTTTTTCAACACACTTTCTCACAAAGTGGTTCTAATCCCGTGGCAATTAGGCAAATAATGACACCTATGATCAAAATGTGAAGTTTTTTTTTTCATATTATTGGTTGAGTTACGCTTATATTTGCGCTAAAATGCTACCCGCGAGAGGCCAAAAAAAAAACCTAATTTTTAGTCTATGGCCAATGCAGGTAGATAGGAAAACTGATTATTTTATTCAGCCATAACAAAACATTTCTCACGAGGTTCGTGCCGTTTTCTCTTTTAAGTTATTTATTTTATTAGGATGTCTGCAAATAGGTACAATTTATGGAGAAAATGATTGATGATGTTGAACACCGCCTGATAAGAGGTGAAGCCAATAACTTTGTGGAAAGTTTACTGCCAGAAAACTAAGTAAAAAAAATCAACAATCACATACCTGTTACCCAAAACGACTTCTCGGCCGTTCTTGAGCCACCTGCCAGTGGGCACTGGGTTGCCAGTAGCGACGCACTCCAGCGTGAAGGGCTTGCCCAGCGGCGCGCAAACTGTCGGTGGAAGCTGCTTCACCCATTCTGGTTTAGTTCCGCCCAACTCCTCGCCAGTGCGGACTGGGGTAGTGCAGCTTGACGGTTCTGACTTGCCTGTGAAGGAGGAGGGTGTAGTATGTAATATGTAAAATCTTATTTAATTTTGAAGAGGATTCAGACTAATATAATACTGTCTAATAATAGTTAACAATATACAAAAATCATATCGCTAATAATAAGCCTCCGCAGATAAAAACACACTCCGATTAGAATAATTATATGCCATATTTCAACATTTTTTGTTTTATACAAAAAAAGTCATTCAAAAGTCGTTCCACTGTACCTATTTCTATTAGCTACAGAGACAGACGATCTCGATGAATCGTCTAATAATAAATATTTATGGTACATTTGGCAAAAGGGATTTTCTTAGCAATTCTGTGTTAAATATTTGAAAGTCTTGGAGTCTTGAAGTGTTTATTTAAGAACAACCAACGAAGTATGCACCAGAAAATACATGTTATAGCACTCACATTATAACATATTGTAGCGTAGCCTTCATAAAAGGCTGCCACGGCATGCATTAAAAGTTATTAGGAAGATACTAATAATAATAACAAACTTACCAGCCGAGTTAACAGCGACAATGCGGAACTCATAGTCAGCCTTTTCGTTGAGGTTCATGGCAGTAAAGGTGGTGTCCTGTACGTTGTAGTCATTGCACTTTATCCAGACGGAACTGCCGACGTCACGGCGCTCAATGATGTAGCCCGTCACACGGGAACCTGGATCAATGAGGGTAAATTAAAATGAGGGTAGGGATCGATGTCAGGAAGTCATAAGGACCAAATTGTCTTGTACGCAAATTGTCTATTCTCTCTAACGCAAATAGGGCTTCGACGACACTAACAAATGAGGTCATATAGGATGAAGAAAAATTATTTCAAAAATGGACAAATGAAAGATTATTAATTTTGTTGTAATAATAATTTATTTATTTTAAAATGTTTACTTTGCTATTTGTTGTCGATAAAAGACAACTTGCCCTTTGACCGATTTTTTCAAGAAAATGCTTTCTAATTTGTGAAGCGATCCATTAATAAGCAATGATGCAACTTACCAAAAGTATACATTACAACTACAGTTTTTGCATGAAATAGAAGCCTCTACCTTCTTCAGGAGCAATCCAACTTTATTACTTTTTATAAGCAAAACATAGACATTCCTAGAAGTTTCCCTATAAGTAATAATAATTATCAAAATCTCACCTCCATCATGGGCCGGTGGGTCCCAAGACAGGTCCACGTAGTTTCTTCCGACCCTGAGCACGCGAGGCGCGCGGGGCGGGGCGGGCGGGTTGGCCTTACCCCGGACCTTGAACCGCTGCGAGCTCGCCGAGTATTTGCTCCAGCCCGCCGCGTTCTTTGCACGGACACGGAACTCATACTCGTGGCCTGGCTCCAAGTTGTAAGCCTGTTTGAACACAAGGATAATGTTAGATTGAGCTATAAAATAAAACAGGATAAATTGTATCCCTAAGTTTTGTCGTGAAGTTGTGTACATTTTTGAAGACATTACTGATAATGAAAACCTCTGGTTACTTCTAGAGGAAAAAGACCATTTAGGTAAAATTGTGGGTCTTGTATTTTGAAGCCTAGGTAGTAGCTATACATACATATACATATAAATATACATATACATATACATAGATGTATCCATATACATATACATATACATATACATATACATATACATATACATATACATATACATATACATATACATAATAACATAAATAGAATGTAATTTTGCGTTTGCGTAAAATATTATACCAATATAGAAACTATTTATTTATTTATAGATTTACAACATCTATGTACATTATTAAAAGGAATGAGCCAATAACGACCAAGGTACATCATATAAAGGTATTGCATAATTCATTTGGTATCTCCTCCTTCCGTTCTGTATTGAACTATGGTTTCTCATCTTTTAATACAAGTAATTTTGAGCACCTACCTAAAAACAGTATTAGCACAAAATCCTATAAAAAATTCCCCCACTCACCTGGTAATTGCAATCCTTGACAAGATAATCGGAGCTGTTCCAGATACCGTCCTGGACATCCCTGTACTCCAGCTTGTAGCCCTGGATGCGGGCTCCACCGTCGGAGCGCGGCCTGTCCCAGATTAGGGAGGCGGCTGAGCCATCCCAGTCGGTGACGCGAGGCATACCAGGCGGGTCGGGGATCGTGAACGGGAACTGGAGAAAGACACATTACATCATCATCAGCCCACTGCTTTTTTGTGAGGGGAAAATCATCAAATGACTTCTCCTACGAGACGGAGTGTCAGACTCTTACTGACTAAAAACCCCCTGTTCTTTCTGCTCTAGGTTGAGGCCGAGTGAGGTAATATGAACAATTTGTTGAATCAAAACTTTATGATGAGGATTTTTATTTGATACATACAAAAATAAGTTTATACTTATTAAGTGTGGAAGAGCCTAGCTTCGGCACGAATGGGTTGGCTCGACCGGAGTGATACCACGGCCTCACAGAATACCGGCGTGAAACAACCTACAGTGTTGTGTTTCGCCGTGTGAGTGAGGTTACCGAAGGCCCAATCCCTTTCCTTCCCCTATCCCTTCCCGATCCTTATATCCGCAACCCAAAAGGCCAGCGACGCACTCGTAACTCCTTTGGTGTTGCAGGTGTCCATGGGCGGCGCCGCTTGCTTACCATCAGGTAATCTGTCAGGTAATAAAAAATACTGTCTATGAATATTATGTAAGTAAATATAGTGAATACAAACCTTGGCAGTGATAGCATCGTCCATAGTCAATGGGTCGGATACGCCATACTGGTTCTCAGCGCGAACGCGGAACGTGTACTTGCGGTTCGGTTCCAATCCCATGACATTGTAGTGGCAGTTGCGGACAAACGATGAGATCTTTGACCATACCTGGTGGAAAATAATAGGAATAATTAGAAACAGTAAGAATTTCGTATAAGACTGTGAACTTCAAAAGGTCAAAAAGTCAAAATCATTAATTTCAATTTGACGATAACAGGCACTTTTGAACGTCAAAAAGAATAAAGATAAAAAAGGAATGACAGTCTATCGGTCAGACCTCCTAGTGAAGCTTTTTGCTCGTTCCAAAGTGTATATTCTGATGGAGAAAAACGAGCAAGAAACTCCACGGTTACTTTTTTGAATCAGTTTCGTTGGCATAAGTATATTGGCCATTCTTTCTCTTTCTTTCCCTTTCTTCTCCATTTTACACTTTGAACCTACCTTTACTGCCGAACAAAAGTACCTGTTTGTGATTTAGTTAAAATAGATGATTATTACTTTATGACCATACTAAATATTGATTACTTTTAGGATCAAAAATCTATCAAGCTTCAAGGTCAACTATTCTCTTTTGACGTTTAAAAATGTGGAGCAATTATTTGAAGTTAATTATTTTCATAGGTTACATTTATTTGAAGTTTTAAGTAAGACTAACATTACTTCCATTACCCAAATCATATTTTTATTAGTTTTTTGTAGTCACTATTTGAGCTATATGGACTTGCAAAAAGAACTTACTTAAACCGTTTGCTACTTCCACCCGTTAACACGTTTTATTTACCCAGTTATCTAATACATATAATATTACTTACTCCACTGTTGTCCATCTTTTCGACCACATAGTTGGTGATGGGAGATCCACCATCATCTAGCGGTGGTTTCCATGACAACGTGCACGTGTCTGGAGTAATGTCGTATGCGTCCATAGGTCCTACAGGCGGTGATGGCCTGTCCACTACTAATACCTAGAAAGAATATTGTTAACATTAAAACTAGGGCCCATTTGGGATGACTTTAAGGAAATAGCTGATGCGAACTTTTGGCAGTTTATTTATAACATATAAGCAAATATAAGAATATTTTTATTTGTAAACATAATGGCACTATAATTTCTTGCAGTACCTACGCTTAGGCGTTTTAGAAAAAATGTTTGAGAAGTTTTTTACTTATAATAACTTGGCATATTTTTATAAATCGGAAGAGATACAATTCATTCTGGATATTGGTCCTATTTGATTGTTCTTGGACGAAATACACAATAGCCTTCTTTTTTTTAATGTTTAACCCGTGATATGTAGCACTACACGAGACACAATGTTTTCTATTGTGTCTCATATACCGGCGAACAAGAGCTTAATTGGTATCACTGTGGTTTTTCATCTCAGTATTAAAATCTACACTTACCCTGCATGTAGCACTGTCTGAACCTTCGCTGTTAACCAGCTGAATGGTGTAGGATCCTGTGTCGGACCTCTTAGCAGGCGAGTTGTGGAATACAGTGTCTACATCTGACGTCACGAAGCGGATACGGTTGTCCGGGAACACTTCCTCGTTGTTTACAATCCATGATACCTGGTAGAAATGGTTTTAATAAGAACAGTTTTCATTTATTTTTGAATTGAACAAAACTTTATTAAATGATGAACTAATTTCAGCCTCACCTTTGGCCTTGGGTTGCCAGTAAACGGCACAGTAATCTTGATCTCCTCTCCAGCAATAACTGTGATGTCCCTAAGGCTGAGATCGCTGGTGATCTTGGGCGAGTTCGGTGGTGCGCAGGCCCTGATAGCGTCAGAGCTGGCGGAGTACGGTCCCTGACCGGCAGCGTTAATAGCCGCCACACGGAACTCATACTCATGGTTCTCAATCAGGCCAGTAACCTTGTATGTAGTGTCAGGAATGTGTGCATGAGATGCCTTCGTCCATTTATCCTCAGTTATAAGTCGCTTTTCTACGACATAACCAGTAATAGGCGAGCCACCGTCGTGACGCGGCTTCGTCCAGGTAATCGTGATGGAAGACTCTGTTGTCTCCACAGAGCGAGGAGCTCCAGGTGCGCCAGGCGGGTCGAATGGATGCCTAGCCTTGATCGGCTCAGCAGTCTGTGCTGGGTCTGACTGACCATACTGGTTCTCAGCCATAACCCTGAATTCGTAGTCCTTTCCGACCGTCAAGTTCTTCACCCGCAAGAACGGAGTGGTGACGTAGCCTGATACCTTGGTCCAGTTGGCAGTTCTGCCTTCGCGTTTCTCAACCACGTAGTTGGTAATCTCGCCTCCGCCATTGTCCTTTGGTGGGTTCCAGTATAGTGTGAGGGCTTCGCCTTCAAACTCTTCAGCCCGCAGGTTCTCTGGTTTTCCAGGCCTGTCGAGCACACGCACGTTGATGGTGGCTGTGTCGTATCCTGATGGGTTGCGTAGTTGCAGGCGGTACTGTCCACCGTCTGACCTCTTCGCGTTCTTGACAACAAGAGACGCAGACTCTGGTGTAATCTTCTGGAATATTCTCGAATCACCTTCAACATCAAGCAAGTTGTCGTCGGCGAACCATTGCGCGGTCGGTTGCGGGAAGCCAGTGTACGGCACGTGAATGGAGAAGTCCTCTCCAGCACGTACAGTAATATCCCTGACTCCTCCAAGGTCCATGCATGGTTTGTTTGGCTGTTCAGCAATGATGATCTCGCTGGTTGGCTTGCTAGGATCTGAGCGGCCAACGTCGTTAACAGCGATGACTCTGAACTGGTATTCAGCTCCTTCCTTAAGCGCGGGAATGGTGTGGACCAGGCTGGGAATAGGTACATCGTTGACGTCCTTCCAGTCTTTGTCTCCCTTGCCCTTCTGTTGGATGATGTAGCCCTTGATCTTAGCTCCACCGTCGCTCTTGGGTGGCCTCCAGGACAATGTAACGGAGTCTTTGGTGACTCTGTCTGGTTTGGGCGCTTCTGGTGGGCTGGGCTTAAGTCTCTGTGTCTGTGCTGTGATTGGTTCAGTCGGCTTGCTAGGCTTGCCGGGTCCGGCTTCATTGACAGCAATGACACGGAACTCGTAGCGGTTACCCTCGCGTAGGTCAGATACAGTGTAGCACGTGTTAGGTGTTGGGTAGTTGTTAACCTTGACCCAGTCACCGCCACGTTCTCTCTTCTCAACATAGTATCCAGTAATGGGTTTGCCACCACAGTCCTTCGGTGGCTCCCATTCCAGGGAACAGCTGTTGGAGCTGTATCCAGTAATCTTGGGCGTGTCTGGTGCATCTGGTGGGTCGAACGGTGACTTGGCAAGTGTAGGCTTGCTCTCCAATGGATCGGAGACACCGTACAAGTTCTCAGCACGAACCCTGAATACATATTTCTTGCCTTCTGTCAAGTTCTTTACAGTGAACGAACATTTAGGGCAGAAGCCAGCGACCGTGCGCCAGTCGTTAACTCCAAATTCAGCAACTTCGACAACGTATCCAGTGATCTCGCTGCCACCATCGTCGGTAGGTGGTTGCCAAGTGAGGCTGACGGCGTCGTGTGAGACGGGTTGGCATAGGAGAGGTCCTTTGGGCACTCCTGGCTTGTCAACAACGATAACTTCAATGTCAGCGGAGTCTTTGCCGTGGGCGTTAGATGCTGTGATGGTGTACTTGCCAGCATCTTCGCGAACAGATTTCTCAATGCTGAGTTTAGTTTCATCAGCCTTAGTTTCAGCGCTAATCCTGTGCGAGGGTACAACAGGAACTGATCCCTTGGTCCAGGAGATGGTCGGTGTAGGCGCGCCACTGATTGGAATGTTGATATTGATAGGTTCGCCTGCACGGACCTTGATCTTCCTGCCAATGAGGTGATCTAACCTCAGTTTCGGGCTCTCCTTCATAGGTCTAGCAATGAAGACGTTGGATTCGTCTGAAGGCTGTCCAGGTCCAGCAGCGTTGACTGCCGACACTCTGTATTCGTACTGGTGGCCTTCCTGTACCCTTTCGTCATTGTATTCGTTCAACCTGACTGGGTCCTTGTTCAGTTTGATCCAGCGGCCAGTAGCCTTGTCTCGTCTCTCGACGTCGTAACCAAGGATGTTGGATCCTCCGTTGGATATAGGCGGTGACCATCTAATGTTGATGTGGTCTTTGTCTGCAGCAATAAGCTCTGGTTTGCCAGGCTTGCCAGGTACTGTGTACTGGTTCTTGGCAATGATTGCCTTGTCTGTAACGAGTGGCTCAGAGCGACCTTGAAGGTTCTCAGCGAATACTCTGAACTCGTACTTGGTACCTTCCGCCAGACGTGGCACAGTCGCGTGGTTGAATTTCGGGTTGATGTAAGTAACAGCGGGTACCCATCCACCTCCGTGGGTGAGGTCGCGCTTCTCAATGACGTAAGCAGTAAGCTCACTGCCACCGTTGTCCAAGGGCGGTTTCCATGATAACGTGACGGACTGCGCAGTAATCTCTTCGTATACGAATGGAGGCTGTGGTGCTCCAGGCACGTCAAGTACAATAAGCTCGAAGCTTCCCTCATCAGTGCCGGTGTCGTTCTTTAGTTTCAGGTTGTATTTGCCAGCGTCGGAACGCTTGCAGTTCACAGTGTGTACAATAGTGTGGTGACCAACAATGGTGACTGTTGTCCTCTCGTTGGCTACCACTGGCTTGCCATCACAGGTCCATGTGACTTCAGGAGTAGGCTCTCCAATGAAGTCCACATCCATGTGGAAGATGAGTCCAGCCTTGATGCGGATCTCCTTAAGTGGTGTAAGAATTTTAGGAGCCACGAATCTGTCCTTGGCTGTGATGATGTCAGATGGCTCACTAGGCTCCGATTGGCCGGCTTGGTTCACGGCGATGACACGGAACTCATAGTCCTGGCCTTCAGTCAGATCAGGTACAGTAGCCTTGTTCTTACTAGGAGGCACATGGACAGCATTCACCCAGTAGGGGCTGCCCTTCTCCTTCTTCTGAATGATGTAACCAGTGATTGGTGATCCACCATCAGACTTAGGCTTCTCCCATTCAAGGTCGACGTGGTTCTTGCTCCAGTCAGTTGCCTTAGGTTTGCCAGGAGCGGATGGCTCGTCGAATTCGTTCTTGGCGACGATAGCACGGTCCAGCTCCAAAGGTTCAGACTGACCAATAGCGTTGACAGCGCTCACTCTGAACAAGTATTCCTTCATGTGGATCAACCTGGTGACTTGGTGCGATAGGAAAGTGCTCATACCAGCATCAGACCAGGTACCACGTGACAGGTCCATCTTCTCAATGACGTAGTGGAGGATCGGCGATCCACCATCGTCCAAAGGTACCTTCCATGATAGCGAGCAAGATTCCTTGGTAACATCAGATACGACCAAAGGCTTCTCAGGCCTCGAAGGTCTGTCGAGGACAGTCACTTGAGCTGCAGCAGAGCAAACTCCAAGGTCGTTCTTCAAGGTCAGTTTGTAAACGCCTCCATCAGCGCGGACGGAGAATGGAATGTCTAGAATGACCCTGTTGTGTAGAACCTGGATATCAATCCTATCTGTTGGGTGGATCACCTTGCCGTTGATCTGCCATTCGACAGTTGGTTTAGGCGATGCTTCGATCGGGATCTCGTATTGGATCCTCTGGCCAGCCTTGACAGTCTTGTCTGCCAAGAGCATTTTGTCGAAGTGTGGTGCACAGAACCTGGCCTTAGCCACCTGTGGTGTGGAAGCATCGCTGGGCTCTCCGTTACCGGCCTTGTTGACAGCGATAACTCTGAACTCGTACTCCTCACCCTCCTGGAGGTTAGGTATGGTGGCAGTCGTCTTGTTTCCAGGTACAGTCGCAGCGACTTCCCAAGGTCCGTACCTCTTCTTAGCCTCGATGATGTAGCCAGTGATGGGTGAACCGCCATCCTTCTTGGGTGGCACCCATTCGAGGTCCATGTGGTCCTTGTCCCAGTCCTTGACAACTGGGGTTCCAGGTTTGTCTGGAGTACCGTAAGGATCCTTGGCTGTGATTGGTTCGTGTCCCACAAGAGGTTGTGATTCACCATGTTTGTTGACGGCGCGGACACGGAAGTTGTAGTCGTGGCCTTCGATGAGGTGGTCGATCCTGATGCTACAGGACTGGACTTCACCAGCTGGGATCCAGCGCATGTTCTCTTGGTCCATCTTTTCAACAACGTAGTGAGTGATTTCTGCACCACCGTCGTCCTTGGGCGGCCTCCAGCGGAGAGTGCAGCCAGACTTGGTGATATCATCAGCGCGAAGAGGACCTTCAGGCGGTGTTGGTACGTCCATAACAGTGATCTTAACTGTGGCTGTGTCGGTGCCGTTGATGTTCCTGGCTTTAAGAGTGTAGATGCCAGTGTCAGCCCTCTTAGCATCAATAACACGGATCTTAGTGCTGTGCGTGTCATTGACAATCTTGATCCTGTCAGTGTTCATGACGAGGTTGTCACCATTGAACCATTCCTTGGTAGGTGTGGGCTCACCAGCGACTGGCACATCGAGGTCGAAGTTCTGTCCGACCTTGACCTTGATATCGAACATGAAGTTCCTGTCAATCTTGGGTGGCAGGTTCTTAGGTCTAGCAAGATGTGGTGCTGTGCCATCGCTAGGTTCACCTTTACCGGCCTTGTTGACGGCGCGGACGCGGAACTCGTACGTGTTTCCTTCGATGAGGTCTGGGACCTTTCCTGTTGTGACGTCACCCTCGATTTGGGCGCACTCCTCCCAGTCGGGGGAGAAGCGGTCCTTCTTTTCGATGACATAGCCGGTGATGGGTGCCCCACCATCGGTCTGTGGTCTGGTCCATTCAAGTTCCACGAAGTCTCTGTCGAAGTCCTTGATCTTGGGCGTGCCAGGCTTGCCGGCGACGTCGAACGGATTCTTGGCTTCGGTCGCGTGTGGTGTGGTGAGAGGCTCGGACTTGCCTTGCCTGGTGAAGAAAAGGATTAACGATTATGAGTTTTATTTTTATAAATTATATTTCTATAACAAGTAAAATATCTACCACTAAATCAAATCATAAATTGGCAAAAACAATTTATCTGATCTTAATTTCTTACTATTATTTTTTTTTAATGATCTGTCTTTGAAACAATATAACATATCACGAACATTTATGTGAAAAATAAACTATGTACACATACCTATTAACGGCTCGGACTCTGAACTTGTACTTGTGTCCGGGCGTAAGGCCTTCTACAGCGAGGCTGGTCTTAGGGCCGTCCGTTTCACCGGCAGTGACCCAGCGTCCGGTGGCCTCGTCCATGCGTTCCACCACGTATTTGTCGATGGGCTGACCACCATCGTCTGCTGGTGGGTTCCAGGATAGCTTGGCTCCATGAGCGTGAACATCGGAGACCTAAGGAAGATTAGACAAATAGTAAATGAGGGTTTCAAGGTAACTTAAGTATTTTATTTTTAAGCTCAACTTAGAAAACAGGTGAAAGTATAAAGGCAGATCCTTCGGTTACGTATCCTTTAGAATGGTTTTCTTTTACTATTTTAATAAGTAGCTAACTCCCAAATTCGGTCAGTGTTAAGAATCTTTTTCCATGTGTTTTTACATTAAAAAAAACCTTTTTCATCTACTTGGGTTTTCTCCTGTGCCGTGTGTGCTTTTACCAACATAAAATTTCACATATACAACACACCGGAACAACAATTTGTGGATCACACAAACAGTTGTTGCGTGCGGAAATCGCGCAGCAAAATAGGAATATAAAATATATTTATTTAATTTAAATTGGTATACAACTGACCAGTAACCATATAAACTAACAAGTAAAAAATTATTTGATTGTTATTATACTAAATAAAACTAACCTTGAGTGGTCCTCCAGGTGGACTTGGTACATCGAGCACGATAACTTCGACTTCAGCGACATCTTTACCGTTACTGTTCTCAGCAGTGATCGTGTATCTTCCACTGTCAGCTCGCTTGGCTGTCTTGCAATTAAGCTTGGTGTTGTAGTCTGAATGCTGCACCTTGACGTCTCCTCCAGATTTAACCTCTTTCTTAGCCAAGAACCATTTCGTTTCTGGCATCGGTTCACCGGATACCTAGAAATGGTTATACTTGATGAAAACTTGTAAAAAATTGGAGCATTTGGAAATGTTTTTGGTAGATTTTGATTTTACAAAATTTTGTTTTGTTTTTTGAGTATCTTACCGATTTATTTCCATGTTAGCATTGAAAAAAAACCATTGAAAATTAGTCGAAAATAACGTAGAAATATATTCATATTATAGTTTCATTCATATACTTGGTGGAAAAAAAAACACTAATTTATTAATATTTTTTCCTAATGGCAACACTGTAGAGAAGATCCTTTATCATTTTAACGACAAAACTTTCTTAGTTCAAAATTTCAACATACAATGGCTGCTAAAGTTTCTTCAAGACGATCTATACAATGCTTCATCGTTACCAACCTTGACATCAAACCCGAACTTCTGTCCGACTTTGATCTTGATGTCGATGAGGTTGGTCCTGTCGATCTTGGGCGCCAGGTTCCTGGGCTTAGCCACAATAGGATGGGTGCTGTCACTTGGTTCTCCTGGACCGGCCTTGTTGACGGCGCGGACCCTGTATGTGGAAATTGAAATTTTGAATTAAATTTATATTTATTTCTGGAATCAAAAACATTAAGACATATTTTTTAAAGGATAGCGATTCTTCTCAGCCTTAGCTAACCTATTGAAAAACAACAACACTGACACTTTAAATGTACGACGGTTATAACTACACATTATAGATAAAAAAAGGCTCAAATACAGTCAAATTGAGACACATCCTCTTTTTTATAAGTATGAAATAGTATAATATTTTCCCATCATACTTTAATTCAGTACCCCATCATAAAATTAGCACCATTGCACGTATTGCTTATTTACTGTAATATCATTCGTGTGATCTATACTAATATTATCAGTTTATTTAAACGCGCTAATCTCTGAAACTGCTGGATGAAAATGATATTATCTCATACGAAACAAATCTATATATATAAAAGAAAGACGTGTTAGTTACTCCACTTATAACTCAAGAACGGCTGAACCGATTTAGCTCAAAATTGGCAGGGAGGTAGTTTAGAGCCAGGAGAAGGACATAGGATAGAGTAGGTGGAATAGGTTAGGTAGAGCAGAGTAGGTAGTGTAGGGCAGGTAGTGTAGGGTAGGTAGTGTAGGGCAGGTAGAGTAAGTTAGGTAGAGTAGGGTAGGTAGAGTAGGGTAGGTAGAGTAGGGTAGGTATAGTAGGGTAGGTATAGTAGGGTAGGTATAGTAGGGTAGGTAGAGTAGGGTAGGTAGAGCAGGGTAGATAGTCAAATGACGGGAGCGACGCCGCGGGTAAGAGCTAGTAACTCAATAACTCTACAAACCTGAACTCATAAGTCTGTCCCTCAATGAGGTCAGGTACGGTGCACGTGGTCTTATCCGCGGGCACCTCGACGGCCTTCTCCCAGTTGCCAAACTTGTCCTTCTTCTCAACGATGTAGCCCTCGATGGGGGCGCCACCGTCGTCCCGAGGTGGGGTCCATTTGAGGTCCACGTGGTCCTTGTCCCAGTCTGTGACTGATGGAGTTCCTGGCGCGCCTGTAGTGAGAAGAGAATTAGTTTTGTTGCACGAAAATGAAATTTACGTGAATAGAATAAGGTTGTAATTTAGGTTTATTTCTTAATTTATAAGTGTTAATTATCATTTTGTTTTTTTTTCATGTTCCTTTCCATACATGGGACTACCGGATCCCGGACCTTAGGACCTTAGGAAGGAGTACGAGGAGCCAAAGCTAACTCGCAGAGGCCCATTGAGCAGCTTTAATCAGCCAAGTGAAATTCGGTACAGACACACGAGAAAGGACATAGGATAGTTTTTAAACCAAAAATCTTCAGAAAGACATTATTTCACGCAAACAAAGTCGCGAGCAAAAGCTAGTACTCGATAATTTAAAAAAAATAAACTAAACTTGCGATACTGATTTTAATAATATAATTTACTTTGAAACAAACTTACCAGGTTCGTCGAATGGATTCTTGGCGACGATAGACTCCTCAGAGGTGAGAGGTTCAGACTCTCCCTCAGAGTTGACGGCGGACACGCGGAACTTGTACTCCTTGCCGGGAGTCAAACCGGTCACCTCACATTCTGCAGAGAAATTCACAATTAATTCCAAAGGAAATTAGATTTTATGTCGTGGTAGTATGGTGCTATTTGCTGTGGCTAGCTGTTGATGCTTATAATGTTTTATCAGTGCGGTTTTTAGCGAAACTATGAGTATTCTTTAAGAAAAGAATAGTTTTTATGTGCTTTTTAAGTTTTGATGCTACGTGTAAGGAAAAGAGAATTCATGTGAATGCTAATGTTATATGTTGTGCGCAGGCGCTCAAAAAACTATCACAAACCAATGGCTTTAAGACTATAATATTTATTGAAAGAATATGACATTTTCATTCGTGTGTTTTTTTTTGGATATTTCGTGGTCGGTGACAGAGGAATATACTATTATTTATCAAAGCATTAGTGAATGAAATATATAATTGAAGTACTATAGGCGAATATTTAAATTCAATATTAGTTTCGCAATCCAGTTTTCTTTGTATTTACGTCATATTTTTTGCGATTAGGTATATAGCACATTTTTATTTTTAGCTAGAATAAGATAATTATGTCATTATGTGTTTAGACCAATTATTTATAGAGTCATTATTTTTTTTAATGCTTATTTTATTTTATTGAAAAAGTTGAACCAATTTTTTTTGGCTAACTAAAAATATCCAAGTCTATATCATACTTACTAATTTATTTTTTTAATTAAAAATTGGTTTGAATCATCTTTTATTTCATTTATAAACACTACAGATTGAATCGACTTAACAGATTACAAAAATTCTTTCACTATTGAGAAGCTACATAATCCCCGGCCAACATAGGCTATAAACTACGCAAGTAAAATCGTAAGAACAGTCAGTTTATTATAGAATGACATCGAAACACGTGTTTTGAAGTAATGTGACAATGATTTTGAAAACAGAAAAACACGGGCATTGAGAATATTAAATAATTTGTGAATTATTGCGTGTGTAGTTAGCCTCTCTCTTGATTTATGGTGCGATTAAATCGTCGATTGATAAAAAATCTAAAATGAAGACATTCCGTTGATTTTTTCGGTAAAAAGGGGGATCTAGGTCTTACGTGGTTGATGACGATCACGTTCTTTTGGGTCGCATCCTGGTTAACAATCAATTTTTATTCATTTTTTTGTCATATTTTTTGTTTTGTGTGTGTTTTACTATTAATTTCAGGCATCAAGGCCTATATAGATATACATTTAAACAATATATTATGTTGTCCCACACTGCTGTTTTGTATATGAGTTTACAAATATACAAATTCGCATATGTATCAACCCCAGACCCGCAACAACAGTTTGTGCTCACACACAGAGTTGTTCCGTGCGGGAATCGGACCCGCGATACGTTGCTACGCAGCCGGTTGTCCAGTCGCAACGTGCAGATTAAAAGTTTTTAATCTGCACAGGTAGTATAGGTAGTATAGTTATACTACCGTAAGTTCGGGTTACTTTGACCCTGGGAGGTAACTTTGATCCAAATTTTCGAACTAATGAAAAACGAATATATGTTTGGTTCTCAGTTATTATTGGTAAAAGGGTTTGGATCAAAGTTACCCCGCAGGGTCAAAGTAACCCGAACTTACCCGGTATTATTATATATTTTTCGGTAACAAAACTGTACATATAACATTATAACTTATTCTATGTTGAAGTTTTTTATATCCGCTTCTTATATTTTTGTGACTTTTTAAATATTTTTTTATACAAAAGCTGAAAAACTGATTACACTTTAAATAACAAGTATATGCAAAATACACACAGTTAACATATTCAAAAGACTATTTGTTCTTTTTAAGAATAAATAAAGATGCACTACTTACTTGGTTCATCGGAGCGGGCACACGGTACCCAGCATCCGGTCTCTGTGTCCAGTTTGTCGATCTGGTAGTATTCGATGGGGGCGCCACCGTCGTCTTTGGGCCTCTTCCATTTGAGGGTAGCTCCCTCCTTGTGGACGTCTGAGATCTAATGATAGAAATAAAGATAATGTTTTAGGAATCTTTTATTATCTTGCTATGAAGTGTACCTAGATATAATTTGATTTTATATTATGGATTTGAATATTACACCCGGTTTCCGAAAGGCCGATCAATGTTAAAATCAATTTAATCTCTTGTCAAGACATCTGATTGGTTGACTGATTTATCAACAACCAATCAGATGATTTAACAGGAGATTACTTAATTTTAGCGTTGACAAGCCTTTCAGAAACCGGGTGTAAGTAGAAAACTAAAAGTTTATATTAGCATTAATATCTTTGGTATCTCTTATAAGGATAGCTTTTGACTGTAAATTTTACCAATTTGTTTGGGTTATTGTATAATAATAGACTTATACTGATGCAGTGGCGATTTTGCCAGAGTCTTGGGTTCCACGGAGAGTGTCTTCAAGGCCGGAGTGAATTGATTGCTTATGGGTATCGTAGGTCGCATCATAGCTTACCACCAGGTGAAATAGTGAATAACTCCCCATCACATCGAACCTTAATCACCACTATCTCCAAAAAATCCTCACCTGCAACGGTCCCTCAGGTTTCATAGGCTTGTCAGTGACGACCACGTTGATGGTGACCTGGTCCTTGCCACTGGAGTTAACAGCAGTGACGGTGTACTCTCCGGAGTCATCACGACGCACTGGACGGATGACCAGCTTCGTGAAGTACTCTGGACTGTCGATCATGACAGCCTTCGATGGACGGAGAGGCATGTTCTGGTATCTGGGTTGGAATTGAAAATATTTTTGATATGACTAATATAGTATCACTCTTTACTTGCGTGGCTGTCTTCAGAATGGGTCCACTTAAACTGGTGTGGGTCTTTCTTCAAAAGACCACTACAGAATGAACTTGCACGGTTCTCTCACATTATGTTTATTTTTTACATTGTCTGGACTTGAAAAGAGACTGACCTCTGACTTTATTTCGGCATTTCTTCTCAGAGTAGTCAGATAGGAAATGCCAGCTTCATCTAGTTTTTCACATAGAAATTGACGTGTAAAAGTGCCGTTTTTTGGCCTATTTGCTATATAAATAAATTCGTTGTTTCATTGTTTCAGTATAAAACAAAGTCGCTTTCTCCGTTTCTATATCCATATATCCTCTGTATCTCTATAATATATGAATGGTTAAATCTTTAAACGGACTTTGATGCCGCTTTTTATAGATAGAGTGATTGAAGAGGAAGGTTTATATGTGAAATAGCGACCATTAAATATTGGAGAAACTGAGTATGGATCAGCATTGTATCCGTGCAAAGTTGGGTCGGGTCGCTAGTATTGTATAAACATACTTGCCAAACTATAACGTTTAATGGCGGTGATTAGTTGATTTATTAGAACTAATTATCATTCCCCATTACCGATTCCCCCAATCTTCAAATTCTCCAATCGTCAAAATCCTAATTCTCAAAATACCCCTTGCAACCATTTTGATGTTGTAGGTATCCACGCGCGATAGCTTACCATCAGGTTTCGCATGAAACAATAAGAATAAATATGCTGTAAATTATACTTCTTCTCATTCTGTTATGACGTTTGAACTTCAATACAGCTAGTACACATTAAATTCCTAGGTGATTTTACTCAACTTAGAACATAGGTTCAGATTTAAAGTGATCCATAGGTCGCATCATTGCTTATACTACTTATATAACTTAACATATATAATACTAATATATTAATTTGCGTCCATCGCATTTATTATCAATTTTATTATTATTGTAAACTTAACTTAATAGAACTTAAAGTCCTATTGACTTACTATAGGTTCTATTAAGTTAGTTTTTGAAATCTGATCCAACAGACAAACTGTGTATACAGTTTTGTTGGACATTTTATACTTTTTATAATATAAAATGTACCTTTTAAGCAATAATAAATAAATAATAAATAAATAAATACCACCAGGCAAGGCAAAAAAAAACAGTCCTATTTACCTCCATTCAACAGCTGGTGCAGGCTCTCCAGTGATAGCGGCCTCCAGCTTCAAGGTAGATCCAGCAGAGATGGTCACATCTCTCAGGTGGCGTCTGTCAATCTTCGGAGCCAAGAACCTTGGCTTGGCCACGAAGTTCTTGCTGGCTTCCGAAGGTTTGCTCTGGCCGGCCTTGTTGATGGCAATCACGCGGAACTGGTATTCGTTGCCTTCGATCAAGCTAAGGAAAGAGACAAAAGCAATTAAATAGTTATATAAGCCAAGTAAGTAGTACCTATAAAAAATTATACACTATTTTTTAAATGAGTTTAATTTTTTCATTATAACGTCAAGTAAGATCTGTTATCAATTACTTCGATTCAAAATAAATATACAAAATTTGTAATCGACTATAATATCTATTTTTAATTTTAGTTCTGAGAATATTTTATAATAACATTTGAAAACGAAACGTTTAAAGTTTAAAATCAGAAAATAAGTAGGTATTCAAAAGTGTTATAGAAAAAAAAAACAAATTCTAAATTAAAAAAGAAATAATTAATAAAAAATAATATAATGTTATTATTACTTAACTCACCCATTAACAGTGCCAGAAGGTGTAGGAGTGTGTGTTTCCACAGCCTTCTCCCAGAGCGGACTGTACTTGTCCTTCTTCTCGATGATGTAACCAATGATGGGAGACCCTCCGTCTGATATTGGGGGCTCCCACTTGAGGTCCACGTGACTGGCTGACCAGTCATCCGGTACCGGAGCACCGGGCGCGTCTGGGGTAGCTACGAGAAGCAGAAAAGAAAGTTAGTTTTAAAACTCAAATATTTCCGCAGACAGTTTTGTACCTAAAAGACAGACAATATTTTTCTGATTACCCTTGATATTTCTATATCGTGGTAGGTATATCCCTAAATTGTAGAAAGACAACAGAACATTTTTGATATTTGTTTTTCTTTAAGAAAACTTTGCTATATTAGGGTAGGACTAGGATTTTCTCCTGTCGTGGGTGCGTTTACAAACATTCAATTTCACATGCTCTTGACATCCAGAGCTGTCAATTTCTGGATCACACAAAGTGTTGTGCGGGAATCGAACCCGCGACAAGTTGCACAGTAGAAAGAAGACCAGTCACCGCACCAACCGTATAGTCAAATTGTCACTACTATGAACAATTTGATTTAAAAAAATGATTTACATAAACCTTCGGTCTGTAATTTGATCATGGTCAAATAGGACAAAGTAATTTAAAAGAGAAAGAAGCTTAAAACAGAAGCTATTGGTTAATATTATAATTACATCATTATTATTAATAATATTCCTCTGGTATACCAACTAGTCTCGCAACACAATGGATGAACTACTCATAATTATGGGTTGTATTGATGTAGGTAAAATGTACTTACTGAATGGATCCTTGGCGATGATGGAGCCGAATGTCTCCAATGGCTCCGATTCACCTTCCTTGTTCAATGCCTTCACGCGGAACTTGTACTCGTGACCGGGGATAAGGCCGTCGACCTGTTAAATAAAAACAATATATAACATTCACAAAATTCATACAAATTGTATATGTTAATTGTCAGAAAATTTTAAAAGCAATTTTATCTAGTTATAGATACAGCTCGACTCAGTTTTGAAACGACAACGATGAGAGGTCTTTTATTTTCTTTAATTTCAGAAAAACCTGAAAACTACCGTATTGGGAATATGGTAGTTTCCAACTAGTCAATTCCATATTTTTACCCAAAAGTCTATAACGACACATTTCTATGAAATTTGTCAGATCGGTTAATAAATATTAAATTGCCGAATTAATTTACTTTTGACCAAGAAAATCCCCAATTGTGTAGTATTTCAACTTATAAATCCACAAAAATGTTTAAAAATTATCACAATTTCACTAACAAACTTTACGAAATACTTAATATTCGTATTATTTCAGTTCAGAAAATTCAAGACAAATAGGTAAAACATTTAATTTTGACGTACAAAAATGATGACGTCACAACGTGCTTTTTTCATACAAACTTAACTGACAAATTTCCTTTGACATTTCAGAAAAAGAATTGAATTTGATAAGATGGAAACTACCCAATTTTCTGACACTATACCACAAAAGCCTACCTCCATCTCCGGCACATTGCCATGCGTCTTGCCAACAGGCAGCCAGGTTCCTGTCTCCGTGTCATATTTCTCGACGAGGTAAGCCTCGATGGGTTCCCCTCCATCATCCTTGGGCCGCTTCCATTTGAGGGTGCAGCCGTCCTTGTGGATGTCTGATACTTCTAGTGGACCTTCAGGCTTGTCGGGTTTAGCTGGTGGAAGAAAAAGAAGGATAAGTTGTCGAGGTTTCTTCGAACAGATACATTTACTGCCGGATGGTGTACATATTTCGGATATTTAATTTAAATGTATAAGACAAATGTATCTCAAGAAACAGAGTAAATTACTAAATAATTTAAACCTTAATCTTCAACACTCTAATCCCCAAGAGATCGGCAAAGCACTTGTAACTTAGCTGGGGTTGCGGGGCAATCAGTCTAGAGCAGGAGAAGGAACGGGGTGTTTTTAGTCAGTAAGAGTGACACTTCTTCCCGCCCACTCTGGGCGGGAGAAGTAATTTGATGACTGTCCCCTCCCAAAAAAAACGCACTTCTAACTGCTTACCACCAGGATATCCGTAAGCTCATTTGCCGTGATATCACATAAAAAAAGAATACTTACAAGTAACAATAATTTCAAGTTCAGCGGTGTCTTGTCCGTATTTGTTGACGGCCTGAATCTTGTAAGTACCGGAGTCCTTGCGGCGCGGGCTTGAATGCTGGTACTTGCTCAAGTACGGGACGTTCACCACTGGAATATTAATAAAATAAAAGTTTATTACTTTGTTGTTGTTATTTAATAAACAAATCATTTTTCGTATGATTAGGTTGAAATTGGCTAGTTTCCTGAGTCAACAAGAAATTTACTTCAATTTACAAAACCATAAAAATATTCAAAAATGTATCACATATTAATTAAATAACTCTACAATACACTTAATATTAGTTTTTATTGATAATTTAAAAGAATTTTTAGATTTTTCAAAAGAAATAAGTATGCTAATTGACGTAAAAATCTTATGACGTCACAACACAGTCTTATTTCATAGAAAAGTGATGTTTTCGAAATTTAAAATGAGTATTGTGTTTGATTATTTGGAAAATAAACTATTGATATCATAACAATGCCTAAATGTCATATAAATAGATTGTTTGATTTATTAATGAAAACAACATAAAATAATTCTTAATTTTGAAAAAGTCAAAATAATCCTTCAAACATAACTAATATTTGATAACACCATTGTAAAATCATCCCAAATTACATGTGCCTAACAGTCAAATTCCTTAAAACTTACACTTCAATCCACTGCCGCTGTTAACGGACTTTCCGTTGAGAGTCCATGTGACGTCAGGAGCTGGTTCTCCAGTGACCTTGACGTCGAGGGAGATAGGCTCGCCTTCGCGGACCTTAATCGGGCGAAGGTTGCGACGGTCGATCTTTGGTGCCACTGGGAAAGGAGAGAAACATTTCAGTATAATTGGGTAATTTTTAATTAGGTACCTATACTGTCATTTATTGATTTCACTATTTAATTGCCTCCATATATAAGTTAACAAAAAAACGAGGACCTATCGATAAATAAATATCAAAATCAAATGTGGGAGAGCCATGCTTCGGCACGAATGGGTCGGCTCGACCAGAGTGAAACAGCGTTTTGTTTCGCCGTGGGCGTGAGGTTACCGGGGGCCCAATCCTCCCCCTCCCCGGATCTTTCCTCAATCCCTAAATATCCAAATCCCTTATCTCCAAAAGGTTGGAAACGCACTCGTAATTCCTCCTTGCGGGTGCGGGTGTCCATGGGCGTCGCTGATTGCTTACCATTAGGTAATCGGTAAAAAAAAGGCTTTTCAGCGTGAAAATCGATCATTTATAAAGTATTTTCTAAGTAGAGAATTTCTCAAAATCATATTTTTTTTCAACTGTTTTTTCACTATGGGTAACAATGCTAAACATAACCATATTATTTGCTAATACTTACATCTTCTAGGCTTGCAGATGACGGACTTGCTGGCGTCGGATGGTTCTCCTGGTCCAGCCTCGTTGACAGCCTTGACACGGAACTCGTACTCCGTACCTTCATCCAGGTTGGGGACTGTCGCCTTCTCATTGTCGTTAGGACCGACCTGGTGGAAGACGGGACGATGTAGAAATGTATCCTTATTACTATTATTTAAGGTATATTTGTTATCAGATTTATTTTTGGACTGGTTTTGTTATACTTTTATATAATTTTATATATACTATGATGGTATTAGAGAGAACTCGAGACTAAGTGACTTGGTGTACGGACAGAAGAAAAAGTACACATTAAAATCATCGCAATTTACCACATCATTTTTCTGCCATATTGTATGTGGCTTTTGTTAATTATAGAGCTCAAAATCTATAAAAATCTAGAAAAATCCTTGATATGTAGAATGCAGAACCCCATATGTCGGGGATGCAGAGCAAACGCAATAATATAATAGAAGCATAGCCTCGGCCGAATCAGTAAAAAGAAAGGGGTGATTTTCGTTCAGTAAAAGTCTAACTCTCTCGCACCACCTAAGGCAGGAGAAGTAATTCAATGATTTTCGCCCGATCAAAAGAAGGAACCTCTTGAAATAAAGTATTCTGGTTTACTGAGAGGTAATTGCGCTAAACCAGTATGACTCAGATTCTTTATAATTGAAGAATCTGACTCTTTGACTGCACGGTTGGTGCGGTGGCCGGCTGGCTGCCGTGCAACGTGTCGCAGGTTCGATTCCCGCACGGAACAACACTGTGTGATCCACAAATTGTTGTTTTGGGTCTCGATGTCATGTGTATGTGAAATTGAATGTTTGTAAACGCACTCTTACCTCACAAGCCTTCACCCACTTGGGTGAGCCGACCTCCCTCTTCTCAATGATGTAGCCGGTGATAGGCGCTCCACCATCCTTGAGGGGTTTCTCCCATTTGAGGTCCACGTGATCCTTGTCCCAGTCAACCACTTCTGGTGTTCCGGGCTTGCCAGGTTCGTCTGTGGAGGTGAAACGGATTTTATTATTGTGAAGTTCAGATTTTAGTCATTACTTTACTGTTGATGAATGAAAATCATACTTATTGTTATGGTGTTAGAATACTAAATACTAATATCGGTAAATGTCTACATGTTTGCTTGGACAACCAAAAATATCTTTCACCTGATTGATGGGTTATTAAAACAATCTTTATAACCCTGCTTTTTCACAAAAAGATAGACAGGTAAAGAAAGAAAACATGTTGATTTGGCACTCCATGAATCGTGACCAATATAAAATAAACAATTACAATCTAGAGTAACATTAAAAAATAAAATTAAGAATATAATGTCTCACTTCGGTGCCAAGTAGCAGTTGCCTGGTAGGTAGTGACGACCTTACCATCAAAAGAGCTACGTTACCGACTATAATGCCAAAAAAGCACTCACCGAACGGATTCTTCGCAATGATGGAGTGGTCAGCCTCAAGAGGCTCTGAAACACCCTCATTGTTGACTGCAGACACCCTGAACTTGTACTCATGACCTGGTACCAGGTTCTCAATCTCGGCCTTCGGGTCTTTGGTCTTCATGGCCGGCATCCAGCGGCCAGTCTCTGTGTCCAATTTTTCGACCAAGTAATGGTCGATGGGGGCGCCACCATCGTCTAGCGGCGGGTTCCATTTGAGTGTGCATCCTTCCTTGTGTACGTCTGAGATCTGTTTGAAAATTGATTAGAGATTTTATATTTTGTGTGCTACAGTTCATTTTTCATTGAGCGAAGGCAATATTTAACTCAAAGTCAGAGAGCCAAGCTTCGGCACGAAAACAACCACAGCATTTTGTGAGGGTGGTTACCGGAGGCCGAATCCCTTCCCCTCTCCTGATCCTTTCCCAATCCTGAAATATCCAAAACCCCAAAAGGCCGCCGCGCCCTCGTAACTTATTTTGGTAATGCCGCCCATGGACACTCCAATGGGCGGCGCCAAAACCAAGCGCGTAATCCATCTGCTCCTATGTATATCCTTGTAAAAGTCGCATCATGATTTGATTTACTCCAACACTCAAAATTAAACATTATTTTCTTACAAATAAAATTCAAATTCAACTAACCTTAAGCGGTCCTTCAGGTTTAGCAGGTACATCGAGTACATTAATTTGGATGGTAGCTTCGTCCTTGCCGCTAGAGTTCTCAGCCTTGAGTACATAAGTACCGCTGTGCTTGCGCGACGCAATTACTACGGATAACTTGGTCCTGTAGTCTTCTACGTCTACCGTCAGGTCTTCGCGAGTCGATAGACGTTCTTTGTTGTGGAACCTGAGAAGAAATATAGTAATTAAAGACTATTTTTAGAAATTTGTCATACTAAAGCTTTCTCTGTCCCTACATCTGATTACCGTATTAAAACTGCGTAACGAAGTTTGATGTGTATTTTTAATAGTATGGGTAATAGGGAAGGGTTATATGTATAACATCCATTAAATAGTAGAAAAAAATTGTATCAGCATTGCATCCGACCAAAGCCGTGGCGGGTCGCTAGTAATCTATAAATTGGACTGTTCAATTTCTCAGCATACAGTGTTCATATCAAAATTTGACACGGAGGAAGTTGATTTGTCATCAAGGAGATGGCTATATCACGTAACTTTCTAACCATGTTTCACATAGTTCTTGGGAGTAGTTCACGGAACAAAATCGTTTCTATGGACTCATTAAATGTCTCAGGGTACAGCAGTAACTGCCTTTTTTATAAAAAAAAGTGTTTTTGCAGTTTTTGAAATGCTTTTTTCATATATGCGAAATCTATATGTCTTCTCTTTTATTTGTAGTAGAAATAATTTAAAAAATATATTTTAATCATCAAATATACTTTAAATAAATATTTTTAATTATTTTAATATATAAAACTCACCATGTCTTTGTTGGTGGCGGTTCTCCGCTAACCTTGACGTCCAATCGGATGTTCTGTCCCGCCTTGAGAGTAATGTCACGCATGTTCGTGCGGTCGATCTTAGGTGGCGCTGTAGATAGAAACAGTACGTAAGACAATGAACATTAAAACCTATTTCAGTTCAAAACAAAGATCAAAACAGAAAAATGTATTTAGGTGTCAGTTTGGCGTGGCATGGTATGGTAGGTATACCACGAAAAGATGATGATGACACAGTTTTTAATAAACGTTGCCTACCAAAGTGCACTTTGATCAAAAATAGACGTTTTACTTATTCATAATACAATCAAAGTAAAAGAAAAACTATCAATTGGTTTACTTAAGATAAGCTTATCTTTTAATATTGTTGTTGGTTGGAACCAAATTGGAAAACAAAAGAAGGCGAGTTTTCATATTTAATAAATATTAAATTCCATAATTCTACACTAGCGCCCTTTTTAGCTAAACATTCTTAAGCTTCTCTTTAAATAAAATAAGACTGTGTTGCCAATGCCAATATTTATATTACCTTGAACTGAGTATTTTTATCTAATATATGAATAGAATGTGATATACGGTAGCGACATATATCGCGCAACAAGAACAACAGCACCAATCACGTGCAAGATAAAGTTTACGCGCTAATAAGCACTATAGAAAAATCCCGACAACAACTGCCCGAGTAGCCCACCAGGCACGAACACCTCGCCTGGTCGGAGGATCCTCCCTTTTCAATGGAGGATGAGGAACTTTCCACCCTGTTTCTCATACTTCTAAAATACATATACCTCATTTATACTATTGGCCATACATATGGAACTGCGGGAAAAAAAGTTAGAATTTAATATAAAATATTATCTTACCAAATCTATCCTTAGCCAGCAGGTTCTCGGAAGGCGCAGACGCCTTTCCGGGTCCAGCCTTGTTGACAGCCTTCACACGGAACTGGTAGGTCTTGCCTTCGATCAGATCAGGGACACGGGCCTCCGTCTTGTTTCCGGGCACCTGAAGAGAAGGGGAAGGTTAAGTATTGGTAGAGAAAAAAAACAAACCTGAGTTGTTTAAGTGATACCGAATCAGATTAACATTATTTTTTATAATTAAATAATAAACAAGATTTCCATAGAGTATACATACCTCAGCAGCTTTCACCCACTTGCCGGTGTCGCGGTCCTTCTTCTCCACGATGTAGGCGGTGATGGGGGCGCCACCGTCGTTCTTGGGCGCCTCCCACTTGAGGTCCGCGTGGTCTTTGCTCCAATCCTTGAATTCTGGTTTTCCAGGTGCATCGGGCTCGCCTGGAGATTTGTTTTAAAATTAGACTTGTTTTGCTAATGTTATGATAATGATTTCGATGTGAAAAAAAGATTTTTTTTATGTGATTAGCAGTTATCAAACTTGTTTGTTGTTGTGTTGTACTTTTGGGCTTACAATGAACTTATATTAATAAATTCCAATATGTAAAATAAACAACCTCAACTCTTTTCAAATTGCGCCTCAACTCAACTCACTTTAAAAACCAAAGTTCTTCACAATTTCCAACTTACCGTAAGGATTCTTAGCAGTAGTAGCGGTATCAGTAACAAGCGGTTCACTTTCTCCTTCAGGGTTGACAGCCTTCACCCTGAACAGATAATCCTTGCCCTCATTGAGACCAGTAACGTCGGCTTCAGGGGTCTTGGTGGTGCAGACAGGAACCCATCTTCCGGATTCCGTGTCCATTCGTTCCACCACATAGTTCTCGATGGGTTCGCCACCATCGTCTTCTGGGGGCTCCCATTTGAGCTTGCAACCTTCCGCTGTGACGTCTGATACCTAGTGGATGGAAAAAAAATACAATAATAAAAATAGTTATTGTTTTATGGAAAAGGTTGGCAAACGAGTATATGCATTACCTAATGGTAAGCAATTAGCCCCGCCCAAAGGAGTGTCTTGGCGACTTTTTGTAGGTTATTAAGGATTTAAGGTTAGGTCATTTCGGGATTGGGCCTCCGGTAATCACCCACACGGCAAAAAATATCAGTGTTGTTTCACGCCAGTATTGTGAGGCCGCGGTATCACTTCAGTCCATTTGCGCCGAAACATGTTTTTCCCACAATCTTGTTCCACAAGTTAATCTAGCCATATGGTGACAGTAGAGTTGAATACAATCGTGATCACCATGAATAGTCGACAACTGAACTACTAGAAACCATTTACCAGCATCCATAACAAAATTGACGTATATAAAATCTTCTATCCGCTATCCAACCGTGCAAATTTATAGCAACCTCCAGAAGAGAACACTAAAAGTCCCTCAGTATAAAATACAGCCAGAGTTGCGGGTTAAGCGCAATAAGTTACCGCAGCCTCAACAGAAGGAACGGGATGTTTTTATTCTGTCCCTCTCGCCTTAACCTGGGCGAGAGAAGATTGATTCCCCCCTCAAAAAAAAAGCAATATATAATACAAAATAGTGTACTCACCTTGAGAGGTCCCTTCGGTTTCGAAGGCTTGCTGACGACCTCAACTTCTATTTCAACAGTATCAACACCTGAGTCATTCTTCGCTGTAACCACGTATTTACCAGAATCAGCTCTGGTCATCTTGTCAATGGAGAATGTCGTGTGATAGTCTTTATTGTCAATCTGCAATCTGCCAGCAGATTTGAGTGTTTCTCCCTTGAAGGTCCAGGTAATTGTTGGTTCAGGTTCACCTTTGACATCGGCATCCATTTTGAGAGGAGAACCGACCTTGATCTTCTTGTTTTGAAGGTTCTTGCGGTCGATGTGTGGTTTCACTGTTGGATTGAAGTTTAATTAAGAATGAGTTAATGGGGTCACATTCTGTTTTATTATGATCTTTATGGGGCTGTTAACAAAGTTGAATATTTATTTTCTGTAGAAATTTCTGTTGATTTGGTGTTAGCTTAGGCATATCTATGTACGAAATTTTTCTTGCCTTTTGCCCAAATCAAAAATGACTTGACAAGAAGAGAAAGGTTTATGATGGCAAACAAACATAGTAAGTATAAAGATGCTGGGTTTGTTTGGATAAATCTATTTGTGGGATTAACAAGACATCTGACTGTAAAAAGCAGTGGTGTGTGTGTTTTTACCTCAATTTTTTTTTCAAACAAACCTTTATCATCTTAATAAAAATAATACTTACAGAATCGTGGCTTAGCAATGACACTCTTGCTAGGATCGGAAGGTTCTCCCGGTCCAGCCTTGTTGACGGCCATGACACGGAACTCGTATTCGTGGCCTTCTTCAACGTCTGTCACGCGACCAGTAGGACGGTCGCCTGAAGTCTTGAGGCAGTCTGACCAGGATCTGGTGGAAGGAATAATGAGGATGAGAAATTGTGTATGAAAATACATTATCTTTCAAAATAACCTTATTTGGAAATATTACTTAAAAGATATTGTTTGCGAAATGATGATTCTATAATATGGAATTTACATTTATATAATTATTTCCCCGAGAAATAGTCAATAAAATATTCCATTTAATATGACATAGAATTCCATTGTGGTAAAACTTTCCCAAAAACCCATACATTAGGAGATGTTAAAACGGCAACATGATATCCGTCCTTAATTCTAATAATAAATTGTAATGATAAACCGACAAACTGACGGACGGATATCGGAGTCTAGATTTTTTCAAAGTATACTCCTAAAACTCTTAACAAAAACCCTCTACCCACCTTCCACCCTTCTCCCTCTTCTGCACAATGTATCCAGTAATGGGTGCTCCTCCATCGTCCTTGGGTGGAGTCCATTCCAGCTCCACGAAGTCCTTGTCCCAGTTGCGTGGCTCTGGACGTCCGGGTTTGCCGGGCTCGTCTGAAAACAATCGGGAGAGATAAGATTTTTGTTTGTGTGACCCAAAACTTGTCAACGCAATAATTAACATAAAGGTCTTCTCTTAACAAATACTCTAGTAACACCATTATCATCATCAGCCTATAAATGCCCACTGCTGAGCAAAGACCTCATCTCCCACGGAGTAGGTATTGAGCATTAACTACCACGCTTGCTCAATGCGAGTTGGCGATTTAAAACTTATAATAAGAAATTATAAGGTCCAGATTTCCTCACGTGTTTTCCTTCACCGTGTGTCAGTGGTGTCTACATAATGTTAGAAGGTATATATATATAACTCAGAGTTGCCAGGATTCGAGAACCTTCCGGACTACTAAGACTATACCAACAACACTTACCGAAGGGATTCTTAGCAATGATAGGCTTGTCTGTCTCCAACTCCTCAGACTCTCCCTCCTTGTTAACGGCCTTGACCCTGAACTTGTAAGGCTTGCCTTCTGATAGACCTGTGATGTTGGCCTTGCAGTCCTTTGCTGTAGCACACGGGATCCATTGTCCTGGAGAGGAGAAATAAAAGTTTATGCTTGTAGAATAGGGTTTGTTTTGGAATGGGAGTATTTTTTATGAGTGCATATTAGTGAGATTATAAATAAAACCGGATGCCTTCGTCGATGATTCTATAAGTCGATAACGTCTTAAAACATAATCAATAGCGATAAAACATACTTTGCCAATCTCGCCTTCATTTAGTTGATTCGAGCAGTAGATTTACGATAGGGTAAAGTCTGTTTTGAGATTTTTACATTGAATAGAAAAAGCCTCTATACCCCGCATTGGGACTATTATAGAATAATACGTATTTAAGAAAAAATGCATGTAAATCTTACCAGTAAGCGGATCAAGTTTCTCGATCTCGTAGTACTCGATGGGTGATCCACCATCATCTTCTGGTTTCTTCCAGGTGAGGGTACAACCGTTCTTTGTGATATCAGACACGTCCAGAGGTCCTTGTGGTTTCGAGGGCTTGCCTGTAGATAATAATATGATTTATGCCATCTTGAATAAGTTTCTATTTCGCTTGATTGGCCGATTGTATTGTTCACAACAATATTTTTTTTAGCATTTCTTTAAATTCTAGTCTCTAACCCAAAAAGTAAAGTCAAGTTTGTACTTTATGAAGTTATGGTCGAACAAACATTTTAAAGTTTGATTTATTTATGTTTTATTGTTTATTATAGTCTACGTCTATGTGTGTGTATTATAATCTGATAACATAAAGTTTCATTTAATCAAAATTGAAAATATTTCAATATATGATGGACTGCAAGTTTCTGTATGACACACTGAACTAGCATTTTTACTAAACCATTCTATATTTTCCGATTACCCAAACTATTAGAAAACGCAATAGAAAAATTTGTTTAACGTGAGAGTTCAAAAAAATTCACCCTCGATAGCAATAAGACAGTCAAATCTACCTTTTTTCGAACCCAATAATAATAATAACAAATAACTCACCAAGAATAGTAATTTCAACCTCGGCCTCATCTTCTCCAACCTCGTTCTTGGCCTTAATCACATACTTTCCAGTCTGGGCCCTCTTAGACTTGGTCATTAAGAACTTAGTGTTATAATCCACATTGATAATCTCCAGGTTCTCCCTGTTCTGCAGCTCCTCACCCTTGAAGTACCAGGTGACCTTGGCTGGTGGTTCTCCGAAGACCTTGACGTCTAGGGAAACTGGTAATCCAGCCTTGACGGTGATAGGGTTCAGGTTTGTGCGGTCGATTCTTGGTTTCACTGTACAGAGGAGAATACCGACCGTTAGAAATTTCAGATTGCCTAATATAACCTGTGTTATTTCAAATATTGAAAAAGCATAAATTTTGCAGATAGAAATGTCTGCTCGAGAACTACAAAAAATATCATCCTACCAATTTGAGACTTAACATATACTTATCACGACAAATCAACGGAATGATTGAGTATTTAATAAGTTGCCGTCATTACTAACATAGATCTCTACAATAAGATCTCTAAGAAAGACTCTCGGTGCGAAAATCGAACTTGCGCACGGCAACTGGTTGCCCAGCCAGCGCATCAACCGAGCAAACGAAAGAAATAATGATGATATCCATTTATATGGTATTATTGAGTGAATAAATAAAATATACTTACAGAATCGAGGCTTGGCAGTGTGCCAGTTGGTGTTCTCCGAAGGTTCGGACTGTCCAGCCTTGTTCAGGGCACGGATGCGGAACTGGTATTGGTTGCCTTCCTCCAGCTTCGGCACTGTACCCTGGCAGATGTTGCCTTGGATCTCAACAGCCTTGGGATTAAAAATTTAATAAAGTTAACTTTTTATTAAATAAATTATGTACTTAATTTCATGAATTACTTAAAATAAGCGTCACTTTTTCGATATCTATGTTTTTTGAGTGATAATAACTTGAATAATAATGTATTTATGCATTATGTTGGGCTTGTAGCTATACTAGTTTTCGTCAAAATAACCGTCACTGTCACAGTGACATATAATGATAATCTAAATAACCCTTAGTCACGATTTTGTTGCTTCCTTTAAGCATTCTCTCAACAGGTCAAAAATAATTTATTTTCTACTTTTCAGTACAATAAATTATTAAAACATAACCATACTTTCATTCATGTAAAAATTTATATTAAATTCATTTGACTTTAAATCATTATCATATATTGCGATTTCATACAAAGTTCATAGCAAAGTTTCATTTTGTATTGATATTTCAATAAAAATATTGAATTTCACTAGTTGAAAACTATCGATTTATTGGTAAAAGTCACAAATCAAGGCGCGTGACTGTTTCTGACTGATACTTTGATACCTGATACCTTGTCACCTATTGCAATAAGAATTGGCTCCATTACGACAAAATATATAAAAAATACAAACCTTGACAAACTCTCCTCTATCTCTGTCCATGACTTCAATGATGTAGCCGGTGATAGGAGCACCGTTATCCCTGATAGGGGGCTCCCATTTAAGCTTGGCTGACTTCTCATCCCAATCCACGATGTCTGGCAGGCCAGGTGGGGCTGGGACGTCGTATGGGTTCTTGGCCAGGATACCATGGTCTGTGTCCAGTGGTTCAGATTCCCCTTCCTCGTTCAGAGCCTTTACGCGGAACTGGTAGGTGTGACCCGCTTCTAGGCCTGTTGAGAGAGATATTGTTTTTATTAATGTAAGTTAAAATAATTGGGTAGTGTAAAAAAAATCCATATGACTTTTCGGTACAAAAAATAATAACCACACTAGCTACTCTCGCGCGGTTGCACCAGCGGCTCCATTTAATCGTAGCGTGGTGTTGTATAGCCTATAGCACTCAGGAATATTGTAGCTATCTATCGGTGAAAGAATTTTGGAAATCTGACCAGCGGTTCCAAAGATTACCCCCTACATACAAGCTTACAAATCTTACCTCTTTAAAATATTAGTATAGAAGTATAGATTTTCATTCATTAATTATATTCGATCTTTTCTGGCGGTTTTTTCAGAAATAAATGATTTATTTGAAGTAAATACATTATGGCGTTGTATGTTGCGATTTCATATATTTTTTTTTTATCTTTTTTAAATGAACCTTGCCCTACGCTAGGACTTTCTCTTGTATCGTGGGTGTGTTTACAAACACACAGTTTCACATACACATGACAATTCATAGGAAAGAATAGTTTTTGACATTTTGGCATTTTTAACAAAGTATTTTTAAAGGCGGATTTTTTCTTAATATTCATTCGAGAATCTATTTTGTTCAGCCATCAGTCCGGTCTGTGCTCTTACTTATTATTTCCACTGTGAATTATTGACACAAATAATCCAAAAACTTTTTCACCAATTAGAACCAGCAATATTTTTAATTCAACCGAATTGACAACAAAATTTTGATAAAAAAGAAAGAAATCCACTTCGATTATTACTTTTTATAATCTGCGGCTGTATGAAAAAATGTGCAGGTGACTTGCATCTGAACATTTTTGTTGCATGTAATAAACACAGTTATCTCTATCTCATATTATTTATTAACTCTTACTCTTTCTTAGTATGAACTAACTCAAACTCATACTGACCAGTAACAGTAGCCTCGGTTTTATCAGGGTCGACGGTACCAGCAGGCACCCACTTTCCAGTGAGGGTGTCCATCTTCTCCACCACGTAAGCAGACAGGGGCAGCCCACCAGTGTGCTTGGGCTTGTTCCAGTTGAGTTTCACATGGTCTGCGTGGATGTCTGATACTTCTAGTGGACCTTCCGGCTTGCCAGGCTTGTCTGAAAAGGGATAGGAGACATTTTGACAATGAGTTACTTGGTATTTTCTGTTCGGCTGGAGTACATAATAGTCATTTATGCAAACCGGATAGTAAAAGACATCTTGCATTTAAAAAAACAGTCATTTAGTTGAATTCTGAGGAGGTAAGGGGGTAGGGGAAGAATGGGGCTTCCTGTAACCTCACTCACACGGCATTGTTTCACGCCAGATTTCTGTGAGGCTGTGGTAGGTATAACTTTTGTTAAGAGGCTCCGTTTGAGCATGGCTCTCCCAAAGTTTAATTTTAAGCAGTCATTCTTATGAACCATGAGGATAATAACTAGAAATTATAAGTCCAGATTTCATCATGATGGTTTTATTTATTTATTTATATTTAAAACTGCATGCACAATAGGTACCTAGGTGGACTATATGCAGTATAAGCCCTATGCATTTCTACCACAATGTTTTCTTTCATCGTATATCAGTGGTGTCAACTCGGAAAAAGTCACATTGGTACTAGGCAGGTTTCAAACCCGATGATTACATACGAGTAATTAGTTTTATACCAGGCGAGTCATATTTATAATTAATAATAATTAAAAAAAAAACACATACCCAGTACGGTAATCTCCACCGTAGCTTCATCAACTCCGGAATCGTTCTCCGCTTTAAGCGTGTAGATTCCAGAGTTGGCCCAGGTCGAGTCGGAGATCTGCATCTTAGTGTTGTAGTCCTCGTTCTCGATCTTCAGCCCTGGGCCAGTTTCCAGGACCTGGATAAAATAGGAAAGCGTTAAAATCGAATTCAAGCATTTAGGTGATATTTAAAATATGTAATCAGTTTTATAATGTACAAGTGAACTCAAATGGTAGTTGCACCCAAGTCTGTGGGTTTTCATATCAATCTATTATACTAATATTAAAAAGAGGTAAAATTTGTAACTTAGAAACCGCTGACGCTGGTCGGATTTCAAAAATTCTTTTCACTAATTGATAGCTACAATGTTCCCGAGTGTTATAGGCTATAAAACATCACGCTACGATTAAATGTGGTGTGTGGTGAAACCGCGCGAGAGTAGCTAGTTATTAATACATTAATAATGCTAACACTATATAAATGTTTGTTTACATTTTGTTATATTTGTATAAATATTAGTGTTACACTGTTCTAAAATAATTGAACCTACTGTTTGTGAAAGGAATCTGTATGTGAAAATGATTTAAAAAGAGTAACCATGGAGTTTCTTGCTCGTTTTTCTCCATCGGAATCTACACTTTGGAACGAGCAAATAGCTTTACTAAGAGGACTGACCGACAAACTGACACTATATCTTCAAAATTTTGTTTGACGTTCAAAAGTGCCTGTAAGGGTCTAATTGAAATAAATGATTTTGACTTTTGTTAATATATATTATTATAATATAATTACTACTGTATTACATTAGCAATATCCCTACCTTCTTAGCGAAGGTCCAGGTCTTGGTTGGTGGAGGTTCACCCTTGATGTCCACGTCCAGTTTGATGGTGGTACCAGCTCGGACGCGGATGGCGTGCATCTTGTCGCGGTTGATGTGTGGTTTCACTGTAATTATAACAAATATTTTATATGAAGAATTGTATATCGAAAGAGAGAGGAAATCTCAATATCAACGCTGATGATGATATTTTTTTTTTTTTTATAATATTATCTGTGTAAAATATGTATTACTTGTTTGCCTTTTATAAAAACAATGTCGTACAATAAAACGATAGAAAAAATAACAAATATACTAAATCGTTACGTCTATGACATATCACACACAAAGCAAGCGTTGTTTCACGCCGGTTTCACGTGAGGCTGTAGTGCCACTCCTGTCAACCCAGCCCTATTATGGTGGTATTCTCATTCTTCTCATAAAGTAGTATTTTATGTTTATCGAACTAGAAAAAAACTGTGATTTTGACTTACAGAATCGGGCCTTAGCCGTGTGCGGTTGTGTAGCATCGCCCGGTTCTCCCGGTCCGGCCTTGTTGACGGCACGGACACGGAACTGGTATACGTTGCCTTCCTTCAGATCCGGCACGCGAGCCTTGCATTCTGGGGTCTGGAATCAAACATAACATAACAATTAATATGAAGTTTTAACAGTAATTAAGTATAAATATTTTTTTTCTTTACTTGTGTATGAATCGAGTTATGAAAATATTTGCAACGTAATTATGTTGAAAACATTTTTAACTTTTAATTCATTAACTTGAAACATAAATAAAACAACTAGTGCCATCTAGTGACATTACATTGGAACTAAGTAGTGATATTAGATAATCCTTCAGACCTAAAATGACTGCACCACGTTTCCCGCACGGAACCACTTAAACTGGGATCCACAAATTGTTGTGTATAAAGGCACGACAAAAGAAAATAAAAGTGTAGAGAATAAATCTAACAAAATCACAAGGTCTTATAACAATGCACAACTTCAATTATTCAGAACTAATTTTATACTTATATTAAAAATCCATTAAAAGAAATCTTACCGTAGTAACAAGCGCCTCGGTCCAAGATCCGTATTTCTCCTTCTTCTCGATGACGTAGCCGGTGATGGGAGCTCCTCCATTGTTCTTGGGAGCCTCCCATTTGAGGTCCACGCGGTCCACGTCCCAATCTTCGATGGTTGGGACTGATGGCTTGCCAGGGATGTCTGTGGGGGAAGAGAAATGTAATTTATTGGAAAGAAATTGATGACAAACTGACGATTTTTTATCGATTAGAGTAAAAATATTGTAGCAATTTTTATACTCGATAAATTATAATTATCGTTTTGCGATAATTTTACATGTGTATGAAACTCATAGTAAATATGCATTTGAAACTAAAATAAAAAAAAACTTTCACTATACAAACAAATTCTCTTGGCAAGACTATCGCCATACCAAAACTTGTTGTCTCCCTCTTTCTTTTGAACTCTTTCACTCTCTTACTTACTCTACAAATAAAAAAACTCACCATAAGGATTCTTAGCAATGATAGAGTGGTCGGTCTTCAAAGGTTCAGACTCTCCCTCGTCGTTGACTGCCTTGACCCTGAACTCGTACTCTTCACCTTCCTGCAGACCCTTGATTTCCATCTCAGTGTCATCAGTCTTGCCGACTGGCACCCAGCGACCGGTCGCTTTGTTCAATTTCTCAACAACGTATCCAGTTACTGGTTTACCTAAAAAAAAATACACAATTAGAATTTTCTAGAGATATTTTCTTCAGAACAGACCTTTCCGTATAAATGTTCTACATTCTTTTTATACGTAAAATCATATATTTTCTCAGTAAAAAAGTTCGATAGTATATCTACGTAGGCGTAATAATATTTTCAACACATTTCCTCATAAAGTGGCTCTAATCTCATGGCAATTAGGCATATAATGCCACCTATAATCAAACTGTGACTTTCATTACTATTATTCACGAGTGAATAATATTTTGTTTTATTTATTGGTTAAGTTACGCTTACATTTGTGCTAAAATACTATCCGCAAAAAGCCCAAAAAAAGGAATCTTATTTTTAGTCTATGGCCGATGCGCGCGCATAGGAAATCTGCTTTTTTTCGCACCACTATGAAACATTTTAAAATGTTTTTTATTTAAGTATTATTTGTATAGAAGTGTTTTATTTAGAAATGTAACTCAAAACTTTCCCTCTTGGCCAAATACAAGCGAGGGGTTGAAAAATTTTATTTAAGAAGTGGTACTAAGAAAGCACAATAAAAACTGCAGATTCCAAGTATCTCAATCAACTTACCACCATCATCTTCAGGCTTCTTCCAGGACAGTTTGCAGCCGTTCTTGGTGACGTCTGCGACCTTGAGTGGACCACCAGGTTTGCCAGGAGCCGAGAGTACGGTGATCTCGACTTCAGCTTCATCAGTACCATGTTCGTTCGTTGCTAGGATGCGGTAGGTACCGGTCATAGCGCGCACAGACTCTTTGATGTCCAGCTTGGTGTTGTAATCTACATTGATTACGTTTTCTTTCACCTGTGGAGTGAGAGATGGGTAAAAATTGTGCTTTTTGGTCTTATTTGAGATTGGTAGGTTACAGATTCGTTTGGATATTTGTGAAGTTTTTCATGTGTGTTTGACGTACGAGTATTTTGCAATAATTTATGCTCAAAAGTTAAACTAGAAACAGGTTGCCTTGTTTGCCACCTATTCCCGAAAATAATGGAAACATTGTTAACGCAGTCTCGACACATTCCTATTTTAGCAATTACCATTGAATATTTTATGTTTTAATTCGATTTTCATACTCTCGATACATTCCACAATATTCAGTATATGTAGTGTTTATAATGGAAAACAAAATTTTATTATAATTTTTATAAAGAAATAAATTTCCTCACAGAATAACGGCCTGATACAACTGTAATTGCTGCTGAAATCGCTGTTTCTGCATTTGTTTGTTGAAATTTGATTTTGCACTCAAATCTCGTCTATCAATGCTACTATCAAATCTCACTGAACAATTGTAGAGGCATTATCAATTACAATTTCTTTAACTGAGATCTTGCTAAGTGAATTTGTACGTAAGGAACACACATTTTATATCAAAAACTATCCTTTCATAATAATCCAGTCTTACCTCAGTCTCTTCGCCCTTCCACTTGCGGAACCATTGCACCTTAGGTGCAGGTTCACCCTTGACGTTGACATCGAAGAAGATGGGCTTGCCCGCGCGGACGGCCAGCGCCTTCAGGTTGGTGCGGTCGATGCGTGGCTTCACTGGAAACGAGAAAAGAGGTTTCATATATTTAGAAAGAAAGAAAGAAAGAAAAACCATTTATTTCGTGATTAAAAACCAATATAGCCGAATCATGCTGGTGTAAATAGAATTGGATATGTGACTCATGGTCTATCGGTTTAAGTTATTCAATAAAGACTAACAATTACACGGTTGGCGCGGTGCCTGAGCAACTGGCTGCTATGCAACGTGTCGCGAGTTTGATACCCGCACGGAACAACTCTTTGTGTGACCCACAAATCGTTGTTCCGGGTCTGGGTGTCATGTGTATGTGAAATTGTATGTTTGTAACCGCACCCACGACATAGGACAAAATCCAAGTGTGGGGCAAGATTGTTAATAAATAAATTTAGGTACAAATATTAATAAATATTTGTGTGTGCAGAATAAATTTTTCAACTCAAACACTACGAGTCAATACTTACAGGCTTTGTGTCTGATGGTTGTCATCTTGGTAGGGTCCGAAGGTTCGGACGGTCCAGCCTTGTTGACAGCGACCACGCGGAACTGGTACTCGCTACCTTCCGGCAGGCCCTCGATCTTGGCTGTAGTTTGAGATCCGGGCACCTGTAAAGGACGGGATAGGTGTTAGAAACCTAACCAAAAACGATTACAAGATGGAGGGTGTTTTTGGAAGAGATATTTTTTCTCTCCTCTCACTTTCCAACAGTTTCTAAAAGATTTCGAACGAAAGTAGAGTCTGTACAGACGCCAAATGCCTTTTTATTTTAATCATTTGTGAGCAATCTTACAGCACGAATGAGACAGTTCGACCGGGGTGATGCTATGGCTTCCCAGAAAACGGCGTGAAACAACCGCAGCGTTGCGTTTCGCCGTGTGAGTGAGGTTACCGCAGGCCTAATCCTTAACTCCACTCGTAACTCCTCTAATGCGGGTGTCTATGGGCGGCGCTGATTTGCTTACCATCAGGTTATCCGCATCGTTTGCCGAACTATCACATAAAAATATAATTGTTGGAAAAAATCAAAATCTACTTTTAAAATCATATTTACCTCAGCAGCATTCTCCCAATCGCCGCCTTTAGGCTTCTTCTGGATAATATACTTGAGGATGGGGGCGCCACCGTCGTTTTTAGGCGGGTCCCATTTGATGTCGGCGCTCTGGTTGTCGTGATCTGCGACTTCCACGTTGCCAGGCTTGTCTGATGCCTCTGTAGGAGAAGATTGGGAAGATTAGCTGGTTCAAGGAGTTGATGGTTTTTATAGTGATGAGACATTTATTGGAACGGAGAGACTAGGAGGAGGGATACATATTAGATCTTATCTCATATTGTGGTTCTTTTTAGTCATTATTGGAGTTAATGATGATCTGTTTTCTTTAATAATAATTTGCACTCTTGCTTCCAAGCAGAATATGGACAGTGACTTTGAGGTTACAATATCTTTCCTTATAAACTACTAGCATACTTTGCAAATAAACATTTTGATTTTGATTTGAGTTAATACTGAAATTCTTTTCTAAAAAAACTGAAACGAGTATTTAGTGTGACTTTGTATTACGGTAATACGAGCATAACGTTTGACGTGCGAAGCTTTGATTGGTCTGCTCAAAGTTACCCAATCAATGAGCGGGCTGAAAGCGGTAACGACCACTTTAACGTAAAAAAATATACACTAGGCATTCATGGCTGGCCAATCAGGGGGCTAAACGGTGACGACCGCTTTAACAAAAACATACGCACATACATTCAGTTATGGAAGAATTAATATTTTAGCCTCTTTTTTGATTACTAAATATCATCAAATTACTTCTCGCGGTAAGGCGAGAGGGAGTGTCAAACTCTGACTGACTAACTAACCCCGGCTAAACATCAGCCCTGTTGGACCCCAACATAATGGACTCTGAATGGTTGACCATAAAGAAAAAGTTCACGTAACATCTCTTACCGAATGGATTCTTGGCGAGGATAGCGCGTTCAGCCTCAAGAGGCTCTGAGTCACCCTCGTCGTTGACGGCTGTCACCCTGAACTTGTACTGGTGACCAGGTTCCAGACCTGTGACTTCCATCTCCAGAGGCTTCTTGTCACCGGCAACTCTGAAATATTAGGGATTTTATTAATCAAAGTTTGGATAATGAGGTCTCTTGTTTCTTTGGTATCTTAAGATGGCCAAAGTCTTATTGGTGTTTTATATTAGTGTAGTGAAGTGTTGGAAGTAACGGCCAATTTTTGATATTCAAGTCATTTTTTTTTTGTTTTGAAGCACTAGTAATATTTAGCTCCTTTTTTTAGGCAGACCGTAAAAAGATAAGGCTGAAATAACCTTACAGAACACCGGAGTGAAATAACAGTTGCGTTGTTTTTCGCTGAGTGAGTTTAGTCGCCGGAAGCTCAAGTGTTATCCCCCAAATATTATAGGCAATACCGCGATCTTCAAATTCCTGACTCACGAGAAAGAGACCGCATTTAGAGCTCCTCTTGTATTATAGGTGTCAATGGACAGCGTTAAGTTAAGTGCTTACCATCAGGTAATTCGTCTGTTCGTTCATCACCCGACCCAACAAAAGGAAACGAATGTAGATTGTTTCCATCAACAAATAGTTCAATTAGTTTAATTCAAATTCTAGATCAAAATGTAGTCAGAGAATACACAAATAACAAAAATATACTGACCTGCCAACTCTGACCCACTTGCCAGTGGCGACATCCATCTTTTCGAGCTCGTATTCCTTGACTGGAGAGCCACCATCGTCTTCTGGTTTCTCCCATTTGACTTTGCAGCCTTCGGCGTGGATGTCTGTGACCTCCAACGGGCCTGAGGATGTAAATAATTATTTCTTTAGTAAGAAAAATAGAGGGGAATCTCTGGAATATATCTAACTTTCTAATGAGCTGTGAAGGATAGATATCATATATTTCCATTAGCATTTTTGTGGTGATTGACAACTTATTGCATCAAATGCCCTTTTGCAAATATACCTAATTACCAGTTAATACGTTTTTCAAAGAACCGTGCACCATATCGTGGTTCCAATTCCAGAATGTCACAACTTTTTCTGTACAAATTGTTGTTTTGGACCAGGTTGTTATTTGTATGTGCAATATTACTTTAGTTACCGGACAAAGGACACACAGAAAGTCCTAAAAGTTAGGTTACCTCAGGCCCAATCCTTTTCCTTCCTTCCCTACCCTTAATATTCGAAAACCTAATCCCTATAAGGCTTACAACGCACTCGTAACTCCTTAGTGTTACGGGTGTCCATGGGCGGCGCAGATTGCTTAACTCCAGGTAATTTGTCTGCCCATTTGTCACTCTATCTCATAAAAAGAAGAAAATATGAATTGATCAACTTACCCTTTGGTGCGCTAGGCTTGCTGAGCACAGTGAGCTCGACAGTTTCCTCATCAAAGCCATTGCAGTTCTCAGCCTTGAGCTTATATTTGCCAGTATCACGGCGAACAGCGTTCACGATAGTGAAGTCGGTGTGGTATTCTTTGTTCTCAATCTTGATGCGCTCTGTGTTAACTAGCTTGATGTTATCGCGCCAAGACCTGGGAATAAATAAATTTATTGAAAATAACGATTTACTCACGTGAAATATAAGCGAGATAAGCTCTACAAGTTTCGAGTCACAGCGGGACTCTTGTTCCTGAACAGCGTGCACGTCGCGGCGACGACACGGGCGCCGCCAACAACATCGTCGCCGTTTTCATTTTATTTTTTAAACTTTAATTGGAGAATTGGAGGCATCTGATATTAATTTTCATTTTTATTCTACTTAGATAGATTTGATTCCTGGTTACAATAATGTAATAGTTTTGTTTTCATGGAGTATAATGGAGTATGGAATTGAGTTATGTACTTGGTAATACCTCCCATTTTCCTCTTTTGTGTTCTTAACTTATTTTTACTTGCTTAAGCCTCTTTGTATTAGTTTTTACCATTTTATGCTAAAATACTCACCATGTCATCTCCGGTGGAGGTTCACCGATGACATCCACGGACCACTTGTGGGTACGTCCAGCCTTGATGATAACGGACTTGAAGGTGCTGCGTTCAATGCGTGGTTTCACTGTGAATAACAAAAATATATTAGGAAATCTCCAGTATACAGTAAGAAGATAAAAATATTAAGATTTTGTAATAATGGTGTTTATTTTTACAGAAATAAGATGAAAATTGATTCTTTTTTCTTTTTTTTAAAAAACGTTGCCCTGCATTAGTATTTTCTCCTGTGTCGTGGGTGCTGTTACAAACATACGATTTCACATACACAAGACACCCAGACCCGGAACAACAATTTGTAGATCACACAAGAGTTGTTCCACACGGGAATCGAACCCGCGACACGTTGCACGGCAGCCAGTTGCCCAGCCACCGCACCAACCGTGCACTCAATACATGTAAATGCCACCATAAGTTTACTTAACTCATATGAAGGACTTATAAGGTGGTGAAAGGCCTAAATGCAGAAACATGTTTTTATTATAGTTTGACTAAAAGTATGCCCTAGTCTCTGGATCCTATATCCTATAATATATAATACCTAATATTTCCCTAACACTTACAGTTCTTATGTTTGCAGAGATGGTTGTCAGTGGGCTGCGAAGCCTCACCAACACCAGCCTTGTTGTACGCCTTGACACGGAACTGGTAAATCATCTTCTCCTTCAGACCTTCAACCTTGTACTCAGTGTTTGTGTCATTTGTTTTCACAACCTGGTGGAAAAACAAAAACAATTTTGATTACCATTAATATTGGTATGTTATTGGTAGATTATATATATTGAGCAATTAGTTTGTGATGAACAAAACTCATGATCCTAAAAATTATAATTCAAGTTGGTTAAATAAAAATGTTATTATTAACAAAAACTATATATCATAATAAATATTACAGTAGGTAGATAAAATAGTAAGTAATTTTAACGCAATTTAAGATAAATTATAATCATTATTAAAAAATCAGATATTATTATTCAAATGGTAATGTTTGTTCAATCAATATCTATTGCTTTTAAAAATACAAATTTTATTGCAGTATTCTAGTGTATTTACCAGTTTAATAATTAATTTAATTAATATATCTTTAAGTTATAAACTCACCTCAATCCAGTCAGGAGAGAATTTGTCCTTCATCTCCACGACATATCCAAGGATTGGTCTTCCACCGTTGTCTGATGGTGGCTCCCATTGCAATGTCACCGACATATTGTCGTAATCCGTGATCGTAGGCTTTCCAGGCGCCTTTGGTGGGTCTACAGACAAATACCAAGGTTTTAAAGAACTTTGTCAATAGTTCCATGGTTTTTGGAGTAATACAAAACATAAAACTTGTTTCGCAATATCTTTTGCTATGAGAAGTTCCAATTGGATATAGGAATTCTAATTAATAGCGCATATTTTATTGTTTTCCTGTGGCAATGTAAACAAACCGGCACTTTTTGTTTGTAAATAAACTGATACTGAACTGAAATGTCAAAATTTAAAAATAGCGGTTTTGACTTTCTTCTTTACGTTTAGTTTCACTATGATGTATTTGATTGTTGGGGTGTTGAGCGCAACCGTGCGTCAGCTGTTGCACGCCTAGACGCACGGTTGCGCTCGCGCTTTCTTATCCATATTGTTTAAATTCATCTTCTTATAACCGTAATTGTAACAGTCTGATAATTATTGCATATAAAACTTATTATACAGTCCACACTTAAATTATTTATCTCCACTGAACTATCGAACCCAACAGATTGATTACCACATCAAAATATTCTTATTCGAATCTATTTTTAAAAGGTGCCTTTGTTAATAAATGTGCTAACGTTAAGTTTTTACTTACCGTAGGGGTTCTTAGCAAGAATGAATCCATCAGTTTCCAATGGCTCTGATTCGCCCTCCTTGTTGACAGCGCGCACCCTGAACTTGTACTTGTGGTTCGGGGTAAGACCCTTGACCGTGAATTCTGTTGGTTCCGGACCAGTCTCGCCACAAGGCACCCAGTTTCCAGTATCCTAGAAAATTTAATTATTCAATTACTGTAGGTCTTTTGAGAGATGAGAAGTGTCTATAATTTGTTGTGGTTTTATAGGAACAGGTTCGTACCATATCCATTTTCTCGAGTGTGTATCCAGTGATATCGGATCCCTGCCAGTCGTCTGGCTTCTGCCATTTGACGGTCGCCTTCTCGGCGCGGATGTCCGTAACTTCGATCGGGCCGTTCGGGCGGTTGGGTTTGTCTGGAACATCATAGTTTCATTAAATATACTTATGGATATTTACGTTTGTAACAGATAACTAATATTTATTGGTTGATAACAAAAAGTAATTTAGAAAACTATAAAAGTATTCAGGAAAGTTAAAAGAATTAGTAGACTCACCCAAGACAACCACATCGCCGATGCTCTCGCAAGTGCCCGAGGAGTTGGTCAGTACCAGCTTGTACTTTCCACTGTCAGGCCTTGTGGTCCTCCTGACAGTCAGTACGGTGTTCCTTTCGTACTTATCAATGGTGATACGGTCACCATCATCCTTGATTTCCTGTGATGGCATATTTATATGAGTATCATCGAAAAAAAGGGACTGCGTCTGAAGATTTCTGATGGTGTTCTGATGTGGTTAGTGTTAGGTATGCATGATGGAAAAAATTGATGTTCAGATGAAATTGTTGAGTGTGTTGCGGAAATTATTCCGACTATCTATGTAAGGATATTAAAGGAACCTAGAGGATCCTCTTACGTTAGTTGATGTCTACAAGATTAAAGTAAGACCAGTGCGATCATAAATAATTAGATCTAATGCCAATACTCCTCCTGAAAATGACTGAAGGTTTGGTGTGGAACTAATCTTCAAACACTTTCTGTCATAATTTGTCTCCCAAATTTTTGTTCTGTAACATTTTGGTTAGTAGATAGAATTATATCGTTATACACTATGATTTTGCCCTAGGAATCTGTAAAGACTCCAGAAGTATTAACTTTATGACTGAATTGTTAATACAAAATATATACCAAACGAGACTACTTAGGCATCCTTAAACAAAATTGTGATTTTTAGGGATGTGTATAGTAAAAGTTGGTGTTGGAGCCATGAATTGTGATGTATAAAAAGACAATTGTGAGGATGTCGAATATGTTAAAATGGGGGCTTCGGTGATTTCAGACGCAATCCCATAAAACATAAATTAAAAACCATGGTAGAGTCACGTGCGTCGACTATTCAAGTCAATGTTAGAATGTTATGTATTGCCAGTATCGATGTGATCATCGTACTGCTAGTGTTACCACAGTAAAAAATAAAAGAAAAAGTGTTTGTGAGAAAATTGTGAAACGTCTAGTTTGTTCTTGTATTGTTTTTGAAAAATACTTATATAGGTGCATCTACATAAGTGTGTGGTGCTATTGAACCAATCATAGTAATTTTCTAGTTAATAAAATAGTAACGTTTAGTTACAACATCGAAAGCATAATTTTCAAAAGCCAAATACATTGTGTGGGTGTTCGGGAACAATGTATATTGTTGCTTTTGTTTTTTTTAGCGCATTGGTGGTAAGGTGAACGAAACATATATATATTTTATGTATAATATTATAGTATTGAGAAAGTAACATCAAAGATAGGTATTCATTTACATATTTCATTCAACTTACTACCTGACATACAATTTGTTTCAAGTATGTTGTCTTGTAGTTGTGTTAGCACATATTGTAGAATAAAATAAAATAAAAGAAGTGTATATGAGTTTAGATAATTATGTTTAGAACATATAAATGCGATACAACATCGATTTCCAACCATCTAACCTTCTCCGTGTACGCCTTGCCGCGTTTCTTTTTTTGAGAGAAAAAAAAAGAAAATTTTGATTAAAAACTTGTAAATACTTCATTCGTTGAGATGAATTGATGAAAATATCGAAAATTATAATGTAGATATACAATCAAATTCCTTTAGACTAACTGTCAGTTATACGATGTCTCTTCAATGACATCAAAATAATTAGATTCCTTCAAGCAGTAGGAACACCAATACTTACCTAGTGTTTTGGTCATTTAAGTTTAAGCACTTTTTTTTGTTGCTTAAAGTTTTGACAATTATTGAAGTATTTATGAAAATTTATTCTTAAAGTCATGACGTGTGCTTTATCGTGCGTGGTAAGCACCATCAAATGACTTTTTTTTCATGGAAATTATGTTGTAAATGGAAAAAATGGAGAAATAAAAATATATTTACCTCTTCACCCTTCATCCATTTGACCTCGGGTTCAGGTTCACCACCGTACTTGATGTCGAAGGTGATGACCTGGCCCTTCTTGATGATGATGCTTTGGAGACCCTCACCAATGATGTAAGGCTTGACTGTAACCAATTTGTTCATTATTAATAACTCATTAAACTAGTAGAAAGTTCCCTTTGGGTACATATCACAACGGATATGGATATAATTTTTTTCTTTATAAAACGTTGCCCTACATTTGGATTTACAAACATTTATAATTTTACAAACGCAAATAACGCCCAGACCCGGAACAACCATTTTTGGATCATACAAAATTGTTCCTTGCGGGAATTGACACCGAAACGTTGCGACGCAGCTGCAGCCGGATGCCCAGCCAACGTGTCAACCGGGCAGTCAAATTATGTAGTACCTACCTCATAGTAAAAATTTGTGATCTTTCATTGGGGGAAATACTCATTTTGATAGGCGTATGGCGTAGTAAATCCCCAAAATCTTAATCCCTAAAAGGTCGGCAACGCACACGGAAATCTTTCCTTGTTGTGAGTGACCAAGGTGGCGCTAATTGCTTGCCATCAGGTAATTCGTAGGCTCGTTTGCCGTCTTATCACATAAATAAAGGAAATGTAATAATTTCATCAACACTGATTTGAAATTCAACATTTCATAATTTTTTTTTCATATAAAATGCCCAAAATTTGTTCTTTGCAAATAAATGCCAGTAAGATTACTCACCAAATCTGCACTTAGCAACAATTGGTTTGGTAGTGTCACTAGGTTCACCAGGTCCAGCCTTGTTGATGGCGCGGACCCTGAATTCGTAAGTGCAGCCTTCTTTAAGGCCATCTTGAGTGGCAGATAAGCAGTCACCAGGTACCTCCTTGCCAGTTACCCAGTCCTTGCCGAACTTCTCCTAAGGATGATGAAGAGGATAATTTTTATTATCATATACGTACGGAAATTATTGAAATTTCAATAATTGAAAAGCAATTTAAGCTTTTAACCGTTATAATTCGAGACACAATAGGCGTGCGAAGGTCGGCGTTCGCTTGAGTTTTAAAGAATTAAAATACTTTATAGAAACAATTGATCCGGACTTGAGGTGCGGGGTCCTCCATAATTACATAGTTTAAAATAAAAGTGTGTGTAATGATGAGTAAGTACCTTGTATTCGATGACGTATCCAGTAATTGGTGCACCGCCATCGTTGTCAGGCTTCTGCCATTTGAGGTCAGCATGATCTTTGTCCCAGTCGGTAAGCTCCACATTCTTGGGCTTCGATGGTTCATCTAAACGAGAAAGATTGCTTTAGCATTCCTGTTACGAGTACATACCGCACAAAAATGATTTGCATCGAGAAGAAAAGATGTCTCACCCCAAGGATCCTTAGCCAACACAGGCTTGCCGAAAAGACCAGGTTCACTTGAACCAATCTTGTTAACAGCACGGATCCTGAACTTGTAAGTCTTCTTCGGGATCAGGTCTTCTACCTTGTATTTCATTGGCTGGCCAACAGCCACCTCTGATACGTTATCCCATCCTGCCTTAAGAGACATGTCCTGGAAAAAAGTATGTGATTTAGGACCCAATATCTTTATTACACTTTACTTTTGGCACAAGCTATAGAACATGTTCTTACCTGTCTCTCAATAACATATTTGACGATGGGTGAACCACCATCGTCCTGTGGTGTTTTCCAAGCGACAACGCAAGAAGTCTGGAAGACTTCTGTGACCTGGACTTCCTGTGGTGGAGTTGGTACGCTCTGCATGGTAATAGTGACATCCTTTGAGTCTTCGCCCTGAGCGTTGGACAATTTAATTGTGTATTTGCCTGATTGATCTCTGCTTGGTTTCTTGATCTTGAATAGGACCTTTTCTTGTTCAACCACTGCCTCGACTTCTTTGGCGGGCAGGGCTTTTCCGTCCTTCCATAGTTTTGCTTCAATTGGTGTCTGTCGGGTGCCAGTAACTAAAAACAAAGATTCACGTTATCAAGCACACTCAGGAATTAAATATAGTTCTATCAATGTTTTGATATTATCTATACTAACTTTTATAAGGCACCTCAATGACGAAAGGCCTGTCATGAGGTCCGCAGAATTCATCCGGACATTCAATAGTAGGTTTGGATTCACCCTTCTTGACGGTAAGTTTGCAAGAAGAGGACAACTTTCCAGACTCGCAGAGAATTTCACCGTCATCTTCCATCTCCAACTTGTTGAAGATGAGCTGGTGTTTACCACCACCCAGGTTCTTGATTTCAATTCTGTTAAAATAGAAAACACATTGAACCATGACTCCACGCAAAATTTAAACTTCTTTAAACGCTGGAATGTTTTCTACGGCTTACCTGTCATTAGGCACAATAGGCTGTCCATTGAAAGACCAAACAGCTTCAGCGGTCTGATCCTGCAATTCTACTTCTAGAACAACCTTGTCCCTCTCAATTGCTTCTGTGTCCTTCAACTTCTTGTTGAAGCGATTCGAGTCTGGAGAACAAAAAACCATTTTAAAAAATTCATCGCTAGTACGGTGACAACTGTTTTGATCCAGAACTATTTTCTGTGTGTTGCTTTACTTCAGTGTAGTTTAGGTCTAGTTATTTTGAACAATAGACGATTAGAACAAGCCCATTTTTAGAATTAGGCATAAATTTGTTAGGATGTGTCATAAGGATATTCGGTTACAATAATTAATGGGTTGGTGACGCCTTAAATCGCTTTGTTTTGTCAAATAATTTATGTCAATGAATTTTTTGGTTTAGATACGAGTGTAACGATATTTTAAACATACTTGTTTTGATACATAATTTTTTTATAATACTTAAGGAAAATCCATCGGTGATATTATAATCTTAATTAATATTAATAATGGTGTAAAATTATAATCCATGTACTTACAATTGACAATCAATTCGCAAGTAGTTTCATCGGCGTTACTGACACACTTGAAGTTGCCAGCGTCAGTGACCTTGGCGTCCTTGATCACAACCTTGCGCTTGCGACCCTCCTTCACGATCGATATGCGTTTGTCTACTTTCAGCGGTTCATCATTCTTGAACCTGATGAAGAGATAAAGATAAATAAAAACATAGATATGGAAATAAATAAAAAGACTACAAGGACCCAATAAGAAAGACAATCCCCAATCATTGAATCCCTGAACCCCTCAAAGCCGGCACTGCACTTGTAACTCTTCAAATTATGCAGGTGGCCATGAGCGATGCCGATTACTTATTAGATGATTGCTTGTTTGGCATGGCCCCAGTTATTATATGGCCTAGTACCATATTTTGGGAATATACCAAATATGTTCAAAGAATAAATGATTAAAAATTAAGTGAATTGGTTTATCAATGAATTTCTTACCATTTAACGTCTCCAGATGCATCGTCCAGCTCACAGAGAAGTGTGATGGTATCTTTCTCAGTAGCTTGTTGTGATTTGAGTACCTTTGTAAACTTGTATGGGTATTCTGGAATTGAAAGAACATTATTGTGAAGAAATACTCTGGCGTTTCTTTATTATATTGCAAGAAGAAAGAAAAAGTATACTTACCAACAATTTTGACTTCAGTTTCTGTCTTGTCAGGCTGCTTCTCAATCTTACATGTGTATTTTCCTGCATCTTCGAACTTGCAGTTTTTGATAACCAGTCTGCAAACTCCAGACAAGTCCTTGGAAATCTGGTAAATCTCTCCATCTTCCACTTTCTCTTCTCCCTTCCACCAGGAGACGATTGCAAGACTGTTGGAGACGGTACACTCCAACACACATTCGTGTTTCGTGTACCCACTGGTTGTCTTCTTTAATGGTTTAGTGAAAGTGTAAGTTGGGTCTGGTTCGTCCACTTGCAAGAAGGCTGTGCATGTGATGCCGCCGATTTCAATCGTAATTTTACCAGTATCTTCAACCTTAGGGGCCATGATGATCAATTTGTAGGAGTCTTGTTCGTTTGTCATCTTATACTTAGACCCCGGGAATAGTTCCTGTAAAAAAATTATAATAGGATTGAGTAATATGTTCATTCAATAAATTATTGTTGATTTAATTGTATTTGTTGAAAATTATACTTACATCTTTACGGAAGAACCACTTCGGTTTCGCATTTGGTTTAGTAAAGATGGCTTCGAATGTAACCTTCTTATCCTTGCCTTCTTTCGCGAATTGATCTACGAGGGGCTTCAAGAATGACTCTTGTTTCTGAAAGCAATGCCCAATGGACATAAATATACCTGATCTCCAATGAGATGGAAAAGTGCATAACACAAAAATGTGCTCTTCATACAAAAGCTTTGAGTGCTGACCATCAATAAACCTGCCTTACTCCTCCGCTGTCAACGTCTCGAGCGAACAGTAATTCAAGTGCAAAAAATCAACGAAAACAACTGAACTCGTATGTAGTATCCGAGGCGTTAGAATCGTCAGCCATTCGTTCATTACCGTCACCCACACAATAATGTGAACTCCATGCTATTGTACAGAAATTGGAATTTCTATAGTTCTCTTTTAATAAATGTGCAGAAGTGGGCGTGATTTCTTTAAACGTTTATCTTTATAAATATACATTTGACCGAACAAAAATGATGAATTTTCCTCACTAAACATATTTTTTACTTATAACGTAATGGGTTCCATTCATCATTTTTGAAAGGACATTTTTTTAACACTGGAACATTGACGTCACTGTGCATAGAATATTGAACCGGTGCGCTGTGCTGCTATTAAAATATCGACGAAGATGTGCACAGAAGAATTGCTTAAGAAGAGAATAGAAGAATAGAGTACCAAAGATGTGCTGGACTGACTAGTCGGTGACCACGTTGCTGTTGATCAAATAATCTGAAAAAACCATTGAAACATTCTTGCACCAATATCTGCTAGGCATTCTCAAACGTTGAATAAAGGTAGGATTGATTATAGATATCAAAGAAAAAGGATTCAACAAAGTAGTACAGTGACTATTTACACATTTCACAAGACTTAGCTTGAGGTGAGATTGAAGATAGAAAATGTTAAATCTGGTTGGTGTTTCAAGAATTCAAATGGTTCGTAGTTTGTGCGTAAGTTTTAGATTTAATAACATTATTTATAGCAGACATTAATGCAAGACTTTCAGTAATAATTCAACCAGATTATGCGACCATACAGGTATCCGTGGGACATTGATGTGCGACAAGTAATTTGCATTTTGTGATATTACACTTCAAGATGCATTGTGTCTAATTTCGTAGCTGTCAAACCTCGTCTTTTTTGAACGAGTGAAGCACCGGCCAATCCGGGATCAGTTCAGCGAGTGACGGTCTTCTATTATGGGATCTCTACAAAATATCCATTCATTCTTAGTGACTTATAATAATTATGAATACGTTAACTCCGCGCTTAAGAGGGTCTACATCTAATAGTTTAAGGACTATAAGAAGTATATCGTGTCCTATGTCAAAATATATACAAAGAAAAAGGGAAAACATAATGCTGATTACAACATAGCTATATGCCAAACATATTATAATCAGCACAATGGATAAAAAAATTCCAACATCTGCGTAAAACTGGATGCATCAGCTGAAATTGATGAAGTAAATAATGAGGAATATAATTATTTTGATAATAATGACGTGACAGAAGCTCTTCAATCCGACGTCAAAATAGACCTGTAATTTAACGTAGTGGACACCAATTCAAAAGTACCAATAGTCATCAAATTCATTCCACTTACATTGCCTGAAATTCATGTTCAAGTTATAGAAACATGAAGAGGTGATACAAAAACCCTTTTGTTAATTTAAAATTCAATTTAATGCATTTCTTTTATTTAAAACGCTCTGCAATTACTGACTCCAACTAAGAAGTATCTTTACTCATTTTACTTTCAAGGTCTTTAGGATTTGATTAATATGATCGATAGTTAAGTATTGTTTATTTAGATTGATTGTTGGAATCATCAACTTCAGAGGTATATTTTTTAGTTTAGTTATTTTATCATTCGTGGTTTTAATCTCATTCATTATTTAAAAGGTTGTTTTCTGATCATTTGTAATACAAACAAAATCAACAGAAACACCAAGAGTTAACGATTTTGAATTATTATCATCATCATCATTACCACCAGATTTCAAATGATCAGAAACTCCTCATTTTATTTAGCTTTTTTATCTTTCCTTTTTATCGAACCTTTATTTTGACAGCCTCCATCAATTCGGGCCAATCAGGTATTATTTCAGGTAGAGACATTCGTCTCCTTATGTCATAGATACCCTAGAATTTTAATAGTTAGGTTACAACAGTGCGATAGCTAATTAACTCGAAATTTATCAAGCTAAATAATTAGAAAGCAAAATGAAGTGGTTGGTGTGAACTGTGGGACCATTTTTTGTTTTGAGTTAGGTACTTATGTTATTAATTTATTTTTAAAACATTTAAAATGATGAGTTGCTCACATAATTGTTCGAGTCCCCACGGACATTGAACCACGGAAATATTTTAGAGAAATACCATCCAGCCATCGTTGCTTGTCTTCAATCACCAAAAATTAACGAAGATTTTTATGTAAACAATCCATCTTTGTCAATTTGACGTTTTTGACAATTCGATTTCGTTTTTTTTTAGAACGAGGAACGAAATATTAATAAGACCTCTTTAAATGCGTGCTTCTAATTTATTTATTTTTGTTAATATTTTTTTATTTGAGCCATACCATAAGGTTACCGTTCTCAGGGTATTTTCATGCTCAGTACATGAATTATTCAAAATTGTTTAAATATTCTTTAATTACTTAATTATATATCAATAATCCAACTGTGGAAATCAACATTGATAAATTAGGTTTTGGTTAGTTTCTCGTAAAAAAATACGATAAACGGGAAATGCAAGATGGAATGAACGATGATGCTATAGTTTAAAATACTGATGACCTTGACCCAGGACCAGTTCAAGGATTGCCTCCTTTCTGCTGGGAATCTACCCATCTCGACACCTTCAGATACGACCACAATGAAGCCGTCTTCTTCAAAATATCCAGTTTCTAAGCCCTAAGAATCAAATGTCATGATGCATAGTGATAAAAGATAATTAAATGTATTAGAAAATTAATAAACTAAACAAGTCTGCTAAGTTAACAATATTAAGTAACTAAAAACAGAGCTATGAATATTTTTTATAAATAAGCTCAATGAGAATTCTTGATGCATATGATGAATGGTATCTTTAATTCGTCGATAGTAAACTTTTACAGAATAATAAAAAACCGTATGCAACGATTTGAGTTCAATTAGATATAGCATAGCATGAACACGAATGTCAAATGCATCGAGACGATCTCAATCTTCATTTTTGTTAAGATAAATACTAAAGAGAAGCTAAATAAAACTGATTATCAAGTAGCGCTATGCAATATTCTACTTAAAGAAAGCGTATATTCAATAGCGTAGAATATACAATAATCTATAAGTAAACGTTATTCACAAATTATGAAACATTTCGTAGTTCCTTGAACTTCCAACTTGGATATGTATATGTATAGCCCGATGGAGCTGTCTCTATATTTATAATTGGTTTTAAATAGACTGCAAAACAATGTAGACAAATATGAGAGCTAATTTCATCTTGATGAATGCAAATATCATTGGTATTTCTATTCTTGGCCACTCTAAAGATCTAATTATGATCTGCATTGTCTTGCGTCATTATTTTTAAATTCGTTTTATTTATATCTTTTTATATAATAGCATTTATATCACCATCTTCTACAATCCAATTATAGCTGATTGATTTAAAAGATTTAGCATCCAATGTAATTTTAAAATGCAGATACACCTTACCTTTTCCACCTTCTTGAGGGGTGGGATTGGTTTTTCTGTCTCCTTGAGGTCTCCCCAGTCGGGATCCTCTTTCTTTTCACCCCATTTGGCGTACTTCCTCTTCTTGAGCATAGCACGGAAGTCCATACCACTGGCGTCTGTTTGGACATTATGTTATAAAATATCGTGAAGACCATAAAATATTATATTAATAAATCTTCTCGTATCTGTCTCAACGTTTCTGAGTTCTAGTTTTCTTCTTAACTTACCGGATACATAAAGTTGCATTTCAGCTGAATCCTCGCCATGGATGTTGCTGACCACAATCTTGTATTTTCCTTCATCATTAGGCTTGACCTTCCTCATGCAGAGGGTGATGAGACCAGTTTCACCATCGGTGATGAACTTGAAGCGACCACCTTCAATGATCTCACTGACACCCTTGTAGAACTTGAACGTGGGTGCTGGGCTACCTTCCACTTGTACAGTGAGGTAGCCGGTTTGATCTGGTTATGGGATTGACATATTTATTAGATATTTTGAAAGATATAGGACATAAGAAAAAAATAGGTGACATATACAAAACAAGGTTTCATAAAAAAACTGACCTTCAACAGCAGAGTAACTTTCTTGGACGTCGACGATGACCGGTGGACCCTCATTTCCAATAGGTTTGAGAGGCACTGACGGTTTGTTGATAAGATCTTCTAGATCCTGCACTGATGGCCTCCTGGCGTCTCCGGATTTTCGTCGCTACATCATCAAGATAATGTGAGTCTTTTTTTCTTATTAAATCATACCAAATGGGTTAATCACTTAGAAATCGACATAAAATTTGTTTTGAAGTAAATGAACTTTGACTTTATCAAAAAAATCAAACTACTGGTATGGTAGTTACAGCAGTATAACTCCAATTATCAGTATAAGCACCAAAATTCCTTAAAAAATCCTTAAATGATAAAAAAAATATTTTAATCTGGATTTACTAGCGAAAGTCCATTTACATCACAGGATTGAAGATAAACTTTATAGAAAAATTTAAGTCGTTAACGAATATGAAAAGGGAGTATTACCAACAATGAGAAATTACTATCTCAATTTAACAACATTGAGAAAATTGTTTAACATTAACATCCATTTCAATCTTCACCACAAATTAATAAGCTTAATTAATAAAGTCCAAGCTAAGGACGTACTTAAACAAATTTTATTGGAATATGGTGAACATATAACAGATTACAGTAATCATCAAAGGTCATTAAAACGTTCTGTAAATGATAATCTAGCTCGATATAGATTGAAAAATTGCTTCGTTGGTAACTAGTTGTTAAAATGGATGATACATTAGAATGTTATGACAGTTGTAGTACATTATGAGCGCTAGCCAAATGACCTGACAATGATCTGGACTTCCTGATGTATGTAGCGCAAGTGGTCACGTATATGTCTTCTCCCTTTCCTGTTAACTGCTATATTATATTTCATCCTTAATAGGAACAACACCATTTGTTTCTTTCTCAATACCTGTAGTAGTCAGTTTATTATTTTAGTATGCATCAGCATCTAAGATTTTATCAATTTGATCGTTTGGCATATCTTTGTCTTTATGTTCAACAACCACATTTGCTACTACTAAATCTATCAGACCGTCAAAATGTCTATTATTGACAATGAAATCCTTCCTAACAAGATTTACTGTTTGATCATAATCTATCAAAGTTGTGCCAACATTACTCTTATCTTCATTGTTATATTGAATCAAAACAATCATAAATTATGGCTGTCTAATAAATAGTGATTGATTTCTAACTTTATCTAAGAATAATTCTTCAACAATTTAATTTAGTTTGATTTAAAAGAAACACGTTTTACCCTTTATGTGATGGATGTCATGTAATAGCGGCTAGTTTATGGACATTCGTCTAGTATAATTTCCATGACTTAATTATATTATTCACTTTTCATAACATAAAAGACGGGATTTAACACCAAGTGTAATGGCAATTTCGAAATGGTCATTATTTTTTCGAAATCCTGCTCTAACTCCTACACTTGGGAGTCGCATGAGCAGACAAGGGAGTCAATAGATGAGAAAAAACATCGCAAACTTTAAAATGTGCATCATGATTGTAATAATAAGTCACAATATCTAGAACAAAGATTTATAGCCTGCGCGACGGTGTATTTGCTTCAGCTAAAATCGACGCAAGTAGGCGTTAAAATATGAATTCCTTGGAATGCATTTGATTTAAATGAAATAATTAACAGGTGTATCGTAATAACTGATTTATGACGACTTAATGGGAGCTCCATAATTTAAGATTGTGTCAAAGTAATCTTGATGAATATTTTTACAAACATGGGTTACAGAACTTTAATGTAGATTTACCAAATGAGTCAAGATCCATATAATTTTAACGCTACAGCCATTTTTGGAACTCTTTAATGACCTCTGAATGATACAAGACATTTAGAAACATTGAATAAAAACAGTCTTATACTTACCGGGTCACCCGTGGGTTTGGTTTTTGGTAAACCGGCAACCGGTTTTTTAGCAACCGCTGCCATTGTTAATCACATATAATCACTTTGATGCCACAAAACTATCGAATATCTCGTAAAATAATATAAAAAAGCAAAAGTCTATAATAACATCACACTATATCACAGTATAATTTTATGTTTGCACATGATTACCTACTTTAAACACTTAAAACTATTTTTAAAATAATCAAAAGTTTATAAAATTCTCTCCTTTCATGCGGATCATCCATATTTACGGAAAAAAGCTTACAATTAAATGCTATACAATTATTTTTTTAATATTAAAAGTGTTACACCTTGATATTTTTATGTATTATTTTGGAGTCGTTTAGTGAAATTTCGATTTGGGGCAGTTCGTTAGTCGTTCCATGTAAAAATGGGCGCGAATGTCAAAAGACTGAAGAAGGGGTCGTGTAGACATGGCCGCCTGGCAATGGTGGGGCGCGGGGGCGGTGGGCGGCTATTTGTGCACAGCACAAATCAGCAGACCAATACAATTAATTATCAGATTAAGGTGAGCCATCCATGTAGCTTGTTCTTGAACGTCGTTGCTAATATACGCATAAAGTTATCGCCGACGATCCGCTATGTTATTGTCGATGTTTGGCTTTGAACCTCGGAAGCTCACAGTTACGGTTCAGTGATTAATTGTCCGCATTTTTATCAAATTGACACCTGCAATTAAGGTCAATGGGTTTTTGTTGACCTACTGTGGATGACTCGAACTTTTGGCTTGCCTATTACAGTTGTGCTGACGGCATTATGACGTCGGTCAATATTAAAACAATCAGTTGGATGTTGAAGCCAAACAGCAGTTGTCTCGAGGAGACAAACTGTGTGCGCGTGTTTGTCTAGATTAATAAATAATACAAGATTGAGGGGTTGCGCAAGAAGATCGAAAGATTGATTGGCACCCTCGGATTAATGCATTCTGTTCACATCACTGCCATAGTTGGCAAGTGAGTCGGTGTCGAGAGCGCCTGCATTACTGTCGAGCCGACAAATTTTGAACGGCACAGTCTGAATGTAACCTGTTGATTTGGTTCTCTTGTTCCGTGATGTTTATAATTTTGTGTCTTATTTTGCTTTTGGAATATCGATTGCTTTAATTAAGCGTAAACATACATACTTGTTTTCATGGTGTTTATTAAGTACAGTATCTTTGTATTTCAGTTGGCTTCCCATTCCATGACAGATTTGCCACGCGAACTTTTAGAAATCCAATAAGATCCTTAGTAACTGCATTTAGTAAATTTTACCGACACACGGTGAAAATGTCTGGTCAAATTAATTTGAGGAACTAACTGCCAAATGGTATCGTCACCTTTGCCAAATTTTTTCGATGGAACGGTATCATCGAAGCTTAATATCGCCCGTGACAAACCCACGCGCACTTTAGGTATTTCCGATATGACCATTCTGTCAATCAAAGATCCGCTTTATTTCTATTTGTGGACTGTCCTTGCTTTTATTTATATCCAGGTTAATTGTGTTTGATGTTGTTGTCAACATTGTTTCGTTATCAAAAACGTCAACATTGTTATTAATTTTTTTATCGTTTACTTGTTGACTAATAATTGAATGCATTATTTTGATGTTCATCCCTTACTTTTCAATAGTTGTTTTAAGTATTTTGTGTCTTGTGTTATTTCAAAATACAATCAATTGCCTTAGATATTCGTATGGTTACGAGTGCAAGCGCAATGATGTACACGGCCCCGGCCCGGAGCAAGAGGAGAAACAGATAGGAGGTAGTCTTTAGCCAGTAAAAGTCTGACGCTACCTTTTGCTTCAACAAGGACGGGTAAAGTAATTTAATGATATTGACACCCGAAAAGTAATAAAACCATTACTAGGACATCATTTTTACTAGTTTAGAATTGCTTTACAGCTAACCCACAAGCTTCTATCAATAATCTATTTTTAGAAATTTTTATGCGCATTCATGTTGTCATTACATTGCCACGATTATAATTAACGATATGATTAAAGCAATTAATCTTTTTCATTCTATTTTAGGTGTGAACAATGGTACTACTAATCAATATCGAGACGTATATCTTTTTAACAACATGCGACGTCTATAACTCAGAAGCGCTGGCAAGTTGAGGCAGTTAAGGGTGAGAATATTTCAAGATCATTGGTCTTGCTCTTGGCCTAATTACTATAGTCATATTTATACAAATAACAATCAATCATAACGCCGACGAGTGTACGTGCGTCCTGGCGCATGATTGTGCTCACTTTTGCTTCATTAAACCCGTCTGCACCATCTGCTTTTGCGTTATCACAAGTAACAGGTGCGTTTTCTTTATTAATTGCTATTGTTTTTGTTTCTTTTTGATCGTTATTTACTTCTTATGTAATATTTACTTGTGTTTTAACCTTGAAATCTTTAGCATCATTTAAATTGTTATTTCTATCGTTTTTATTCTTAGTCTTAATACGTTGAGTTACTTGTGGCTTAGGCATTCGTCTTCCATCAGTATGTCCACCTACATCGTTTCATATTTGATCTTCGACGTTACAAAAGTGTCGTGAGTTAATGCATTTCCTATGTCCCTTATGAGTCACAAAGTTGACATTATTATCGCCTTATTTGCGTCATAGAAACAGAAATGTTGGCTCCAAACTAAATTCATTAGTAATTATAGAATCTTTGTTTAGCTACCGTTTCTATATATTTCATTCTTATAATTAATGTTTCATATAATTCGTAACTGTGTTCTGCGATGTTTACATAGAATTTAAAATCTTCGAGGCATTTTGTGGCATCTTTATGATTATTAGAAATACGAATAACATCTATGATTAAATTTATTGTTATAGACTTTGTAGTCACTAGCGGAAAATTATTTAGGCGTTTTCAAGGTCATCATAGATGTTACTCTGAGTATAATGTGATATTTTTACTGTTATTGAGTGCTGAAGCAATATATTGTAGGTTTCCATGCAATCACACAATATCTTAACAAATACCATTTGCCGCACTCCATTAATTTAGCTTTTATTATCACGTTAAGTTTAATAAAATTGTTAATTTATTTGTTACTATTGCGTGCGTTGTTTTAAACGCATTTTATTACCTGTTAAAATACAGTTTTATCGAAAACGATAAATATAATGATAATTTTAGCTCAGGCCATATATTTATCGAGTTCGATAAATTATTTTTCTTTTTTAATGTTGGATTTTAATAGGACACATGCATAGATTTTAAAATGTCTGTTAAAATTTGAATTTATTTTCTCATTAAACATTTAATATAAGGTTAGAATGACAAGGTGTTAGTTGCACTGGCTCTATTTTATTGACAAAACATAATTAGGATATCCGGATCGAAATATAACATATAAATGAAGGTTTTCCCATCTATGCCGTTTGTTGTCGCATAGAGATTATTTACGAACGAATGAAAAAATTATTCACTTGGAAAAAAAATACATTAATCACTTTGAAAATAACTATGTTAGCCACGAATCTATATTTTTCTATAACATGTATGTAGTCTAAACATATAGTTTTTCACACTCTTATATACCTCTTCGGAGAGTTCACCCGGCCTGGCGCGTTTCTTTTTTGGAAAAAAAGTATCAGTTTTAGTAAAAACATTCTCTGTTATATGTGCTTATTATTATAAAATTCTGTACATATTGAGTGCTTATAAGTTAATCATGTGTTTCTGTCCTCGTGTCTGATGTAGTCGTGTAAACTATGGATGTGTTAGTGTGAAGTGTGAATTTGTCTGTGCATCATTAATATAATTATAAAATTATTGCTCATAGTAATTAGTTTTTACCACTATTTAGAGTATTTTCGAAGCATTTGTACATGTTTCGCGTTCATCCATTTATGCAAGTCAGTAAAGTATTGTTTTAATAAATTGTAGTTTTAATATAAATGTAAAAGTAAAATGTATAGTGCATTCAGAAAATGGTTAGTGGAAAACTAAAAAATAAAGTTAATTATTGGAAAAGCCATTCTAAAAGTAAACTAAAAAGCTTTGTTGATGGGGGAAACAGAACTGTTTTTAAAATTTCTTGCAAATGAATGAACATCGGATTTGAATTTTGACAATCCATATTCATTCATTCAGTCAGTCATTAATATTAGCTTTTATTCTATCGCTCGTTTCCCTCATAAACATTAAAAAAGATAAAACCCAGCGATGCTTTGTCACATCGTAAACCCGCTGGTCGGCAAAGCGGTCTCTAGATCTAACACTAAATAGAACATCTAAAAAGAAAAAAGATTTGTAAAAAGAGTGGACATTGTAGGGGTAGCAACTAAAAGGGACTAAAAGTAGCTATCTGGAAGCTATTGAAGACGCTACATTTTGAAAAGGGAAAAACAATGTAATGTGCATGGAAGGAAGATTGTGTGTTTTGTCTTTTTTGATTTATTTATTATTTTGACAAAAACCAATAGTTCGCATGGACTTGTACTGTCCAGCGTTGTATTTGAAGGGAATGGGGGTCATGAGTTTGTGTCTCTATAATTCTAAAGTGGTAAAAAAACTAATTATCACAATATCTTCCCTGTAAAAAACTTATTTCTATTTAAACTTAACAGTAAAGGTCGTCCGTGTATATGTATGTAACAATAGAAGAAATATTATATTAAAAAAAAAGACAAAAAGTGCTTTGCAAAAGCGAGCAGCGACCACCTAAAACTGACCAGATCCAATCGGTCTCACCTTTTTCTCGTCTAATACTTCGCCGGGACGTAATTTCTTGACCTGTTGTTCAAAAAACATTGATAATCCCATATGTAATATGTACCCTAAGGACCTAAGTCTCCGCTGCCGAACCTGGGCTATATGGCTAACCTATCTTTAGTTCATTATTGGGTGCAATATCCTAGCGAGCTTGTGCAATAGTTATTACAATACTGTTTGCATCACTTTCGTGTTAATTGTTCATGTTAGTGTCGAGTTCATTATTGTAATGTGTAAGAAAAGCCTCTTTAGGCACACCATTCCTGTAAAAAAGATCGTCGACCATTTCCAATCTCTGACCATTATTTCGTGTGCGAAACGTGCTAACAAGCTGTGCAGTTTATCTGTGTGTGCGTACTCCACAAATTTGTGCATTTTAGCTCTGTGCTTTCGACGACAAAACGTTTCTTGTACAGATATAACCTGGATAATTACATTCACCATTGCTTAAAAGGGTTGTGTTCTGAATATTTTTCCAAGGCTCATGTGATTATCCAGAATAACGTGTGAAACAGTGTTTTAAACCGCGTCGGATGCAAATGCATTAATAATACCGTATACAGATATAGTTAAGAATTTGTCACGGCAATAATAACATTCATTTAGAATTCTTAGCGTTTTATCTTTTACCTTCTTTTCTTCGATCACCTCACCGGGTCTTAGTTTTCTATTCTCCTGTGGATTATGTTTTGCACGGTCTTAATATCGCTACAATCACGATTCAATATCAATGTTTTCAAAAACATCTGCTGTGACATTGCTATACTCTGTTTAATCAAGAAGCAAGGATTTATGGATCTAAGCTCAACTCCACTGTAAACCAACTCATTCACTAAGATCCTCTGCTAAAGCGTTCGTGGTACAAGCATCATCTTTCTTAGACGATTATGAAAAATGTCTTTCTGAAGGGTCTATGCATTCGTGTTATGGGTTCGGCTTGAGAGAATAGGGTCTATACTACTAGGGGCTAAATTACTTTGTGGTAAGACGCCAACATCCGTGTAAATCACTCGTTGATTGCAGATATCACGCGATTAGTTAGAAAATAAATAATCATGCTTCAATGTTGCAGACTTTGATACAAATGCAGCTAAATGTGAGAGAAATTCATAATGCTCATCAAGAATTGGTAGTCTGGTTGACACTCAAATATCTACAATAGTTTTTTGTGTCCAAAAGGAGATTGATTGATTGATTGACATTGATTTCAAGAAAAGAACCAGAATACCATAAAATAAAGTGCATAATGTGACTCAAACGCAAATGTGCTATCAGCCGTAAAGCTTGCATTTTCAAAGAGTGATTCTGATGCCAGCGCTTTATAGGAATTGTAACGTGTCTAGGACTAAGACGGCACAATTGTACACTTATGTCTACAAAACTTCATACCTTTACTGAAAATGGAAACATTTTGTATCCAAATACAAATACATTACAAAGTAAATCTAGTAAGTACTTATTGCTAAGATAAAATGCAATGTTACATACCTCGTCGCTGATGATAAGGGAAGGACGTCTTCCCATTTCCTCTGGAGGAGGAATGAGGGAACCACGTCTACCCACGGGAGCACCGGGTACAAGAGAGGGTTTCCTTGGCATGTCAGGTTTCGGTGACTTCTCACGGATAACCTCGATCTTAGGTGCCGCAGGCTTCTCCTCTGGAGCCTTGATTTCAGGTACCTTTGGCGCAGGCTGTTAATTATTAAATAACATTATAATATGAAACATCTATAAGGTCATTCTCCGTTGGTTTTTCTCATGTGGTATACAATACCTTCTCTGGTTTATCTTTGGTTGATGGAGTAAAGTCCATCTTTTCGAATTTCTCAAGTTCAGGTCGCTCGTAATCAGCAATTTCAGGTAGATCCTCAGCCTTCTTCTTGACTGATGTGACCTTGGCCTTCTTAGCTTCTTCTTCGACCTTCTCTTCCTTAACGGCGACTTTCTGTAAGTGAAATGTTTATTTAATATCGAAATATTATTTAATGTTTCTCTCGATAACCTATTCAAAAAAAAGGAGGTACGGTAAAGTAAATAAACTATTACCTAAGAAAGGGTTCATTTTGAAATAGTAATTAGTGAACTAATTGAATAACTAAAGGAATATACTTGGAATGCTTAAAATAACTGATCCATAGTTCGCGAAATTTAAACGAAGAAAAATGTTTACGCCCGCGCGGTCTACTGCCCTTCACAAAAATGCTCATAAAAACGAAACTAAAGCACTTATATTTGTTTTGTAACAGATGTTATATTCTTGGACACTTTTCCTGTTGCTGTACCTAAAAATAATGGCCCCACTGAAAGCTCAACTATTTGATTTCAGATCTAGATGTTACGTAACTTATCGTCGAAAATAGTTTGAGATGTGATTGGTAAAATTTAAATTAAAAAACAAAATGATAAGTAGTTAAAACTAGATTCTAGATTAAGCTCCGAGGCCCAGATGTCCAGAATAATTACGCATAAATTCATATAATACATGATACTTACCGTTAAGCTAGAAACATAAAATAACAATACATTTAAACATTGAAGTGTTTTAAAAGCTGAAGCGGAAGCAGGAAATGTGAGGAAACTACATCATGCTTCTATTAATTTAGAGTAGTAGGTGCTTGGTTATAACACGCAAATATTGCTTTACAAATTGTTACGCTAAATACGAGACTACTATGTGCATCTATGTTTACATATATACAGTCAAAACTGTTCTCTGGAGTACTTTAAGAAAAATCTACAAAGAATGGTAAATTATCGACTACAAAAGAACTACTATACAATGCAACTAATTCCACATCTCCACTAGATCTAGAAGATTCTACGACAGTTGTGCAATTTGACGAATTCTAAGTGCTCGTGCAAAAGTGCTCTACCACTCCTGTAGTCAATATCATTGTGCATTGTGCAAATATCCTGTGCATACACTGTGAGTGCTCATGTATACCTCTTCAGGCGTTCGAGGTTGGCTGCTATAAGCGGGCTGTGGTAATTCAAATGTAGCTTGCATATTTTCATCTTTGCCTTCAGTTGTTTCAGCCTATACAGTAAATTGTATTATTGGCGACCGTACGATGTGTACGAATTTTGCATTGCAAGCGATTGATGACGTATTTTCATAACAAACACATCTTGAAACATTGGATGGAAATTATTGTTTGTTGTGAAAACTCGTCATATAATTTTTTAATTCATTTGGCCAATCTTATTATGCAAAATCCTGGTGCTAAATGAATGTGTGCGTGTCTGTTTAAGCGATGACTGTGTCGGTGACCTGTTTGTGTACCTGAGGGGACTTAGCCCTGCGCCAAGGAGCGGTTGGTTCTGGTGTCTCAAGTAATGTTGGTTTGTATTTGTCTTCTAACTCTGGCGTTTGTTCAGCCTGATCATTAAAGTGTTTAATTACTACCGATACTTCATTTATAATATTTATTTCATTAACTAAAGTGATAATTTCTACCTGTGGTATTTCAGGAATGACCTGCCAAGAGAATGGAACCACCGGGGGTTCTTCTTTCTTTTCCGGTTCTGGAGTTTGTATTGACGGTACCTGATGATGTATTCAAGATTTTATGGTTTGCTAAATGTAAGTATTGACTTTTAATAGATTATTTTCAATTTCTTGTGAGTTGCTTGTGCAATTTGTTGAAGTGTGTCTGTGTGTAAGTAAGTGTGAGTGTATGTATGTGCGTGTGTTACCTCTAAGTGCTGTTTTCTCCATGGGTATCGTGTTTCTGTCAATTTAGGTGATTCTAGTGGTTTCTGTCCTTTACTTTCATCGCCCTAACAAAATAATATTATTATAATTTTATGAAATAGTTATTTAAACTTTTGATTTCTATAATTTAATTAACTTAATACCTTAGGCGCGTTGGAACCTTCTTCAATAGATTTCATTCTATCCTCATCCGGTTTTTTAGTTACTTCAAGGTCCTAAAGAGCATTAACAAAATTAAAATCGACATTCTCCAAACCGAGAACTAATATTGAATTATAAATCTATTCAAAATTCACCTTTGTTTTTTGAATGACGTCCTTCAGTAGTTCAGAAGGTGTCTTTTTAGATTCTGGCGTCTAAAATAGATTAATTTAATTAGATATTTCTGTGTATGTTTTTTATTTCTAATACTAAGATATTACGAAGCAATACCTCTATTTCAAGTATGCCATTCTTGACCGGCTCCACTAAGAGTTCTGCTATCTTTTGTTTTGGCTCGGGTTCCTAAGAATTATTTAGATATTTTTACTAACATGTTTTTTGCAAAATATTTATTTTAATGTTAAATTAATTCAAACTACCTTCGCTTTGTCCTTTGGTGTTTCATTTGTAGGCTCAGAAGGTTTCGGTTTAAAGTCACCAGGTCCCTAATAAATAACATTTTTTATTATACTAACATATATATTTTTATTTTATGAAACTGATAAAATTATAACTCTAATTAATTTTACTACCTTCTCTTCTGTTTCTTTTTTGGGCTCAACAGTTGAATTTTTGCGTTTCTTTAGGAATTCAGGAGGTTCCTAGGAAACAGATTTAGCTGTATTATAACCTAGATAATGTTAATTCCTATCACCACTAGAATTTTCTTTGTTTGTGTGTGCTAGTGTTGTTGTGTAATGAGTATTTATGTATTAATGTGTGACCTACCTCTAAGTTAGACTTCCTTCTCATGAAGAAAGGTGTCTGTGTGGGTTTCAATTGTTTATCAGTTTGTGTTTTCTGTGTATCATCAGGTTCCTAGTAAGACAATTATGGGATGAGTATTATAGTTGTTTTGTGTTTTATAATTATTTTTAATATATTTTGTGTTAGCTACCTTAGACTTAGGTTCGTCTTTAGCTGGTTCTGGCTCTGGCTTTTTAGCCACAGGTTCCTGATGAAATGTAAATTCTGTCAATATTGTTTGTAGTCTAGGCTGTTTTAAGTAAGTATTTAAGAGAAGTTTTTTTTACAATCATCGTTTAACAAAGAAACCCGAAAAAGTTATTTGTAGTCCGAAAAAGTTTTTCTGGATAGGAAGCATTTATTGAAACGTTTATGTATGAGCTCAAGGTCTTGATTTAATCGTATTATTATAATTTGTCAGAATAATAATAATAACAGAAAACAACATTTTTTTTCGAATTTCTTTATTAAAAAGTAATAAAATTATAATGCGAAGTATCTAAAGAAATATACCTCCGATTTACTTGGTCTGCGCCAAGGATAATCAGATTCCTTCGGTTTATCCGTCAATAAATTATCTTTAGGTTTTTCTGGTTCTGTCGAATCTTTCTTATCCTGTTAGGAAAATATTGATAGTTAATTTAAAGCCTATTTTGTTATGAAAAAATTTTATGTAAGAGGAATTATTGTGATAGATACCTCTTCTACTTTACTTTGTTTGCGCCAAGGATAAGGAGATTCTCTATTCTCATCCTCTGGTTTTTTGGTTTCTTCAGGAGTTTCAGGAACGAGTGTATCCTATTTAACATTTCATATATTTTAACAAAACTATCTATTAAGATCAGTTTACTCTAATTTGTTGAAAATGTTATCTACCTGTAAATCGACGCTAGGTTTGCGCCAAGGATAGGTTGGTTCTGATGGTCTATCAACTGATACCCTGCGCTTAGGTACAAATGGCTCATCGTCTATTACCATTGGTTGTTGATCGTCCTGTTTAAATTAATGAATTATCTCATTACAAGGATTGACTGAGGTGAACACACATAATTTGTGAAATTCGTTTTGTCTCATACAATTCTAAATACCTATTTAAAACAGTAAAAGCTTAGTTTTTAATATAGTTACGTATTAATTTTCATATGTAGAGTCAGACAGTCTGATGAAATTTAACTTTAAAAATAAATAGAACCTGTTTTACCTCATCAACATGACTAGGACGACGCCAGGGATAAGTAGGTTCTGTAGGCCTATCAATTGAAGGCTTTCTTTTAATCTCTGTTTTTTGGTCTGCTACTTGATCCTGTTTCAAATTGTTATATTTCTAATTAATTTTATGGAACTTATTAAGGAAACAACATACTGATTTTAAGAGTAATGTAAATACCTCATCTGCATTACTAGGCTTACGCCACGGGTAAGTAGGTTCAGTGGGACGATCAATTGAAACCTTTCGTTTCGTTTTATTTTCTGTGATATCGGTTTCAATATTTTCCTTGTCCTGTATTGAAATTACTTAATTATTAAGAGAACTATCATTACTTATAAAACCATCAGTACTAATAATTTATGTGTAATATCTACCTCTTCATCAATGTTATTTGGCTTTCTTTTAGGCTCAGTCGGCTTATCGACCGAAGCCTTTCTTTTACTGTCAGTTTTATCAACTGTGTCAGGTTTCTTCTTATTTTCCTTGTCCTGTCATCGTTAAAATTAATATTTAATGTTTAAACAACACAATTTTTATAAAAAATTCTAAGGTCAAATAAGTAATTTAATCTACCTCATCAGGTTTACTGGGACGACGTCTAAGCGGTTCTTTAGGTTTATCAACAGAAGTTTTACGTTTTGTCTCAGTTTTTTCCTCAACCTCTTCGATATCTTCAGTATCCTGTTCGATAACCTTTTTATTAGTATTTTCGTCTAAGAAAATTTTGTACATTTTGAAAATTAAATGATTTTAATTCTATTTAATATTTATTAAATAATTTACCTCAGTATCATTTTCACGACGTTTTGGTACTGATGTATCGATAGGCTTCTTTAGACTATCCTTACGCTTTGGTTCCACAGTTTCCTTAGGTTCCTATATAATATACGCGACTAAATTAGTGCCCTTATTTATTTTGATATTAGGTAATGTTGTGTGTGTGTATGTGTATGAGTGTATGTATATACCTGAGTGTCTGTTTTCGTAGGTCGCCATGGATATGTTTTATCTGAAGGCTTATCAGTCGTTACCGTATCTTCTACGTTCCCTTTCACTTCCTATTTACAAAAATAAATTGTTCATTCAATATCTTGCATGAGTGCAATGTCGACGTCCTTTCGTAAAGTAGTTACAACATAAATTTATACAATTATGTTATTATCCACGTAGTTATTTACTGACACACAATAATCAAACAATCGTCTGTTGATCGTTTGAAGTTCATAAGAATTTGTATATACAAAAGGCAAAAATAAAATTACATTTATGTTTTTCCATAAATTTGAGATTGGTATTTTTCTCAGGACATGCATGGTTTTGAAAATAAAACTTACCTTAAGTTTAACTTGTTCCATTTCAGACGCTTCTGCCGCCTTTAGTGTGCTCTAAAATGATAAGTTATTGGGAATATGATTAAGCGGGATTATAGGGGTTGCTTGAAACCACGGCTATCTAAGCCAGTCTCTACGGCATTTTTCTATTCAAAGGATATTATTGTTGAATTGTATGTACAAATCATTGCCAATCTTGTATCTGGATGGAAAGGAATCTGCATAGTCTACAGTAACTCTAAATCAACTCCAATCTCGATATCTAACTACTTAAGCTTAGGGGTTTTTGCTTTAAACTGTCTTATTACTAAAAGCATTGCAAGTCCAGGCTCAACTTTTACTTCTAAGATACTCGGGGTAACTAAGTACTATGGCTACTTTAAGATCTACACTTAAGGAACTTTGCTCATTTGCAAGGGTTTTGCCTAGCTACAATTTATTTGAATTTAATAATGACCATCCATTAATAGCAATTTTTCTTCATCAGTGAAAAACCGTAATGTATCCAGGATTTATTTGATGGTCTTATTAAAATTCTGGTCAATTTTTCTAGTGTTTAGTCAATTACTTACCTTTTGAGCTGTCTTCTTTAGAGCAGTAACTTCTTGTTGTTCAGCCACAGCTGAAATTGATGACTTTCTACTTTCCGCAGTTTCTTTTGTAAGTTGCTGTTACAAAAGAATAATATTTAAATTAATATTATTGTAACATTTACTAAAGAAGTTAAAATTCTAATTCTTAAAATAAATACCATAATCTATGGTTGAAAAGTTATTATTTTAAATTACACAAATACATTGTTATTCCTAGACGATAATCTATGATATTGATGAAAATCATATTTTTACTATGTCAAAGTTTACTTTTTTAGAGATCAATAAATATACTTAAGTACATTGTAACATTCGAGATCTCTTTTTCAATTCTTACCTTAACAGCTTTGTTTTCAATAATAGAGCTTCTGCGGCTCTCTGATTTTGTTTCTTCTTTGACCTAAAAAATATAATAAATATATAAATTTGTTGTACGACCGCAAAGATTTAATATGACAGCTGAAAAGGCAGACTTTTTGAATAACTTTCTTTCTGAAGCTACATATCTGTTGATTTCATAGCAGCATTAAGCAACTTTTTAGGAAATACAAACCTCGCTTTGGAACGATGTCCTACGGCTTTCGGTCTAAAGGAAATAAAACAACATTTCAAATTAGCACGGGAGTGATATTGGAGTACTGATAAAAGACAAAATATACAGATGACAATAAATAGGACAAATGGACGAACGAAGGATTTCAAGAAAATATATTTACAAATGGGAATAAACGCAAAGTGGAAACAAATTCAGGATCGACAATGGGTTTGTTGTTACACACATTTGTTTTGTAAAACATGTAACAAAAGGATTAGAACACAATTTATTGAATTTACCACTGTGTGATTGCAGTGTGGATTTTGTAATTAAATATATACAATTCAAGAAGTAGTAATCAATTTTGTGACCAATATTTTGATTAATAAAACAACTTAGATCAAGACGAGCATTATTTTCGAATAAATTTTAACAAAATATGGTTAAGAAATATATTTGAGATAATTTTAAATGCATAACTAATATTGTGAAGATGAGGTGTCTGGGAAGTGTTTCATTTCTGCTACAGTGTAGTGGTAAATATTTTATCGATAAACAGACAGGGATCACTCTCATACATGTACGTTTTATACCTTTACTTCGAGATGGTGAGCCTGTTGGGCGATCATCGTCACCTGTTTTATTCAAATATATTTTATCATGATCAATCTATAACCTTCTTCCTTATTATTAAGTTACGGTCTACTTTGCGTCATTTTAGTATTTATATTTTAATGAATTCTTACCTTAGTTGCTTCCTTTTCTTTCTTCTCTCGTACTGTGGGAGTTGGGGAAATCTTTTCGTACTTTTCAAGTACTGGTCTTTCGTAGTCATCGACAAAGTCGAGTTCAATCTGTAATATTGCAAACATGTATTAGTATTTTGCTGGACCATAATAATCTTTACTATACTTGCCTTATTTTACTTTGGTTATGAATTCTTGAAGTATCCATATTGTTTTATAAGTAGTATACGTATATTGGAACAAAGAAACTTAAAATTTTAAACATACAACCAAACAAATAAACAAAGAAGAAAATTTAATACGTCTGCATACTTGAGGTTATCTAAAACGTATCTTGCTTAGTGTAAGTAATTCGTGTAACTAAGTGAAAAATCTTTATGTGCATGAAAAGCTAGATAATGGATAAGCTACTTCTCGTACAAGGCAAGGAAACATATGAAGATGTGTAAATTGCCTCGTCCGAAAATCAGCAGCAAACGTATTACATAAACCTGTAAAAGAAACTACATATAAAGCGTATTACAAGCAGCATGCGATCTGCAACCAAACCTTTGTACAACGACGTAGAACTCATAACTCCTCGGAATCTAGAACGGGGTGTAGTGAGGCATGTGCCAACAAGTTTGTGCAGTTGTGATTAGTTGTGGACTAAGGTCTGTGCTTGAAACTGGACATAACAAGAAGTGTAACAGATTGCAGATAGACAGAAAGAGATAGAAAGTGGACGTCACGAAGTATAACGTTTGAAACAGTTTTTACCACTGGATCTTTGCGGTTAAGGACAAGATCATCATCGTCACTCTCTTGCTCAGCTATTACAGCTCGTTTAGGCTGTTCTGTTGGCTTCTTAACAACTGTTTTCTTGAGCTGGGGTTTCTCAAATTTACCACCTTTTACTACGATTGGGTCCTAGAGAATTAATTTAGGTTTAATGGATATTCTACAACAAAAGCGCAGTTTGAGGTGCACTACTATTGCATTAGTGTGTACTTTGTTGAAAACTGTGGAAATACTCGCATGCTACATTGGACTTCCTCTTAATCATAATTTATTTTAAGAAGACAAATAGATATTTAGAAATGCTAAAGTAATTTCATTTACTTCGCATGATTTTGTTGAAGAAAAAGGCTGTTGTTTGGTCGTAACACTACATTAACTGTCTCAGAAGGTGTAGTGATACGCAGATAGATCAAGAGAGTATCCATTGTATTAGACTAACTACAAAACATTAGTGTCTGTTTTCTAACTATCTCAGTATACGTCTAGCTAGAACTATAAAAAAGACTACAACAACAGTTTCAGTAGTCTATCTACATTGCACTTAAGCGTGGTCCTCTCTACCTGATCCTCGTCTTCCTTATCCTTTTTAACGACAGCAGGTTTTTTGACTTTCAACTGTGCTGCCTCAGTACCCTCCTATGGATTTTTATATTATTACATTTTAAAACGTGTATGGGAATCAACATTTAGTTATCTTTAATTTGTAATATAAGATTACTTATTCCCCAAATAATCCTTCAGGTCAATATAATGTGACATGATGTGACACTCACTTTTAACTGGTTATTTTGTAAGTCTCATGCTCTAGGAGACGAGTCAAATACCATGTAACTGGATTTTGGTTTAGACTCGATTGTATTTCTTACTTTAGAAAATCGTATACTTCTACAATTACAATATCCTTATACGACCCAGGGAATCGAACTCGAGTCACTTTGTTTATCAATCGCTTTTGGGAACAGTTGTTCATTGAGACTTCCGAGTTCCTTTATAATTATTTTAAATTTCACTAAAATATTTTTCTGTATTACCAGCATTGCTTATTGGATACAGGAAAAGAATGCTGTAATACACGTAAAATACGAAAGAAACAATAATAATAAAGGAATTAAGTAAATCATAATTACTGAGATAATTAAAAATAGTAACTATAAGTAACTGTACCGTTAGCTTTCTCCTAGCAGGTGTCTTTTGTGTGAGTTGTGCTTCTTCAGGAGCTGTAGTGCTTGTCTTAGGTTTGGTTATACTGACAGCTTCTTCAGTGTCCTCAGGCTACCCACCAAACACATTTGTATTATACATCTCATTGTCATGTTAGTTCAAAGTGAAAATAACTTTGCCAAGGCTGACTCTGTCACTATTATCAAATTTGTATTGACTATGAATCAAGTGACAGAATAAGCCTTTTTCTAACAAACTTAACTATTTATTTCAAATTCTTAGTGTAAAATAAGTGTTCAGTGAAATTGTGTGATGTGCCTAATTTCATTCCAAATATGTGATTTTAAATTGAAAACTATAGTGCTTTTCTAATTGATTTATGCAATCTATGATGGTACCTTAACTAGGATTAAAATTCGCTTTAAAACCGTAGGTGCACCATTATCACTTGATAAAGGTGGAATATTAGTGTTGATTGGTCCAATCAACCCGGTCTGTGAATTATTTAGAATTGTAGTTTTTTGAGCGTCATCAATCTTGAATATAATTCTAATAATTCAGTTTTATAACGGATCAAAATATTTGGCAGTAAAATTTAAAAACGAAATCAATTTATCTTTTGAACTTTACCTTGTCTTCTTTGTCCTTTTTATCTTTGGGTGTAGGTCTCTTAAGAGTTTTTTCTTCGACAATTTCTGGTTTTTTAACACTGAGTTTAGCTTCAGCCTGGTCCTCCTATGTATAGTATTGATTATCATTATTAATTTATCTTCGATTATTATAATTTGCATATGAATTAGATGATAAAGACGTAAATGTACGAACCGTAGGTTTAATTTCAGCAGGTGTTTTGTGTGTGAGTGAAACGTCTTCAGGCTCCTTGCCAGGTTTGACTGGTGCCTTCGGCTTAGAGAGGCTGACGCTTTCGTCAACATCCATAGGCTAAAGAAATGTTTATAGTTTAGTTTGTGTTGCAAATGTTTAAGGTGTGATTGTTTATTGGAAAGCTTCCTACCTCTGGCTTATCTTTGTCTTTGACAGATCGTCGTCTAGCAGTAGCCGTTGCTGAGGGTACTTCCTCCTCAGGCTGTTTCTCTTCCTAAATATTTTTATGTCATGTTACAAATATAACATTGTTTGTTTTAAAGCAAATGTGTTCAAGCGAGACAAAATGTGTTGTGAAGTGTACCTTTTTCTTTTTCTCAATTGGTGTAGGTGTGATTTTCTCGTATTTCTCGAGAACTGGCCTCTCGTAATCGTCGACAAACTCCTCAACAGCGACCTTTAAATGTTTTAACATGTATCATTACGTGTACAGTAAAATGTTCTCAATTAGTAAAGAAGCGAAAAGTTGAAAATAAGTTGAAGATTTTAATTTGCGACCAGTGTTTGTCTATTTGTATGTAGCTCTAATGACCTAAATACAACAATTTTGAAACAATATCACTTTAATTATTCGAAGCTTCCTGCAGCAGCGCTGTAAATTTAACTTAAATATAATTTAAACATAGAGAAGCGAAGCTTTACAGTTTTTGCCATGCAGCCAAAGCTTACTTACTGCTTTTTCAGTAATAAGATCTGTAAATTGCTGAAAACAAAATTTTGCCGCGATAGAGGATTATAGCGTGGTACTTGAAAAACTTGCTTTGAAGTTTAGTGTGTTGTTATGTGAAAGATTGTTCGCGATATTCAAACTGATTATTTCGAGCTACCAAACTGTTAAATGTGAAGTGGTTTTGTTAAGTGTGTATACCTCTTTCTCTTTAAGAGAAGGACGCTTTTTAGCTTCAGGTTCGTCCTTTTTCTTTGGTTTAGCCTTTGGTTTCTCCTCAGGCTGTTTCTCCTCCTCCTAATGTGAAAAGTAATTTAGTATATTCAGTTCCTACCCTTTGTAAATGGTTTTTACTAATAACAATTGCAATATTGTTTACCTTGTCCTTTTGGACAGGCCGTTTGCGGAGTGTAGGCACTTCAGGTTCGGGTTCTTTTTCTTTAGGCTTAATTTTACCTTTCATCATGTCTACATCATCCTATTAAAAATACATAAGATTGATAAGTGTTCCTATATTATTATTTATTTTAATAAATTAAACGAATACAAATTTAGTTATGTTATGTTTTACCTCAGTGTCACTAGGACGACGTTTGTCCTTGGGTGTAGGAGTAATCTTTTCATATTTCTCAAGTTCTGGTTTTTCGTAATCGTCCACAAATTCTGGTTCGGCCTATAAGAATTATTTAATTGAACTAAACTTTTCCTAAACTATTTTTTTATCAATACTATTCAAATACATTACAATAAATGTTTTTAAATCGTGTAAGTTAAATAATTATGTAAATAATTGTGTATATACCTCTTTAACTCCGTTTTGTTTTTTGGTCCTATCTGACGGAGTTGGTGTCATTTTATCGTATTTTTCGAGGTCGGGCCTTTCGTAATCATCGACGAATTCGGCTTCCTCCGGCTTTAGGAAGATATTTTTTATTATTAAATTGAGTTACTTTAACAAATTTCATTTTATTGGAAAAAAAATATTTAGGCTGTAGAATCTTTGTAAATTACCTTTTTAACCGGTTTTTTGGTCTTTGCGACCTGTGGTTCCTCAAGTTTAGTCTCTTCTGGTTTTGAAGGAGCCTTGCCGAGCTTAACTTTAGATAACTCGTCAACGGGTTCCTCCGGTTTTGGTACACCCTTTTTGATACTGGGCCGCTTTGGTGGTTCAGTCTTTTCTTCTTCGACCTAAGCCCCCAATATATTAACTTATTATGTGTTTTATGTAAGATATTTAGTACTATAAATATGTTTTTTTGTATAATTTAATTAAATAAATTAACGGGTGGTATACCTTAGCAGGTTCAACTTTAGATTTTTTCTCAGGTGCAGGGGCTGCCACTGAAGGTTCCTCTTCACTTTCTTGTTCACTTTTAACGCTATCAGCGATAGATGCGCGTTTTCCCTAAATTTGTTCGTTATTAATTTTCAATTCGTCAGATATTTAATTTTTTATTGATATAAGTGTAAGTGTTTGTATAGTGTAATGTGTGTTTACCTTTGGTGTGTGATCCTCTTTAGCTTTTTTATCGAGCGGCGTCGGAGTAATCTTTTCATATTTCTCCAAAACGGGTCTCTCGTAATCATCGACGAACTCGATTTCGTCCTATATCCAAATAAAGTTTAGCACATCTAGTTATCACAACACACACGACAGATAAAATGAGTTATCACATACTAGAGTCCTATATTAATGAGAAAAAGTACATATTTCAACTATTTTTTGGTCCAACCGTATGACATTTTTAAGCAAAGAATTATTATTTAGGTATATGTTCAGCGATATACCTATATATCTTGTCTCATTTCTTCCCAAACTGCGAATATCGTTCTAGAGATTTGTTCCCAGATGGGTAAAGAATTCGATAACAATGTATTCGGTATCCATAAGGTTGGATCATAGCTATGAAATGACAACAAATTAGTTACAGTTTATTTATAACTAATTCTTAAAAATCATGATATTTGCTCTTCTTATCATCTTCTAGATGCTACTTTAGAAACAAGAAGTTAGATACATTTTATATACTTATATAAGCTTTTTACATAGCTCATGGAAAACAACTATCACCGCACTTACCTCGTCCTTTTTAGCAACGACCTTCTTTTTGACCACCTTTTTCTTTTCTTCTGTCTTCTTCTTGACTTCTTCCTTCTTTTCCTCAACTGGTTCTTCCTTAGGCTTAGTGGGCCTAAGTTTTGGAATGCCTTCAATTTTCTTTTCCGGTTCAGGTTCAGGTTTCTTCTTTTCAAGTTTTTCAAGAAGAGCTTTCTTTTCTTCTTCGGATTTCGAAAGCCTCTTCTCGAATATCTTCTTAGTTTCTTCAGCTTCAAGTTCCGCCTTTTTGGTTTCCTGAATCTTAGATTCAGTCTTCTTAGATTCAGTTTTCTTAGCCTCAACTTTCGATTCAGTTTTCTTTGCTTCAATAGAAACTTCTTCTTTCTTTTGTTCCACTTTGACTTCCTCTTTCTGTGACATCTTTCTCATTGATTTCTTTTCTTCTTCCTTTAACGTTATAATTATGTATTTAATTTGTGTGTAAGTAGTTCAAGATCTTACTTTAATGGAGTTTAGTTTAGTTGTTAAAGTACTAATTTAACATAAATGAAACAGTCCCTTTAAAATTTGAGTTTATTTTTGAATAGAATTTCGTCTTGGACATTTCTTAATAGAGGTGGATTACATACCTTCTTTTTCTCTTCGACGTGGTTTTCTTCAATAATGGATTTCTCCTCCACTATCGACATTTCTTCTTCAGACTCCTCAATGACAGTCGTCTCTTCCTCCTCTTCCTCCTTCTTCTTTTTCTGAAGTTTGTTTTAAAATATATTAAATTCTTTTTGTATAGGTAGTATTTCTATATAATGAAATAATGTTATGACATGTTGACTAATTTGGATGACGACATCCGCAGGGTGGCTGGCAGTGGTTGGATGAGAAGAGCTGAACATCGAGCTCAGTCGCGTGCAATTGGGGAGGCTTATGTCCAGCAGTGGACGACAATAGGCTGATGATGATGTTGACTAATTTCATTGTTTAAAATCTCAATTAGGGGAATTGTAATTTTATGCTTTAGACGAGTTTTTCTCCCGAGAAGTGGGTACGTTTACTACCCAGATCCGAAACGTCGTGATACGTTGCGCAACAGCCAGTTACTCCGTCACTTCGTCAACCAGTCGTCGTGTCCATATAGTAAATAACTTATTGTTAAAATCTATCATTGCTATTATTTCAATTGCTGAAAACATCGCTATGAGTCATATTATGATTAGAAAAAAAACAAATTTACCTTTTCCTCGACAATAGTCAAGTCCGCACTGGACTCGTCTTCTCCATATTCGTTCTTGATCACTACTCTGTAGTTGGCGACGTATTTAGTAGACACCTTCCTGATGATCAGTCTGGCGTTGGTTCCGTCGAATGATGTGTTAACTTCCGATGAGTCTCTGATGACAGTCGAATTCTTGTACCATGTGCATCTGCACGACTGGTCTGACGTCTTCAGGACAGCTACAAATTCGGCTTCCTCGTTTTCTTTGCGGGCCTGGACAAAATAATGTGAATCGTTGATTTCACTTATTGCTGTATTGCAGTTTATAATTGTTTTGGATTTTAATCGAATTTTAATAGTCTTTGAGAAGTCCATTATTCATAGAGGGAAAAATAACGATATATTTTTGTAAATCATATCACATTGTTAGCCTATAATCGTCCACTGCTGAGCAAAGGCATCAAGCTTGTTCAAGGCAGATTGATTGACAAATTCAAACTTACTTTATAAACAATACGTCTAGGTTCCCTTATGATGTTTTCCTTCGCCGTATGTTAGTGATATCTAAGCTATCTTAGAAAGGAGATACAACTCGGAAAAATACACTATAGTACTTGGTGAACTCGCACACTCGTGCATGACAATTGGGCGCCTTAACAAAGCTGTTATCCTACTTTTGCGATAATTGTAAAATATAAAACATCGCAACATGTAAAACTTACCAAGCTCCTCAGATGTTTAATGATCTGTGGCTTATCACCCTTTTCTTCTGGGATGTCTGAGATCTCGACGACTTGTGATGTCGCCTCTCCCTTCTCGTTCTTGGCCACCAATTTGTATGAACCTTTGTCCGTTTGTGACACGTTTGAGATTTCCAATTTGACTGTGAACTCGCCCTGTGATTGGAAAAACGTAATTATAGAAAAGTGTTTTTTGTTATAAAAAATATTTAATAATTGATGCGCTACTCACTTCTCTGCTAGGCTCAATAAGCACAGTGTGCCTAGAGCCTTCTTTCACAGCGGTATTTTCCTTGAACCATGTGCAAGCAGGTGCAAATTTACTTAATACTTTACATTCAACAATAACAGTCTTCTTCTTAACTATCTTAATGATCTTTGGTTTCTCTTTGATAACTGGAATGACTGCGGACAGAATAACAGATATATTATAATTTTGCTCATAGAAAATAAAAAGTAACATTAGGCAATGTAAAAGAATACGTACTTTCAATATTGAGCGTAAGATTCGCATTGAGCTCTCCAAGTTCATTTTTAATGTTGCATTTATACAATCCGGAGTCTTCAATACCAGGATCGATGAGTTCCAATATGATTGTGTATATGTCCTCGTGGACCTCAACCCTGGTCTTAATTTTCGACGAGTCCCTGATTTCTTTACCCTCGTGGTACCACACGATCGTCGGTCGCGGGCTAGCTTTGACCTTGCATCCCATTATAACTAATTTGCCATTGTCCTTTGACTGAATCGTTGGCTTCTCGACAAATGTCGGGCCTTCACCTTCCGGTTCTGGTTCAGCCTCAATGTTCAGGTTAAGATTAGCGTTGCTTTCGCCAAATTCGTTTTTGACGTGACAGCGGTAAGAGCCACCATCCGCTGCCGTCGGGTTTGTCAAAAGCAACAATAACTCATAAACGTCTTCACCCATCTCGGATGATTTGATTTCGATTTTACTGCTAGCCTTGATGACGGTCGTGCCTCTGTACCACGTGACTTCGGCCGCCGGCTTTGCTTTGCAGACACAACGCATCGTAATGAGTGTGCCGTCCTCGTTGGGAATGATTCGGGGTTTCTCCACAAATGATGGTGGGAAACCATTTTCGTCATCCCCACCTGAGAAATATGAATATTTTGATTACAACACCGAGCATTGACCACATTTTCATGCTGCTCGAAAGCTTAAAGCTTCACATGCCATTGCTACTGTATGCGTACATAATAAAAAAATAATGAAGTTGTTTTGTTTTCCTGCTTTACCTTGGAAATTGAGAGCAATATTGGCATTGCTCTCGCCAAACAAGTTGAAGGCGTTACACCTATAATTGCCCCCATCTTCCCGCGTGGGGCCTAAAATTTCTAAAGTCAAATTAAATGTATCTTTTCCGGTGGCTTTTCTGGACATCTTCATTTTTGCACCATCCCTAATTTCTTTATCTCCGTGGAACCACGTGATGTCTGGAGCTGGGTATGCTTCTAATATACATTCCATTATAAGTACTTCGCCTTCCTGTCTAATGGTCGGCTTTTTAGGGAATCTCGGTGCTTTACCGTCGGGTATTCTGTTTAAAAGACAAAATATTTAAATAGTAGCCCTAACTATTACGTCTAATATAGATTCATTAGCATTGAGTATATGTCCTTACTTTGGTTTATCTCCGCCTTCGAAGTTAAGGTTTATTTTTGCTACGCCTTCACCATGTTTGTTTTTCGCTACAGCCCTGTATTCTCCTCTGTCCGAATTCTCAACGCCTAAGATTTCGAGTCGCGCCATATGATATAATGTTTGGTCCTCTTCTAACGTTATTTTGTATCGACTACTTTCTTTTATCATCTTTTTACCATGGTACCTGTATCATCAAGTGATCGTGTTAAAGCCGTATTTGTGTTTTGAATTATATTTAATTTTGGTTGTGTGACATCTTACCATGTGATGGTTGGTTTCGGTTTGCCAACACATCGACATTCGAATGAGATTTTGGTACCATCATCCGATTGCCTGATGACTGGTCTCTCCGTAAATGTCGGTTTGATAAAGTCCTCAGGTACGGGCGCTTCGTCGCCTATTTTATCAATGCACACATTATTAGAATGTTCACCAATGTTTGTTTGACGAAGATTTGCAGCTGCCGTTACACCATTGTTATCAGATTTAAGATGTTTTCTTTTCTAGTGTATTAAGATACGCAACGCAGGCTCATTCAGAGTTAATCGAGGGATGTATAAGAAAATAGATAAATGATATAATATAAAATCGAATAGAATACATAAATAAAAATTTGGATTATACGTGTATAATATTTTCCATTCTACTCTCATTCTGACAAACAGTACGCATGACAGTTGCTTGAGTTAATTTGTTAATTGTGCATTTGCTTGAAGCGAAGAGTCTGCAACATTATACTAACTACAAAAATATTGCGAGGGTGATTAGTGTTAATAAAGCATATTTGCAAAGTGATGATAATAAGAAAATTGAAAGTGATAAACATAAATATTTAAAAAGTAGTAAAATTAATAATATAATTTTTAATAAAAGTGCAATAGTGTATGGTGTTGAGTGTATTGTAATAACAATTGGTGTTAATATGTGTGCAGTGTAGTTTGAGGTAAAATTGTAAAGAAAGATAATTCATAGATCGAATTAGAGAATTAAGAAAACATCTTAATCTGTAATACATTATAACCAATTTTAACATTTTCTAGTGTATTATGTAGAGTAACTGAAATTCTGAAGGAATTAGTTGATGATTATACAAGCTTGGCTGCAATATCTACGTTTATACTCAGACAAATAACAACTAATACATGTAAAGGATTAGATACACACCATAAAATAGCTTTGGTTAAACAATATAAAGCGTAATTTAAATTGTACATTGCTGCAATTTCGTTTTTATTTATTTTTTCTACAATTTGTCTTTTTTTATTTTCTTTATCAGCGCCAATTGGTATATCATCGATTTATTCTTATTCTTTCTAAGGAAAATTATGTGTAAATGGAAGGTACTTACTATCGAAGTTCAAACTGATTGTGGCATTGCTTTCGCCCAGTTCGTTCTTAGCTGTAACCCTGTATTTACCAGCATCTTCTACTGTTACGTTGTTAATTTCCAGTGATGCATAGTAGGATTTTGCTTCCTTGCTCACGGTCAACTGTTGATTGAAAAACAGACTTATATTATTTAAGTTAAAATTTAAATTACTTTAACGCTTATTCTGAATGAACCTACAGCTCCAGCTATTTAGTCCAGAAATGTTAAATTTCTATTCAAATTTGGAAAGCTATTCAAATAATTTATGTGATATTGAGTAAAATTCAAAAGTAACCATATTAATAAAATAATTTAGGACAAAAGGTCATTGAGCGAGACAGTTGACACCTGGTACCGTCACCAGCCAACACAAATGGGGTCAAGGCCATTTCTGAGTACTATTAAAACTAGAGCATCTATAACAGCCTGGTTTATTTTTACTTTCTTTACAATGTCATCTGTTGCATTTGATCTAGATTTAGATTCAAATTCTAGGCTATTTTCATGATTCTAATTGTTCTTGGAAATACGTGTAGAATCATTGTTATTAGGGATATTTCATTGTTGAATTGTCATAACAGCATGTTTGCAAACTTTTTCTTATGGACTAAGTAAGCCACCGTCTTCTTCGCTATTATAAGCATTATGCCCATTACTGACCTTATGTCTGGCTCCAGGTTTGACCTCCACGCCACTGTGGAACCAGGAGACCTGGGGTAAGGGTTCAGCTTCAATGCGGCACTCGAATATTAGCCGCTTGCCATCATCTTCTTGTCTGATGGCTGGTTTACGCGCGAAAGTTGGCGCTTTACCGTCCACTTGTCTGTGAAGTTTAAAATACCTTATATTAGTACTCAAAATATTTGAAAGTAAAAATATTCAAATGGAATTTGATAGTGAAGAAAAGTGAATAATTGAGGCTAGGTTACAAATCAAAGGCTGAATCATATTTTAAATGTTGTCACCATACAATATATTAGTTTGATATAAGAACTTTACTTCTTACTGGTAAGCAACCAATGACAAAAGATACTTACTTCTGTTTTTCTTCGTCAGCGGCTGGAACAGAAAAATATATTAATTAGTTAAAGTCTCCGACACTAACACCATCACTTTATAGAGTAGGTCGAAAGTTAGAAACTTGGTAAGATACAGCAAGAATACAACAAGGGTTAAAACTTCATAAGTCTATTTGTCACATTAATTAAATTTGCTTTGCGTTTTCTAGTTTTTACTTTTCAAATTTGACTTTTATTTAATATGATCAATTTAATATAATTCTTCCTATAAGTCAAGATAGTGGTGCATACAAACTAATACTTATGCTTCTTAATAAACTTTTGTATTAAAGAGATGAATGCTATCGTAAGATTACATTTATAGCAACTAGAATCTAGATTCAGTACCAAAAGATATTTCTGCGAGTGTTTATAGTTTCGTAAAACGATTTCCAGACATAAACATTTAAATAATTCTTTGATGATGTGATAGTTCTTAAAATAGGTACATCTTGTCTGTCGATATTATATTTCTTCAAGGAGAACACATGAAATATCCGATAGCAAGAATTCCCCAATTGTTTATCCAATACTTTTGACCAATTAAATAGAGACATATTAATAAACGATTGCAAAATATAGTTATTTAATTCGAAGTAGTAGTTTGAAAATTAGAAATAAAAAATAAATACCCTTTCATATTTTGGTGTTGGCATTGAAATTGATATATAAATCATCATCATCATCAGCCTATAAGTGCCCACTGCTGAGCAAAGGCCTCTTCTCACACGGAGAAGGTTAGAGCATTAATCACCACGCTTGCTCAATGCGGGTTGGTGATTTCAAACTTATAATAAGAAATTATAAGTCCAGGTTTCCTCACGATGTTTACCTTCACCGTATGTCAGTGGTGTCTAAATAATCATAGAAAGTACCTACATATAACTCGGAAAAAGTCACATTGGTACTTGCCAGGTTTCGAACCCGCACCCTCATGCATGAGAAGCGGGCGCCTTAACCTCCGGGCCACCACGACTACTAGTACGATATATAAATAGTTCAGCAATATTTGAGACCACAAAAATTCTACCACCGATCACAATTTTATATGAGTAGGATATTCTTTACAATTTTAACATCCATCGTATAGTTTAGTTTTGTTATGTTTATTTAGTTTATTTATGTCTTCGATTTCAACGCAGAAAATAAAAACCGTTGCCAATACATACCTAATGCATTCTTCAAAACATTTTACTGTTTATTTTTGAGTCAGTTTTTTTTAAGAATTTGTGTACAAAAAATGCATCAAGATTTTGTTTTGATAAACAATTTTGTTAAGCTGTCAAAACATTCTCATCAGTTGGTACTGTGATTGTCGGATAGAGTTACAATATTTTTCATGCTTTCGTAACTTTTTTTGAAATGTTTATTAGGTACAATAATTTTTAAGATACTTGAAGTTTTTATAACAAAATCTATCTTACTGTGAATCAGAATAAATTTTCTAATTTTCTTGATACTTGTAGCCAGTTGATACAGCAGAATTCATACAAGACGCGTATAGAGACATTTTTTGTTTAATTAAATTTCTATACATAGATTTGTTTTCTTCTTTTCAAGGTTATCATAATCTACTCTGAACTTTTGTTGTGTTTCGCCGTGTGAGTGAGTATACCGGAGGCCCAATCCTTTCCCTCCCCCAATCCCTCCTCAATCCCTAAAAGGTCAGCAACGCACTCGTAACTCCTCCGTTGCGAGTGTTCATGGGCGGCGCTGATTGCTTACCATCAGGTAATCCGTCTGCTCGTATGCCGACCTATTACATAAAAAAAAACTTTTGGTGTTGAAAATGTATTTATTTATTTCACTTCATTCACAAAACACTGTACAAAGGCGGATTTAATGCAATAAGCATTCTCTACCAGTCAACCTTTGGGTGATGAAGAGACAATCTAGTGGCAGCTAATGTAATCAAATGAACAACAAATATAATAATTAAAAGACGTTTATAGAGCTAATTGCCTCATTAAGCGCAACTAAAAATGTCTGCAAGTCATCAAAATGTACATGTCATCAGAGACCTGTAAGGCGCGAAATGTCATTCTTAAATGTAAGGACAACTTTCGTCAGTCGATTTTCATCGGTACAATATCTAAAAGACTTTGTTGCCAACGTGACAGTCACACACAAGTTTGGCTCAACACCCAAGCGTGGGTTAACGTTCACCAGTAATTTTTTTCATAGACATTTATTTCTGAACGTGACTAACAATGTTATTTGTGTAGATATTTTTATCGGCCCAGTATTGAATTACGCAGTCTTGTTGTCACAAATGTTTGTGACATAGTTCGACGCAATGTTTGCTTTCGTATTTGAGTAAATAGTAAAGGTACTTGGGTCGTTAAATATAATTATTATTTTCCCTTTCGTTTCGTAGAATTGTTGTGGCTACAACTTTGTTACGGAGCTTAGTTTTATTTGTTATACTTCCTTATGTAGGAGTTTGATGGCCGAACCAGTTTTGCTGTTATAGCAGGATGTTGGCACTAAAATCTGGTTTGTTAGGGTTTCATTGTTTGCTTAAGGAACCTATACATTTGTGGATTCTTATAAAGTGATATTACCCATATACAATGCCACGATACTTATCACTACTCATCAAGGTATGAAAGGATAACAACCAAAAGACAAATCTGTTGTTTCTCCAGTAGTTTTTAACTTATGCATGGCATGAATGAATACTCACGGCTGAAGTTAAGGTTGATGGAAGCGGCCACCTCGCCCATCTTATTTTTAGCCTTAACTTTGTACAGCCCCGCATCGGTCTCGATCACGTCATCTAACTCAAGCACCACCAGGAACTTGTTGTTGGCGATGCTCTGGATCCTGGAACAATCGTCATCATCATCATCATTATCATCATGATATAATAGTATTAAACAAAAATAAGTCACAGCTTTTTTTTTATTAAAGATTCATATATTTACGTTTTAACGTTAAACTTTCGCCTATTGGGTATAGTTATTCATTTTTAATAACCAAGGAAGAGTGATCTATGGCTTTCTGATATATTATGTATAAAAATCTCGAGGAAAATAATAAGTTGAGCCTGTTTATTTTGGTGCCATACTATTGCCGTGTGAATATGGGATACGATTCGAGTTTTCATGTTATTATGTAAACGTTCTCAAATTGAAGTCTTGATTATTATTTTTACTTTACTTGATCAAATTCAATCATTTAAGTATCAAATTTTCAAACGTGGTAATTCGAGACACAATAGAAGAACAATTCAGCCAGGATTGCGGGGTAAGCGCAATGAGTCACCGCGACCTCGGCCAAAAGCAGGAGAAGGAACAGGGGGGTTTTAGTCAGTAAGAGTCTGACACTCCCACTCGCCCGGCCCTGGGCGGGAGAAGTCATTTGATGATTTTGCCCTCACAAATAGAAGAACAATAGGTGCGTGTTCACTTGGGGTTTGATAAATTAGTGATGGTAGTAATTGATAGTGTGATTTAATTAACTGAGTACATAGTATCAAAAAGTCATTTTCTCTGACCTTGGGGTCATCCCTATGTGCGCTTAAATCTCTAAAACTACGCATCGGATTTCCACGCAGTTTTTAATACTTAGATAAAGTAATTGAAGAAGAAGTTTTATAAGCAAAATATCGTCCATTAAATATTGGAAAAATTTCGTATTGGCATTGCACCTGTGCGATGCCGTGGCGGATTGCTAGTTGTTTATAATATAAGCAATTTAAATCACCAAACGCAATTAATTAAAGAATTTTTAACCATGGCGAACTCGAGCTGCCAAATTATAGCAATAAAGTGACGCACTTCCTAAAATGTGGTTAATATTTAAAAGTTGCTTATTTTCTCTTCTCTCTAATCTAACCACATCACACTCTGGAAATATAACTAGTTTTTTAAGTAGGTATCATAATGTTAGACAAAGCTATTAGTGGCCTTTAATAATTATATGATGTATTTATTTATGTTATATTGGTTAGAAAATAGGTTGTTTATACGTCAACACGAAAACGAATGTGATCGAGAAAAACGCTTAGTCCTTTTTGGAGAGAAACTTAAAGGCGTTTTTTAAAGAATATTTGAATGCATTATAATGCATTGCATATGTATACTAGATAAAAAAATAAGGTTGTCAAAGCCAGAATAATGATTCTTACCTACTATATGAACGTCAAACATGAATATTTTAAGTTATATTTCTTTTTATGAGAAAGGGGGCCAGTGTACAGTCCTTTCATCTGATCGCAAGCAATCGGCTCTTTTTGGGGATAGGGATTTGGGAATTGGAGGTTTTGTAAAACCTGGCAATTAACAATGTGACTTTTTCTAAACACAACTGACATGCAGTGGTGAAGGAAAGCCTCGGTAGGAATCCTGGATTTACAATTTCAAATTCTAAGTTTGAAATCACCAGTGTGTCTTGGGTAAGCTTTTGTTAATCAGTGAGTACCTATAGGCTGATTTATTTATTATAATAAATAAGCTTATAGCTTATGTATACAAAGTAGTTAAAGTATTGGTTAATACAATAGGTCTTATACATTAAAAAGTATTGGTTATTACAATAGGTCTTATACATTAGCCAGTTACGAGCTAACCAACATTCTTAAAATTATGCGTTTATACAGACAAAATATATCTGAATATATAAAAATGGATCGAAAAATGTGTTGGTAAGCGCATAACTCAACAACGACTGGACCAATTTTGCTAATTCTTTTTTTGTTGTGTAGTAGGAGAAGGTTTTTATCAAAGAAAATATTAGAAAAGTAAAGGGGAAGATTAGGAAAAAGTGGCACTTTGATAGCGAGACAGTTGGACTCGTGCGAAGGGGAGGGGCCCCTAGTAGGCTGATAAAAATAAGGCATATAAAAAATAAACTGTCAATTGCAATAAAAACAGGAATTATCGACGCAGTAATTACCTGCTTTGGCAGGTTACAAAGGCGTTAAAATGACGCGTTTCCTTAATTTCTAATTTACAACTAGCATCCATAAAATATAACCTTGAGCGTGTTTATTTACCGTATCTGAAAACTAAACTAAATGCAGAGGTTCCTGGTGAATTAACTACCCGATAGTTAGCGTAGATAGCAGCTAAATAAGTTTCATTTTAAAATGTATTCGTTTTTTTTATTTATTTAATAGGTCGGCAAGCGAGCAGACGGATTACCAAGTAAGCAAGCTTTTCTTTCAAGCCGTGGTATCACTCCGGTCGAGCCGATCCATTAGTTAATTATAACTCTAAATTTGTTACACCGACGTCGCTGTGACGTGCACACTGCTCATGAATAAGAGTCCCGTTGTAAGTTGAAACTAGTAGAGCTTTTACCATTTAATTCACGTAAGTAAGTCTTTATTTTTAATTTTTTTTAAGTCTTACAATAGCTAAAAGCTAAAGTTTTCCTTCACCGTATGTCAGTGGTGTCTTAATAATTATAGAAAGTACATATACTTAACTCGGAAAAAGTCACATTGGTACTTGCCAGGTTTCGAACCTTTATGCATGAGAAGTGGGCGCCTTGACCTCCGGGCCACCACAACACAAACAACTATTTAAAAACCTCAAAAAATCAAGTATCTATGAAGGTACTTCTAGATTCAATTACAAAGTGAATAATATAACATTTGTGTTTGCTTTATCTATTCTCTATACTAATATTATAAAGAGGTAAAATTTGTAAGTTTGTATGTAGGGAATATACCTATGTATGTTGAAAATTCTTTCACTGATATATAGCTACAATGTTCCTGAGTGCTATAAGGTATAAAACATCACGTTACAATCAAATGCAGCCGCACAGCGAGTGAAACCGCGCGGGAGTAGCTAATCTTAAATGAAAGTTATAATATATCAATAAGGAAAATTGCGTAAGTAGGTAGGTATATCTATCCCACAACAGATTCAATAGTAAGTTTCAAAAATGCCTGCAGAAATATATACATAGAGCCCACGATATAATATGGTCCAGAGTTGGACTGGATTACAGAATCAGGTCAGCTAAAGTATTTGTAAACAGCTCTACGAAACGGCTTAATACGAAACTGAATTATGTGTATTGCATTGCTTATTATAACATGCATTGGATGCACCATTTAATTCGTTTGTTTACAAAGATAAAGATAAATATAAATGTGCATGACATACATATGTTCCTTTCTTAAAGAATTAGTCCAGAGTCACATAACGTAATAAATTCTTTCTTAAAAAGAAAGAAAGAAAGTATTTTTTAATTCTATTCCGATAGGCAGGCGCATTTTCTCTCCCAGTTATCTTATTAATTCTATGTAGGTTTAGACTGGGTATATTAGTTTTTAACAACTTAGTTGAATTCAATAATTTTATTGTAATGTCAAAAATAGGTTGGTAGTTTTCTATGACTTTTGTATGAGATCGTAACATATGACGTTACAAAGTTTTTGAAAAAAATGCTAGAATATATTATTTTTGTATGCCTATCTAAGTACAACCTAATAAAAAAGATTATTATCATAGAGCCCGTAAGAGCCCACTACAGAGCAAAGGCCTTTCTCACACGAAGAAGGTTTGATTTTAATTTTTCAAGATATGACTATTATTTCCTCACGATGTTTTCCTATACCGCACCGTATGTCAGCGATGCCCAAATTATCTTATAATTGCTCCAATTTCTTAGCTCATAAATTGTAGTTTACAGTTCATTTTCATCGGTTTTAAACTGTAAATGCCTGAACGTGTTTTTGACATTGACGAAGATACATATGTATATGTACATATATAATTAAAGATGAAGATATGTTTTTTCCCGATTGTTTTACGCGTTATAATTATTGCCAGCTTCTATAAAAGGTTCATGATAAAATTCTTATGAAAATAAATCTTTGAAAAATCAGAAATAAGCAACTCATACGATGGTTGCCCTAGTGCAGAAAACTAACATTGAGGCAGTTGATCCCAATCCGTCTTTATAAATTAATTAAACAATAAGAAGTACAGCAAGTGTTTGTCTTTTTAAATAATTTGGACGATAATCAAAACTCGTACGGTCACCCAATACTGAGAAAACACTACATTTTGTAAGCAATAAAAGATGAAAACTATGATGAGTCTTTTATGTGGACGACGTAAACCGGCTTTGAAGTGGGTGATACTGTTTTAAGGTCATCTCTTTATGATTCTGAGCATTAGGCTCCGAAATAATGTTGTTGTCTATTACAATTTGACGAGAATATTCATACATAGTAGTTTTAATCGCAGTATCGTTTTGTCTCCCTTCTTGTAAAAGTAAGTAAATCTTTTTTTCGGTACTGTGTAATGTAGTCTTTAAAGAGATAAAACATTTTAAATAAATTAAAAGAATAATAAGTAAAAAAAGGATTTTATTCTGACTACATTTTAGTTGTAACCACTTAGTTGACCGTTGATACGCCGACTTTCTTCTACAACTAAACAAGTGAGTCAGTCAGTCAGTCAGTCACTCCGTTTACTACCCAAAAAAATGGTGCGGTTCACGAGTCGCTCTAGAGTCGCGTTGTGACTTGAAACTAACAGAGCTTTTCTTAGGTTATTCACGTTCAATAAATTTAGTAAGTCTTATGATAGTTACCTACAATTAAAAAAACATGTGTACAACGATTGCATTGTTATAGAACTTGTCTTATATTTAATCTAAACACCATAGAAACAAGCTTATAATTAAAATTATTGAAGGAATGTACAATTGAACATTGTACATATCTAAAACTAGGCCAAACAAATTATCAGATTTTTCACTTTAGAAATGATCAATAAACACTTTTTACGCATCAAGGAAACAGTAATGTTTTGTTAAAGATTCGATTCCCGAGAAATACTTTTCAATGTCGGTGCGATGTCAGTGTTTCTTGTAAACTAGCTGACACACTTTCAAACATCTTGTACTATTTGTTATTTTTATGTTTCTTAAATTAAAAAATGGCGCCGATAAACTCGTTTCCAGAGAGGTGGTGTTTTAAGTAAAGCCATAGAATTACTTAGGGAAATTATTGTCCTGCATAGTCTAACTAAACAATACATATATGATAAATATCATTATTTAACTGGATAATTGCACTTGTATGTTTAATAAAATGCTATTGGGTATACCCGAGCCCTAAGAAACTAGCCGGCGTAAGCCCGGATCTACAGTAGGTATTCAACCATGAAAACGCCAAAAAGTCTAGTCTAGACTAGTCAGTGTCATGATGACTCTTAAATTATGGTGATGATGTAGTAAGTATTATGAGTATTTTTAATGATTTGTTTATATATACATAGAAACATGATGAATTGTAAAATAAATATTTTAGAGCAATTTGCTTAATGAGATAATTACTAAGCAACAAAAATAATCAAATAAAATAAATAAAAAGTAAAAACAACAATCTTACTAATTTATTAATACCATTCTATAAAAAATCTTTTTAATTTTGACTTTAGATGTTGTTTGTCTAATTTCTGGCCATCTCTCGAAATATAATGAAAATAAATATAAAATAAATATAATATCGAGTTTTAATAACAACATTGTTATAGGAACTAAGTATGCGGATATTCTTATTACTATTCCACTTCTTAGGAAGAATATGACATGTGAAAGTTTGTGAGAATGTATGAATGTATTTTTGTTATTCTTTCACGCAAAAACGGCTGAACCAGTTTCGTTGAAATTTGGTACGTAGATACATGATATTCTGGATTAACACAGGCTGTTTTTTATTAACATGACACGCAGGAGAAGCCGTGGGCGAAAGCTAGTTTACCATAGTACTTTTTTATTTCTGGAAGTATCAGTTATTTTAATACTTTATTCACTGTTTTACGGGATTTAACGTGCATATACATTTTATTTGTTTTTTATTTGTTTTTTGCTTGACGTTTCTCGAAGCTGAAAGGCTCAAAGAGCATATTGAAGCTGTAAAAAATCGTCAGACGAATAAATCTGCGATTGCAAAACACATACTGGGAGCAGGCAGCAATCATCGGATCGAATTACATCGTCCACAATCTTCTCCACTGATCGCCATTTTTACTCAAGAGTAGTGTCATGAAGCGATTAAAACACAAGAATTTCAATCGGTAAGAATTCAAACTGTTGGACATCTGGAATCCAGTGGGTCAAAAAATTCAGCATCGCGATTTTAACTCGACTAAAAACCCGGACACAGTGAGTGTAGTGTGTACGCGGCTTTATAGTGGATACTTATTACCATCGAAGGTAGATGAAGATAAATCACCTTCTTCGACGGAGTAGTATCACCGAAACGTCTGGTGTAACCCAGCCGAAACGTCAAGCAAAAACAAATGAAAGGTACGTGCGCGCTTAATACCGTACAACAGTAAAATATTACTATGCAATGCGAAACTTTAAGTGTTGGAGAGCCAAGCTTCGGCACGAATGGGTCGGCTCGACCGGAGTGATACCACGGCCTCACAGAATACCGGCGTGAAACAACCCACAATGTTGTGTTTCGCCGTGTGAGTGAGGTTAACGGAAGCTCAATCCCGTCCCTTGCCCTATCCCTTCCCGATCCTTACATCGGCAACCCCTATCCCCAAAAGGCCGGCAACACACTCGTAACTCCTTTGGTGTTGCGGGTGTCCATGGGCGGCGCTGATTGCTTACCATCAGGTAATCCGTGTGCTCGTTTGCCGACTTATACCATAAAAAACCTAAAAGTATAATACATATATCAGTTAATTTTCTATAACCCTGCGTGTAATCACATGATTTTCTAAGAAGTCACATGACTTTTGAAATACCAATATCTACAATGATTTAAAATCGTAGGTAGTCTTCAAGAAATTACGAATTTCTCATCAAAATATTAATAGACTGAATTCCCGTAGTCTGCCAACTGTGTCAGACTGCCATGACAGTTCGATCACATCAAAGGGATGCTTCAGACAAATAAACAGTTGAACTAATCGCATCGAACGTTGACCCAGTACGTTTTGGACATGTGGTCTTTGACCATACTACGTAATATCTGTCACGGGTTTTATTCTTAAAATACTTGTGTGGCGTTTTTAATACATTTCAACTAGTTAATTTGTGTTTCTTATATCCATAGTATACTTAAGTATAGTCTTATTATGTTATGAGGACTTTCTATAACACATTTGTTAGCCTAAAAATTTTATGTTATTTTATTTTTTATTAAAAAATTTATGGCAAATTGACCATGATTATATGTATGTCGTCGTAACGCTGTTTCGATTTCCGAACGGAACAACTATTTTTGAAATCCAAAAATTGTTTTTCTGCGTCTGAAAAGTTGTATTTCTTTGTAATCGGATCGTCAGCACTGGAGAACAATATGGCGCGTAGCGTTAGGCGCGCGCCTCAAAGAGCCATTAGACCACCACAGACGGGGCCCTAAAGGGCTGATGTTCAGCCGGGGTTGCGGGGTAAGCGCAATGAGGCACCGCGACCTCGGCACAGAGCAGGAGAAGGAACAGGGGGGTTTTTAGTCAGTAAGAGTCTGACACTCCCTCCTGCCCGGCCCTGGGCGGGAGAAGTCATTTGATGATTTTCCCCTCACAAAAAAGCACTGGAGAACAAAATAGTGTGTGGTGAAGTAAAAAAATGCTTTTTTAATTTGTTATGCACTCAAAAGATATCGCGAATGACCAACATTTGCGAAATTGAGTAGTTATACAATGATAAAAAGACTTGAATTTTCAAATTTAACGACGTGACCGTAACGTGATTCTGATCTGCTAAAATTAAGTTTAAAAACGGAATGTTACTTCTTAAATATCTTATAACAAAACACTATTGTTTTGTTAAATGTAATTGTTTCATCCGGTTTCTTATTGTTAGTAATCTAAATATTTAAATTAAGAACAAGTATTTTACTAATAAACAATGCCAACATTGTTTCCAACTGCAGATTATACGTTCTAAACGAAATATTTAATTTGTTTGAAATTATTCAATGATTTTAGAATAGCTTTTGTTTTGTTTTTCTTTTTTTGTACATATTTGGAAAGATGGATCTTTTATTATTATTCTCGTGTCCGGCTGCAAAATCAATTATAGTAAAAATTTTGCTAGTTAGATCAAACCAGTAGACTTGTCTTTGTGCAGTATAAACAGATAGTTTCTGATATTTTTTATATTCAATACGTACAATAACAGAAAGTAAACTAAAAATTAAAAAGTTGAATACTACACTACATACAAATTATAAACCTGCAGTCCAGTTACAACTGTACACAACATTCATAAAAAAAAATTTGCTTCTTTACATTGAAGCTTGAAGATTCTTCGAGTCTTTTATTATTATTCTAAAAATCAATCAATTATAATAAAAATTTTGCTAGTTAGATTAAACCAGTAGATCTCTTTTTGTTCAACATAAACAGAGAATTCCTGATTTTATTTTAAAAGGTAAGTTTCTAAAAGTTTGTTATGACCGTAAAGAGTAATATATATTTATTCGCAGGCTAAAAACAAACGAACTTAACGTATAAACGATACTTTGAAATTTAATTTCATAATTAAAATGATGCGTATAAAGCGACATTTATGCTATAAATTATGGACTGCAACTACAAGTGCTTCACTACAAAACTAAAATTCGCGTAAAATGTTTCGCAATTCCGTAACCAGTTGAATCGCTTAGAAGAATAAACACAAAAGAAAAAAAATGCACCTGTAAATTCAAGCAAATTTGACGCGACGAGGTGCAAAAATTAATTAGCACGTATTTTATTTTGTGCTGCGGACTGGCTCTATTTCATTACAGCCCTTAAAAAGTGTTATTTCTCTTTATAGTATTTTGTTGGAATAGATGTGAAATCACTGATCTGAAAAATTATTTCATTTTTATAAAGTTTTCTTAATATGTACTCCATATCAAGAAAACTTTATACTAATGTGGACAATGGACTACTTTTCCTCTATAGTTCAACCGCTTACCCGAAGTAAATTATTTGACTCAACACAAGCAAACTCGTAGTCGAAAATCAAGTTTTAAATGAAACTGTCAACTCACTTGAACTTGGTCCTATTATCTTCTTTGAGCAGTTCATCGCTCCTAAACCAGCATATCTCCGGTTTGGGCGATGCGACCAGCTGGCATTCGAAGACGAGTTTGTTGCCATCGTCTTCCTGTCGCAGCTGTGGCTTCTGCGTGAAGCTAGGGGCTAAATCTTCGGTAACCCCCATTGTTAGCTTGGGAACATTACGCTCGCGGCTGGACCAATACTGCCGCTCTGATGATAGGCTTCAACCTGGAAGAGAGAGAGTACAAATTAGTTTTTTTTGTGAGGAAAAGCCAACTTGGCTATTGGTGAGGCTTCAAAATGGGCCAGGTTTACAAGAAGGTGCTTCTGCCCTGTTTTTGTTTTTAATTAATGCGGATCCTATATTAAGTTGCAAGGTTAGGTTATGGTGTTAATAAAAGAGTAGGAGTTGGGGATGCACGTGCAATAAGGTTCTGCAGAGCAAAAGAAGCAACGGGTGACTCCCTTTCTCTCCACCTAGTGTGAGGGAAATCACTTGATAGGTTTCCCTCCTTATAAATAATAAATAGCTTGTTATTAGAATAACAGACAAATAAAGCACATTGAGATTATGTAGGCAAACTGAAAAGGAGCATAAGAAATAATTGCAATTAGAGTTACCAGCAGTAACCCTAGAAAACTAAATAATTTCGAAAATTTTTTTTTTTGCTTTCAATTTTAAGAATTTAAAACTCCTTTCCAAGCAAAATGTCCTCATCTTATAACTTACGTTAGCTATATTTATATCTGCAATGACGTACGATTTATTACAAGAAATAATAATAATTTGCGTATTTTGATTTTTTATTTTATTGTGTAGAAAACACTAGGTACTTGATCTCGTGTGATGATATGTGGTAAATCAATCTTTTAAGTGTGGTGTCTTATAAAATGTCTGTTGGTTTAACCAATGTCAAAACATATGTCATTTCAACTGGCAGCAACGAATCATTGTGAAACTGGCCCTTAATAATAGGGTCGTAAATCATAAGTACCTAGTATAATTGCTACATAAATATTAGGATAACATGACACTATATTTTACACTATATTTTTTTATTGTAAAGACTGACCCAAATAATGACAACAGAAATTATTTAAAATCCTTGGATAATAGTCACAAAATGAACGTTAATAAAAACGGATATTAAAAATGGAACACAATCAATTCTAGAGTTAAAAATGGCGTCGGTTGATTGACTGCCATTATTTTGACCAATGAATCACAATTGTTAGCTGTTCGTACAACAGCTGAGTGATTGATAGCATTTCAGCAAACTGAAATAAAATAGCTAATGTATTATGTATTTTCTGAACTAAAGACGAATTTTGCGTAGGAGTGCAAGAGTGAATTTCAAATGGAATTTTCAAAAATGATTCCGAGACTACGTTTTACTAATAGATGACTTAGAAAATTTTGCTGTAATTTTTTTGTGCATCGTGTCAGTCAATAAGAATATATCATGTCAGTGATTATACGTTTGCCGTTATACTAATTCATTATTCCTAAAGATAGAATGCCCTAGATTGCTCGTATTTCATGAGAAAGTCTGTATTACTTTCTAATTACTATTTTTTCATTTTTTCGGTTGTAAAAATAGATGAATATGTGCATATTAAAAGATTATTACTCAATCGTGGTAAAGGACTTTGCGAATTTTTTATTCCAAAATGCCAAAAGAAGATTTAACCAAATAGCACTTCAGCACAAACGGGGGATATTTTTTCTTTAGAAAGATACAATTTTGTCATTTTTTTCCTCGCAAACAAAGCCGCAGACAGAGAAACTCATAAAAGGAATATTCTGTTGGTAAGTCATGGTGTGTAAATAAATATACAAATTATTACTTTTCTAGGCAAAGTCACACCTGATTATTAATATTATCGAGCCTGAAAGTCATACATCAAGCATCATCAACTGTAAGTGAAGAAACGTTGGCCACTTCAGAGCAGTTCAATTCACAGAGTGACTCACGCGCAGAGCGGTCAGCGCCATCAACACTGGCAAGGTGAAGTGTAACCGAGTGGGTGTCCAGTGTTCAAATATTCACGAGTGTGAACGAAACGAAAGAGTGTCTCGGTCTATTTCTGTAACCGTCGAAGGCCTCTGAAGCCCGCGGCGAACGCTCGTCGAAGAAATTTTATAACTTGCAACTCTAACTTCCTCCGATTACCTAATACTCGATCATTTCATTTGAACATTTAATGATGCATTCCCATGCACAAGTACTTCGAGTGCTCGAAATACACTCTCGACATTCAAAATTTTATTATCGTATTAAAATTTGTGAGTTATGAGCCATGGAGTACTGCAAGGACTCGCATTTGGCCCAGTAGCACTTTTCAACATCGAAGTTATGATTATATTTTATAATTAAAAATTAATGTACCTATTGTATGTAAATGTCTCAGTAAAAGAAAATGAAAGTTAAAGTAACATACCACACGAAATAGAAACAGCCAATAATCCAATAGGGTCACGAAACACTCAAGTCAAAACACTTTCACTAAAAAGTACAGAAAAATTCGCTAAATAGGACGTTCGAGAACTTGATTGACGAAGGTTATAAGAAACTGGATTCGTCAGAGAAATCGGGCGGTTTTGTCGCCGGCGGCGGGACGCGTCGGGTCGTTTTCGAAATCGTAACTAAACTATGAAAATTTTGGCGGCTGGCCGAGGCGGGCGGGCGGAATTTGCGTGGGCGGATGCAGGCATCGCCATGGGTTGGATAACGGACTCGTCATTTGTGACGTTACTGGTGCAGAGGTGTTTTCCGCCGAAGATAGAAGCTGATCTAATGGAATGGCACTGTATTGTTGCAAATATTGGGATAGGGTTTGGGCCAAAACTAATTTATTTGCTAACGTGGGTGTGCTAGTCCTAAGTACAATCGGACTAAGCTTCTAGTTGTTTCTGGGCCAGTTTTCTCTTAGTAACTTTCTTTAATTCATTTAGATTGTTAGTATATTTATAAGGTGAAGATTATGGTTAACACATTAGTCAGTAATGATTTCAGCCTCATATCCGTTTCGTAGCTTTTTTAATAGAGTCAAAATTACGACTATTTGTCTGCTCAGTAACAGTTGGTTATGTTGGATATTTGGATACATTTTACTAAGCATCACATGGAATATTTATATGTCTAAATGAAATATTAAGTGTGAATCTAATACGTAATCTAATCAGTCTATTAATTTGTTAATTCAGAAAGTTTTAGTTAAGATAATTTTGTATATTACAATAATAATACTTAGAAACAAAACTTGAATTCTTTGGGCGTAGTCGTGGATAAATACCGGTGGTCCATAAATCAGTTAGCATCGTTAATTTTTCTTCAACGTTCATGTTATTTGGTTGGCAACTGGAGAAGTCAGGTGACCTATAAATCATCAGGTGAATGTCAACATGTTATATTTAAGCCTTATGATTGATGAAGCAAATGCGTTCTGAGACAATGATAGAGTGTGATTTCATTGCAGAGGTCTCCTCGTATTTATTTTTAATTGTGATTAAGTTGTTCTTGTTTTATTTCATGATGAAGTGGATTAAGGTCTTGGATTCTTGGTGATATCATGTGCACAAACAGGGTAATGAAATTGTTACTACAAATTGTTAAATGTCAGCCAATCATGTTAGTGAGACAACGTAAGATAATTTGGTTAATTTTAATTTTGTTGATTGTTAAAATCATTTTTCCGTCCGTTTTCGTTTTACTTTTCATCTTTATACATCAATTTGTGTCATCATTGTTGGTTAAAACTGGACACATGTACTTTTGTTAGGATTATTTTTGGATCAGGTTAGTTAATTTTGCTGCAACTGCTTGATCTGAATAGTTAGCAAGCTTATTAATAACATCATTCAGAGTTCCATCTTTTTCTTGAATATCTCCGTCAGTTATACATATCAATTTGCCTCAAAACCGACTATCTTTTCTCCAATCTCATCTGTAGCCAAAATTATGGGTTCAACGACTTCAATAGTATTTGCTTTTGGATTGTAATCAAGGTTAACGACCAATCCATATAGATCAAATACTAGTTCATAACACGAAGTAATTACAGGCCTTCTTGAAATTAACTCTTGTGAAAACTGAATGAGGTTATACAGATTCGTACATTGTTATTTTATCATTAATTTCATGTTTATATTTTAATTTGTTTGATTGCTAGGTTTTGTGTGATGTTCAGTGTTTTGAGTAAAATTTTTGACTGGGTCAGGCATATTTTGCTTTTTATATTTTATCATTGCTGTATTTCCAAGAGACTGAAATCTGCATAAAATCTCAGTCTTTTGCTTTAGGAAATAAAATATCATAATAATCAAACATCTTAAACATTTAGTATATTTAATGGATGAAGTAGTTAGTAGAGGGTCATAATTAACTGAGATTAGTGGTAATTTTGTCATCATCATCGACCCCATACTATCTAGAGCAGTTCTCTTATACAATGCGCGGCACTGAACTCGATCTTTAGTTCTTCACGTACCTAATGGGGAGACCCCTACACTTCCAGACACTTCGCGGACTGGTGATTATATTAGTGGACTGAATGACCGCGACCAACATACTACTCGAAATATGTATTGTAATATAAAGAACGCCAAGAATAAAATTCAAAATGATCAAAGTTAAAACAAACAATTCGAAGCATAAATTAATTGCACCATTATCGTTATAACCACAAAACAATGGTTGAATGAATACTTTGGAAAGATCTTACGAAATCTATTTCTAACACGAAAAACGAACAAACACTGCTCTACTTACGTATTAGATATTTTTGAGAACGGGACAAAACATCCTGAAGTAGAGTTACTTTTGTGCCATGACGGTATTTATCGTGTGGATCGTGGGTGGATAGAGAACGTGGTTGGAATGATTTGATTCATCCATCCAAAGTATTAGTGTTAAATGAATTTAAGATATGGTGTTGTGAAACCGGATGAGTTTTTCATTCTTCGTATAGTGCATCACATTTTGGATCGCAATTGTTTCGTCTAATTATAATTGTACATTCTAATCATCCTACTTATAATTATTATAAACGCAAAAATCTATAATTATGGATTTTCGTTACACTTTCACGTTAAAACTACTATACAGATTTTGTTAAAAATTGGCACAGACATATAATTTATCGTCTGGAACAACGACAACGGAATAGCTGACACACGAAGCCGCTGAAAGAAACTAGTATGAACTGTATTTACTAGTTTATGTTGTAACGAATAAATAAGTGGTAGAAGTACTTCTAGTTACATAGTTTATTTTATTTATTTATTTATTATTTGTTAGTATTATTTGTTAGTTAGTGTATATATTGAGTTGAACGCTATATTATATGTTATATATGTTACTGATTCGTGTATTAAATTTGAGTTTAAATCGGCCAATGTTTAAAGGATACCTACAGAACATCAGATTTAAAATTACAGACAATTGATTGCAGTAAGCACATGTCAAGTGCTGCTTGACACTTAAATGAGGATTACGCTAGATTTATATTTTTTATTTTTATTTATGAGGTGGGTTAGCTAACGAGTAGTCTGATTACCTGATGGTAAGCAATCAGCGCCACCTATTGCCACCCGTAACAACAAAGTAGTTACGAGTGCATTGCCGGCTTTTGGGATATGGGTTTCGGATATTTAAGGTTTGGGTTGAGATGACGTATGGTGGAGAGATTAGGCCTCTCGTAACCTCACTCACACGGTGAAACACAACGCTGTGTTTGTATCACGCTGGTTTCTTGTAAGGACGTCAAATCATTCCGGTCGAGCTGACCCATTCGTGCCGAAGCTTGGCTCTCCCACTCTTCAAATTAATATTCTTCTTACTCTAATGCTAATAAACTTTTAGTCATTTTGTCACATGTTTATCTGATGACACAAAAACGAATGTGTCATCTAAATAAAATTCATTCTAAAAATAATTAATTTTACTTGTATGTATACCACATCTTCTTGATCCTCAAATAGTCCAAACGTCAAATGTTTGTGGAAACCACAGATACAGTGTTTCGAATGTTTGCACAAATACTGATACATAAACAAATGATCAATTACCTACTCGGTTCGCGTGATTTGGCAGAGGTGCGCGTGCGCACTCACCGCGATCCCGACGTTAGTAAGCGGATCGATGACTCACACTCGAGTTGAATAAGATGATCAGATGATTACGTTGATATGTAATCGGTTAAATTTAACGGTAATATTTTTTGTGAAAAGGTTTTAAGTGGGTGCGGTTTTTTAGGGGTGGTAGTCATTTGTTGGTTGAGGAGTTAGATTTCTGGCGTTGGTCTATTAAGAGGTCCCGGGGTCCCTTACAGACCAAAAACCCCTCCGATCCTTCTCCTGCTCTGAACCGAGGACGCGGTGCTTTATTGCGCTTACACCGCAACACCGGCTGAACTGATGTTCACCGCCCTATAGGACCCCGTCAGTGGTGATCTATTGGCTCTTTGAGGCGCGCGCGGATCGCTACTCCGGAGTTGGTTGCCCCTGCCTTATGCCTAAAGATATAGAAAAGCCTGATACTAAAGATTGTCCTAAGAATGACAGGATAGATAATAAATTTGTAACAGGGGATGAGATCTGACAGTAGCGAATGAAAGAAAAAATATAGAAGGCCCATTTTAGCTTTCATAACCACAAAAAAAGAAATTATACATTCTAGAGAGACCAAAAATTAAGTATTACTGTTATAAATTTCGTGCTAATTATTAAATCCTATAACAACTAGGCAACCAAAATATATAGAATGCCCTCTACAAACAGAACGAGTACATTTTGATTATGGATCGTAACAGATGTAGTACATAAATACTGAACAGAAGAGTCGTTTGTCATAAGACTTGATTACTCATATTGCGAATTATATTTTAATATGTACTTAATATTATTTGACATATAACATGATAAATATGATACGATAGTTAGGTTCGTTGTGCCTACATAATTCTTTGAAGAATAAGGTCAGGTGTAGAAATAATGGTCATTCATCAAGCCAAGACTTTGAAGGTTTTATTGGGTCTCATCTGTGGCCCGGAGGTAAAGGCGTCTCATTCTCATGGATGAGGGTGCGGATCCGAAACCTGGTAAGTATCAATGTGACTATTTCCGAGTAATATGTATTTTCTGTGTTTTTTTAGATAACACTAGCTTACGGGGAAGGAAAATAATCTTGAGGAAGCGTAGTGATTAATGCTCAAACCTCCCAGTAAGATGTGGCCTTTTTTTTGCATACTACATGAGACTTAGACGTCACGTTAGGTTAGCTGGTTAGAAGGACCAGTTCAAACGAGAATGTTGCTGTCTAGCCTCTGTCAATAGTGTATTCTCTAAACTGTACACAGTCGTGGGAGTTTTTTGTGACGTGACAAAATTGATGAAAAATGAACACTTACAAGACATACTACACAGATAATATACAGAATGAAGATATATTTCTATTGTGTCAGTCGATAACCGACAGGCACGAAGAGAGATTAGCCGGGTTGTGGGGCTAACGCAATAAGCTACCGGCTCCTAAAGCAGGAGAAGGAACGGGGTGTTTTACTCAGTAAGAGTCTGACACTCCCTCTCGCCTCATCCTGGGCAAGAAAAGCCATTGAATGATTTTCCCTTTCAAAAAAAGACACTA